ACTTGCAAAGATGATCGCTTGACAAATATTAAGTATTTCCGTTTCTTTGCTGGCATTACATGTTTCGCTGGAGACAAGAAGACTAGTTAAAAAATATAAATTATTTGCTTTTTGTAATCCTTAATTTTTAAATTCTGCATTCTGTATGCCAATTATTTCCATTTTAATATTTTGGCAAATCTTCGTCATTCCTGGCGGACCAAAGGATAAATAGTTGGACGTTTCCGTTTTAGTGTGATGTAATACTGCTTCAATGGCTTGCTCCTTTATGTTAAGTTCCAGGGTTTATTAAATAAAGCAAACAACTCAGACTCTTTTAATCAACTCCACTAAACATTTTGCAAACTCTGTCCACAATCTTGAAACACTTTATAAAGCATCAAATTCAGTCACATGTAGAAAAAAGTCTTGTGGGTTTCAGTCGTCCTGTGACAAGTAAATTGCTGTGAGTGTTTAAAGCAAACTAACTTTAACAGAGTTCAGCGATTACAGAACTATTGCCCAAGACTAACCTAAGGTATCCGAACATCTTACACGATATTTGCACTCTGCGACCTTATTTTTCATAATTATAAAAAACCATATTCCAAAGTATTTGCAGCAAAGACTGCATTTTAGCATAGATGTATATACGTCAAACCGTCGTTTCGGGCTATATTATAACACTATTTTGAACTATTCAAAAGATCCTCCTCTTATATAATTGTAAATATAGTTCATAAATTTCCGGCTAAAATACTACAATGAAAAAATTAATTTACCTTTAAACAAAATTATTTCATTCTTTAATAAAAGAGCAGTAATATATTTAATTAAGCTCTAGTATAAATTAAGAACTGAAAATGAACCAATACAAATAAACAATGCCTGAAAATAACCTTTATCAGCATTTACCTATTTAATTGATCTCGCGAATTCTACGATATTTCAGGCTTCTTACTCTTTATTTTATGTTTTCCTATTAATTCATTTATTTCCTTGACGTTAATGTGCCTAAGCACCTTTTGTGTATAAATAAACTTGTCAAGGTGAACAAGCGGAAGATTATATTTGTTTATTTTCTATAATAAAAGTCCTTTATTATTATTAAAGACAGAAAAATAATTAAGTGACAAGGTGTGCCTTATAGTGAGATTATATATTCGGGAAGTCAGGATGACCAAAGAGCTTCTAGTATATATAAATTTCGCTGAATATATGAAACATGTTCAAAAAAAATTAAATCCGTTGCATGTCATGAATGACTTCGGGTGCGTTTAAACGTAATTTTCTTGTAGCCGCCTCGTCACTTGCAAGGGGCTCACTTTTTGATGATCTGCATATTTTTTAAAAAGATGTAAACTTTTGCTTCATGAAAAAATTACATAACAGTAATAATTATTACTGCACTGAAGTGCACTGAATGTGTTGTAGCCAAAAAGTAACAAATCTTTTATAACATATGGTATTGTTTGGGATATATTTAATTTTTTCATAACTAAAAAGAACTTACTTATATTAAATAGCAGCCGCTAGTAAGCTAAATAAAAAGTTTGAGTATCTTCAAAATACTTTTTTTGGAAAGAGGCATAAACTTCTATAATTTGATGTCAAGATAAAAATTTTAGAAAGAAATTTTACAAATTTTAGAATCTTAATTCATACTTCCTTTTAAATAATGCGATCAAAAATATTGATATTCATTTGATTGCGTCAACGTAAACAAAACGCAAACAATCATTTCAAACTGAAATTGTTTTAATATATATTTTTGACTCTTATAATGAATTCGTAGACACATTTTTAAAAAATTATTTTATAATAGTTCCACCCCTAAAAAATTCATTTGAACTCTCTGTATATTATTAAAAACCTTACAAAAATTACGAGATCTACAAAAACTTCATTAAAAGGGCTAGATTACATTTGTGTTTTTGATTTAACTTTAATCAAAAACTCTGGAGTTCTACAGGCTGGTCTGAGTGATTATTTTCCTATTTTAAAAACATAAATGTGTAGCAATTTTACACTGTCCCTAAGAATGCAAAACCAACTGGTCGTACAAAAATCGTATGGTGCAGGGGGTGGTGGGAGTGAATTTTATAATAAAAATGACAAAAAAATATTATTATGTTGTTGTTATGTTGTTTGTATGTTGTTACAACATACAGCCATTAAACTGATAAAACCGCTTTTCAATATTTTTATTAGAAATCTTTTTTTTTCATTTTAAAAACACACCGCATAATATCTTTAACGAATACACGCTTGCCCTGAAAACTCATTTTTATGTTATCGTTTACCTCGCTGTAACTTGATAACTATTTGGTTTATCAAAAAAATGCTTTTTATAAATCATATGCATTGAAGATCAACGAATCAGCTACTTTTTCAAAAACTATAATCGGATGGATCGTTTATTTTTAATTAGCAAAATATGAAGCCCTGTCGTGAACATCACGGCCGCCAGCGAAGCAGAGAGAAAGGGTCAAATTCGCAAAGACGGTCGGGTAATAAAAGACTTGCGGTTGCGGCGGCCGCTTAAGATCGTTTTTGTTTGTATACCCTCTTTCCTAGCGAATGTGATACGTATTTGCCCTCATAGTCGAATTTTTTGATAGGGATGATACTGTTTTGTTATTTTTGACATTGCAACATTGCATATTAAAAAAATAGTACATAAGTGTACATAGAAGCTAGAATAAAAATTAAAATTATATCCATAATAACAACTAAAATTAAGTAGAAGTAAAAAGTTAATCTAAAAAAAAAACCTTCGTGTTGGTCAGGGATCATTTTTGTCTCGCTTATTGCTACATATTGATTTTACACATTTACAGGAACCCATACATTTCATAAATTTTCTTTTACAGGAACACAATGGCCCGTTACCCCTAAAATGTTGTGTCTAAATTAAAAAATCTTATTTCACAGAAAATTGAATGTCTCTATACCTTTTTTTATATTGACAGGTGTATAGAACTGATGTATACTCTTGTAATATTGCTTCGGTTATCAGTACATGTGAAATTTTTCATTGAATTTTACATTATATGGCAAAAGTTTAAAGTTTCCAGGTATAGTTTCATTTATTGAAATTTGTGTGTAAGATACTGTGTGACAACAAGCGTGGCTGGTTTCAACCATTTTTTATGAGTTGGTCTCCTAATAGGTTAAGAGTCCCAAACCAATAAGCTTAGGGGTATATTCTTTTTTCATTTAAACTCATCATCTTGACAAATATTAAGTATTTCCGTTTCTTTCCTGGCATTACATGTTTCGCTGGAGCCAAGAAGACTTGTTAAAAAATATAAATTATTTGGAATATGCGTTTTGTAATCCTTAATTTTCAAATTTTTAAATTTAAATTATGCCATTTATTTCCGTTTTAATATTTTGGCAAATCTTCGTCATTGCTGACGAAGCAAAGGATAAATAGTTGGACGCTTCCGTCTTAGTGTGATGCACTACTACTTCAATGACTTGCTCCTTAGAAATCCGTTTCAAAAAATTTCTAGGTTCTTCTAGGTATAGATTTCTTCTTGGAGAATTCACTAATTCGATCCACAAAGTTGCCTTTAACTTTTTTAACCAAAAATCCCAATGTGCGAGCTTATTTATTGTTTTACGTGATTCTGTCAAATAGCATGAAGCATTTAATTTCGTATTTCTTCGAGTTTTAATTTTGTTTTTGAATATTAGTCATGACTTGTCAGAGCTTTTGATTTTTTCTGGCAAAATACGCAATTTAAAACTCGTATAGGTTTTGTAACAGTTTTTATGTTTTTAATTTTTGTTTGGATATTTGTTTTGACGTTATGAGCTTTCCGCCTTATTGACAAGGTACCCATAATTGGAAGTTAAAAACTTTTCCTTTAGTGTTAGCAGGTTTTTTCGTTAAATGCTTTAATTTGATTGTTGAATCAAGTTCGCAATTAGAACATGTACTGATTTTAATATCCATTTGGATGAAAATTATAACTAATGCGTTATTATTTATCATTCTCACGCAAAAATAAATATATTTTAGTCACATTAAAAACTACTTCACTCCCTCCAAGAAAACTATTTTGACACTTAAAACGTAGACATAAAAAATAAATAAAATCATCCTCGTTGCGAAAGTGGTTGTACAAGTGCACGTCAGAAGCGCAAAGTCTATTGCCGTCCTTGCAAATCTGACCCTTCTTCGCTGCTTCGCTGGCTTCCGTGATATTCACGACATGGTTTCACATTTTGCTAATTAAAAACAAAAACTATCCATCAGATTGGGGTTTTTAAAAAAATAACGGATTCGTTGACCTTCAATGCATATCGTTTATAGGAAACACTTTTTTGATAAACCAAATAGTTTTCAAGTTACAGCGAGGTAAACGATAACATAAACAAGAGATTTCACAGCAAGCTTTTATTCATAAGATACTCCCATATAAAAGCATTATGCGGTGTTTTTAAAATGAAAAAATAAAGTATTTCTAATAAAAATATTGAAAGGCGGTTTTGTCAATTTAAGAGCAGTATGGTGTAGATAACAAAAAAATAATAATTTCTTGACAATTTTTAGAAAATTCACTCCCACCACCCAATGAACAGCACGATTTTTATACGACCAATTGATGATGCATTCTTAGTGTACAAGAAATGATAAATAGTGATTATTACATTTTAGCAAGAAAGTGCAAACGAAAATCCAGAACTGCAGAACTATTGACTAAGACTAACATAAGGTATCCCAACATCTTACACGATATTTACAGTCTGCGACCTTATTTTTCATAATTATAAAAAACCATATTCCAAAGTATTTCTAGCAAAGACTGCATTTTAGCATAGATGTATATAAGTCAAACCGTCGTTTTCGGGCTATATTATAAGACTATTTTGAACTATTCAAAAATAGTTCATAAATTTCCGGCTAAAATACTACAATCAAAAAATGAATTTATTTTTAAAAAAATTATTTAATTAAATAAAAAGAGAATATATTTAAACTCTAGTATAAATTAAGGGGTGTAGGGGTTATGTCGGAGAGGTAGTACCTTTTGTTGGGGACGGTCACTCCAAGCGTCGTAAGACGAGCGGAGGTCTCAGACAACTGGTCCTCACGAGACACCCAACTCTCACTTGTTGGCTCCAAGCGCCACACCCCGGCACACTGTGTTGACCCACAGACTAAACCAAGTGAGGGTAGCCAGATATGGTGAAACTGCAGCGTCTGACCCAGAATGGGCGGCTGCAGACAGCGTCTGTTCCTCATGTTAGGGGCGGCTGATAAAAAAATCCTGGAAAGCAACGGGAAACTACCTGGATCATATATATTCCCCAAGACATCACAAAGGATATACAAAAACAAGCAACGGCCCTCAGTCCCGGGCACCCCTTAAGTGGGGAGAGGGTGCGAAGAATCCCCCGGTTTTCCAATGATGTCCTAAGAATAAACAAAGAGAAGAGAATTGGCACGTGGAATGTGCAGAGCATGTACCAGGCTGGGAAGGCGGCAAATATAGTGAAAGAGGTGAAACGGCTACAAATCGACATACTGGGGTGCAGTGAGACACGATGGCCGGACTCGGGACACTGCACTATAGATGAACACCATATATATTTCTCCGGAGACCATACTACCAGAAATAGAAACGGAGTAGCAATAATCCTGAACAAGCAAACCAACGAAGCTGTAAAAGGATTTATCCCCATCTCGAGCAGAGTTGCAGTGATAAAAATCAAATCAAAACCATTCGATTTGAATATCATACAGTCATCATACGCACCTACGACCGAGAGCAGTGAACAAAAGATGGAAGAATTCTACGAACAGCTTAGAACTGCCCTCAAACATACGAGGAGAGAAGAAGTTAATATGATGTTGCGAGACATGAAAGGAAAGGTTGAGGATGTGGTAGGCGAATTCGGGCTGGGGGTGAGAAATGAGTGGGGAGAACGCTTAATAGAATTCTGCGAGGAAATGAACTTTACTATTATGAACACCTTTTTCAAACTGCCCTCGAGAAGACTGTACACCTGGAAATCCCCAGCGGATAGCAGCCACAGAATCATAAGAAACCAAATTGACTTTATAATGATAAACCGAAGATATCGCAACACAGTTGTATCCTGTAAAACCTACCCAGGCGCAGACATACAATCTGTTGTTGGCACGCACTAAACTCCGATTAAAGAAAATCGTCAAAAAAAGGCACTCAAGACGCATTAACGTACGGAAACTCCAACAAGAAAACATACTACAGCGAACCAGAGATAAAATTAACTAACTAGGCAATATCTCACAAACAAGCAATCACGGAACAGAAATAGAAGACCTTTGGAATAGAATAAAAACATCCATAGTCTCCGTCACGGAAGAAGAGCTGAGGCAGGATAAACAGGCGAAGAGACAGGAATGTATGACGGATGCTATACTGGAATATAGAAACAGGGATACGGAAAAATACCGAGAAGTGCATCGGAGAGTTCTGAGAAAGATCAAAGAGACCAAGGAACAGTGGCTGCAAGAAAAATGTGCTGAAATTGAGATACTGCAGGCAAAACACGATAGTTTTAACCTCCACAAGAAAATAAAAGAAGCAGCAGGACGATTCCAAATACGGAATACAGGAGTTCTCCTCGACTCAGACAACAACACCATCACCGAAGTCGACAAAAAACTAGCAAGATGGAAAGAATATATGCAGAAACTCTTTGGAGAGGAAAACGTAGACAATGTGGCTGCAACGGTTAACACTGAAGGACCTACCATCACACAAGAAGAAGTGGAAGCAGCTATCAAAAGGTTAAAAAACAACAAAAGCCCTGGACCAGATCAAATACATGGAGAAGTCCTGAAGCTACTGGACTCCGAACAAATAAAACTGATAACCACCTTTTTTAACAAAATCTATATAGATGGCCAACTGCCAAAAGACTGGCTGATGTCAACATTTATCCCGCTACCCAAGAAAGCGAACGCAACTAAATGCTCAGAGTACAGAATTATAAGCCTGATGAGTCATGCTTTAAAGGCCTTCCTCAATATAATACAAGCACGAATTTACAAACGACTCGACGAGAACATAAGTGCTAATCAGTTTGGCTTCAGGAAAGGACTTGGCACTAGAGAAGCCTTGTTCGCCATACAAGTGCTGATCCAATGAGCACGGGACGTCAATACAGACGTTTTTACTTGTTTCATAGACTTCGAGAGGGCTTTCGACAGGGTTCGGCACGATAAGCTCATCGCAATGCTACGAGAATCAGGAATGGACAACAGAAACACGGAGATCCTAGCAAAACTATACTTACAACAAAAGGCTATGATTCGAGTAGAAAACACAACGTCAGCAGAATTTAGCGTTGGAAGGGGAGTGCGCCAGGGCTGCATACTGTCGCCTCTCCTGTTTAACGTGTATTCAGAACATCTATTCAAGGAAGCATTGGATGATACAGCGGACGGACTTGTAGTAAATGGTCGAATTATAAACAACTTGAGATATGCGGATGATACCGTTCTTGTGGCCGACACTGTCGAGGGGCTTCAGAGATTTGTGGAGCGGGTGGCGACTGCATGCGAAGGATACGGTATGAAGATAAACTGTAAAAAAACACAAATATTAATTATCAGTAAAAACGATATTGGAAACCTACAGTTTACTGCAAACAACGAAGCCATCAAAACAGCAGAGACAGTTACATACCTGGGCTGTACTTTGAACAAAGATTGGGACCACTCTCGAGAAATAAAGTGCCGAATCGAAAAAGCAAGAAGCACATTTAACAAAATGAGAAACATACTCTGTAACCTATCCCTCAGCGTCCGCACTAGAATAAGGGTCCTGAACTGTTATGTTCTCTCGGTCCTCCTTTATGGGACAGAAGCATGGACCCTTACCGATGCCTCGTGCAAACGTATAGATGCCTTCGAGATGTGGTGCTACCGCCGCATCCTCAGAATTTCGTGGGTACATCATGTGACAAATAAAACGGTCATTGAGCGCATCGGAGGAGAAATGGAATTCCCAGAAAACATCAAACGCAGAAAACTGGAATACTTTGGACACATTATGCGCAATGAGAAATACCACCTACTCCAACTCATCTTACAGGCGAAAATAGAGGGTCGACGATCGGCAGGACGCAGACGAATATCGTGGCTGCGGAACCTATGTGCATGGACTGGAATGACATCAACAGCCCTATTCAGATCCGCAGTAAACAAAGTAATATGGACCAACGTGATAGCCAACGTCCACAGAAGACCGGCACTTTAAGAAGAAGATAAATTAAGAACTGAAAATGAACCAATACAAATAAACAATGTCTGAAAATAACCTTTATCAGCATTTAATTATTTAATTGATCTCGCGAAATCTACGATATTTCAGGCTTCTTACTTTTTATTTTATATTTTACTTTTAATTCATTTATTTTATTGAAGTTAATGTGCCTAAGCAGCTTTTGTGTATAAATAAACTTGCCAAGGCGAACAAGCCGAAGAAAATTTTTCAAAATTATATTTGTTTATTTTGTATAATAAAAGTCCTTTATTATTATTAAAGACAGAAAAATAATTAAACTGCCAATATTCAAATTTTGTTTATCATATCTTCATCATATCTTTTTGAACATTTTCTTGTTTTTATCCAAATCCAGAGAAGGCATTAATTTAGTACTCCATTCATTTTTAAGGGAAGTCACAAAATTTCGTTCGTTACCCGCAAATACGCCGCAAATACGGTCGAAATGAATCCTTTTCAGTATATTGTGCGCCTAAAACAACGGCCTTGAAATACGCAAAAAATGCTACGTTGCCATTTTACTACCTCGTAGGAAGCCATAAAGTACTACAACTAAACATACTGTGAAGTCCTGACGTATGGTTTACCGCGGAGATTCAAAGGGAAGTCAATACATGCGACAGACATACCAAGATTACATTGCGAATTGCGCCAACGATCCACGCCTGAACTAAAATTGATAATGTACGGATAAATGGTCGACCTTGGGGCTTCATTAGAAAATTTTGCAGGAACGTTGCTAAGGCCCTCAAGGTCATACATAGGAAACGTTGTGACTTCCGAAATCGGAAGTCTCCACGTTGTAGATGAAGTCACATCGTTAATTGAGTATGTATTTTGGAAGTTGTAGAGTACGTTTCTCAAAATATATATATTTATATATATATATATATATATATATATATATATATATATATATATATATATATATATATATATATATATATATATATATATATATATATATATATACATACATATTAAACGACTTTATCAAGCCCAAAATCGCATATCTCGCATCTATTGCGAAGCCGGACAAATTTTTGCGTGGCCTAAAACGGGCGTCGTAAATTTTCGTGTGTATAACTAAAAATACCAAGATATAGTGACATCTATTAAAATAGCAACTAGGCTATGGGATTGAATTTAGTGTTGTCTACACAATGCAGAAACCTGTTTGCCTGAATGCTCAACCCGAAGCCATATATTTAAAGTTATTTAAACAAGGCATGGGCTTCCTAATGGTGTTACACATCTCAAAATATACACGTGTAGTTCACAGAGATCGCCACCAGGTGGTGCTTCCAAATATACACGTGTATATTTGGATCGCCCGATGTATATAAATGTCCTCGCTTCTGCGAAGCCAGGAAAAACGGCAACATTGCCAATTTCTTTGGGTTGAATCAAACGTGATGTTATAATTTCGATGAAATCAAAAATTATTCGTCGTCTTTAGATAAAATCAAAAAATATGATCAATCTTTATTTTTTAGTGGCATTGAAAAAAAAAACATTAATAAATCATTTTGCATATTAGTCTCATCATCATTAACTTTTGATATACTAATTTTGGCCAAAGAAGAAATTGTTTACTCACTGACATTCAGATTGGATTGCAGCAATTAACGTAAAATTAATGAAAATCAAATTCGTTGAATACAGGTTTATTTATCTTAAGGTGAAAGACAATTTTTGTTTCAATTGTTGATCACTTTGTATCTAAAAGTATTATAAACCAAAGTTTTTATCTTTACCCAGTCAGTAATTGTTATATTATTCCGATATTTAGCAACATACTCTTCGCACTCGTGTTTCTTGGGAGTTATTTTTTCTTCTAAATGACTTTTAAAATAGTTCAATACTAACTTTTTCTCTTTGCTGTTCCATTTAGCGCGACCTTTATTTTGAGATGATTTTTCCGGTACGTGTAAAACGTCTTCTGCACAATTAGTTTTTTCGGTTTCGTGATTACTTTGTTGTATGTCTTCTGAAGACATAATAAATGTTGGTACGTTATATATTTGTTCAGATGATTGGGGTTTCTGATTTATTTGTGTAATTGATGATTCAGTATGTTTTTTAGTTGGTGCGTCATCGTCACTAGATTCTAAAATAGAAGCTTCTTCTTCAATTTCAATTTCACTTAAGCATTTTCCTTTAAACACTTTTCCTTTCCCTTTTTCTAGCAAAAGGAGAACTTTTGCGACTTTAGCAGTCTGAAAAATGTCTTGAGGCAACCTTAAATTAAAAAAAATATATATTGAACTGATGTGGCTTTTACTTGATGAATATCTATTAAACACGATTAAATTAGAACAAAAAATGTTGAGATTTTCACAGTTAATTATTACCTTAAGACAGCTGTAACGACAACACCGTTCCTTTTTCAAATACAAAATATGACGATACTCTGACAACTATATAAACAATAAATTAGTAATAAATTCTTAATTACCGGTGTGTATGACTGGATTTAAGTGAATTTCATACGTTCGTTAATCCGTTTCTTAAATGTTCTACCTGTTTATCCGATATAACATGATCCACATATCAACTTGTAGACTCCGGACTTTAGAGTTTTCCGTGATTTCGTATGAACCCTCTTTGATACATAAGATTATAACAAAAAACAGTTTCAAATAACTCGGAACTCTATCTATCTCTTATTAAATGCCGAACCCAAAACAATAAAATAAAATTAAAATATATATATATATATATATATATATATATATATATATATATATATATATATATATATATATATATATATATATATATATATATATATATATATATATATATATATATATATATATATATATATATATATATATATATATATATATATCGGACAAATAGGTAGAACATTTACGAAACGAATTAACGAACATAAAAGAGCGTATAAAAAAGTTCCGATTCTAACTATGCCATTCATTTAAATTTAAACAAAAAGTAAAAAACTAAATTTCATGGAAGCTATGGAGATTAATAAAATGCGATATTCGAATTTATTACTTAATGACCAAATGGATTTAAATGCGTGTCCGTTGTTAAATTTTAAATTTATAACCCTACACCGGTAATTAAGAATCTATTACTATCTGATTATATATATATAGGTGTCAGAATGTTGTTATATTTGTATTTGATGCACGCGACACGGTGTCAACAGCTGTCATAAAGCAATACATTGTCTGAAAGTTTTTTGTTCTAATTTAATTGTGACAAAAAAAATGCAGACACAGAATTAGGCATAGAATAGAAAGAAGTTGGTTTAAAGTAAATAATTATGTTTGCATTTGATTATATTTTAGTTAAAAAAGTTATTTTTAAAATTAAGTTGCTATAAAATCTCAATTACTTTGAGAATAAAAAAATGTATGGACATCAATAATCACTCACTGAGAGAGATTGAATGAAACAATCAACCTATGTTCAATATGATCACGATTTTAACAACCACTAAAAAGTTTTATTAAATAACTCACCTATAAAACTGAGCATGAGTTTTTCGCGTGTGTCCCATAAAGGTTGCTACTTGCTCTATTTGATGCAGCTGCATTGTCATTAATTGCAAAGTCGTAGCAATATGTTTTCTAAATCGCGTGGAGGTGAGAAGTTGAGGGTGTTTAGCTCCACATTTTATAGCTAAGCGTCTAATGACATTTGCTCCAGAAATCCATTTTTTAGAACCAGGAACTGCGAATATATATGGGTTTGATTTTGGAATAAAATCGGTCATATCCCTATTTTTTAAAAGGCAGGATATATATTTTTGTGTTCGTTTTGAGAAAAGGATAGGAACAGGTCTCGATCCTTTACCTCCTGTTACCACTCTTTTAAATTGTTTGGATATAATTTTTTCCACGGTTGTTAAGGATTCGGTAAATGCTTCCTGATCTAAGTGGTTATCATCCTTCATATACGTTTCTACTTCTCAATAGATGCGAAATATGCGATTTTGGGCTTGATAAAGTCGTTTAATATGTGTATATATATATATATATATATATATATATATATATATATATATATATATATATATATATATATATATATATATATATATATATATATATATATATATATATATATATATATATATATATATATATATATATATATATATATATATATATATATATATATATATATATACAGCAAATGATTTTGACATCCAGTTTCTTGTAAGTGGAAGGATGCTACGAATGCCCGACGCACTAATGCAAAACCCTGGATATTTTGTAATTATTGATTTCCAGCTTAAGTTAATTTTCAATAGATTTGTACCAAAAACGTTAAAAGTTGCTAAACAGATATACCTAAAAACCCCTAAAATGAAAAGTAATTTATGGTGCGAAAGACTAAAATAATTTCGCCAATTGACTGCCATTTACTGCGGTTTTCCCGAGGACTTGTGGTGATTTATGGTGATGTGCCCAGGATTTAAAAAAGATATTTATTATATAACTTTTGGGTTCACATAACATATAGAATCAGTGAGAAATGAATTGAACATTTCCCCTTCTTAAGATATAATACACGTAGGAAGAAACAATCTAAAGAAAATAAATTTATAGAAAACTAACTTTATTAGCAAATTAAAAAAAAACTAACTACTGCTCCTAACATAATCAAGCCGCCAAGGAATACTCCCATTTCCATTAAAGTATGTTTTCAAATACTCTCGGAAGCTAAATGCCTCATTGGTAAAATTTCTATTACCGAATCGTAAATTGATAGTGCCTAATGCACAATCTCGTGGAATTTCTTTCCTCCAGAGACCAGGGGTAATGATTCCATCCACCTCTCTGTCAACAAATTCATGGCCGCAATAAATTAGTGTGTCACTTTCTTGTAGCTTAATAAAATTATGTAGACAGGCAGTTGCCTTTACTATAGCATCAACAGTTTCAGGATCTGCATTAATCACACGGTGATATATTCTAAATCTAGCAGTTAAGATACCCAGCGTGTTTTCAATTATTCTTATTCCTCTAGACAATCTGTAACATATGATATTTAGAACAGTTTCTCAAAACTCTACAATTCTCAATGAAATTCAGTAAAACACACAAAAGTTAATTGAGAACTACTAACCTATAATTAAACACCAACTGGTCTTCTGGCATCTTGAGTTTTCTCTTTTTACTATATGGCCTCATTAAATGAACTTGCAAGGGAAAAGCTTCATTGCCAACAAAGAAAAATGGGACATCATCATTTGCATTTGGGAGTTTTTGCAGATTAGGTATATTCAAAGTTCCATTTTGAAGAAGTTGACCAAATTCAGACTTTTTTAGCACCCCACCATCACACTGTGACTTATAAGCACCAACATTTATGTGTGTAAGAAAATATTTTGAATCGCAAACAGCTAAAAGCACAATAGCAAAATTATTTTTATAATGCAAGTATTGACTTCCAGTGTGGGATGGTGCTTTTATATGTACATTCTTTCCATCAATGCCCCCCAAGCAGTTGGGCAAATGCCACAAATTATTGAAATCTTCTGCTATTGATAGCCACTCTTGTGTAATAGGTAATTTTAAAACCCTTGGTGAGAGTACTTGCCATAAAATATTACAGGTTTCAAAAATTATTTTACAAATTGTTGACGGTGCAATTTTGAAAGTATATCCTAAACTAGGGTAGCTATCTCCAGTCACAAGAAACCTTAATGTTACCATCAACCTGGTAGCTGGGGCTATTGCTTCCCTCTGTGAGTGTTTTACTAAATAAGACCCACAAAGAGATAACAAATATTCAAAAGTAGAGGCAGTCATCCTAGAAAAATTAAAAAACAATTCTGTATTGCTTAACCCCAATTCCTTAACTAAATTATCAAAAAGCACGTGTGGTTTTCGCTTCAAATATATATCTCGCACCCACATTCTCCTTTTATTTCGCGTTTCATTGTATCTATATTTTCTAGATAAAACATATGCCACAACTGAAGCACCCCCGAAAACAGTAATCTTTTTACTATTATCGTCCATTTTTTGTAAATAATATTGGTCTTACAAATATCACAGAACACAAATACTAAATTGATTATAATCTTATCATGGACTAACACAAATGATTCGTATTATAAAAAGATATTTTTCTATTTACCTGCAACATAGTCGCATATACCGCTACTATTGCAATACTTCTAGACTAAAAATGCTCGATTTCTTTATTAATGTCTTACTATTAATTGTGTCCATTTTGAACCACATTTCGCAAGACCGAAATTGGGTAAGTAGTTGCAGCTGCTTGCCTAGCTGAGAAAAGAAGTTTCACATCTATTTCCGACTGTATATAAATTGCTTGTCAAAATACGTGGCTGAAAGGTTTAAGAATTTTTTTGTTGGGCGTCAGTGATCTGTAAATAAATATACACAAGTATCCTATGTTTTAAATTGTATCAATATCAATATGGGACTTTGTAAATGCCCTAAACGTCGTGTAACGAACCAGTTCTGCTTTGAACACAGAGTGTGCGTTTGTGAAAATTGTATGGTAACAAATCATCCAACTGTAAGTACATAATACTCAGAAGAACTCAAAAAATATCGAATGTGTATTGTTATAGTGTGTGGTACAATCCTACCTCCAGTGGTTGCAAGATAGTGACTACAATTCAATTTGCGAACTGTGTAGTAAACAACTTAATGTGGAAGACTGTATAAGATTAACCTGTTATCGTAACCAGCCATCTAGATTGGTACATTTTTGAAGCATTCATATTACATATTTTTAGATGTATTCCACTGGTCTTGTTTGGATCATTACTCAAGACAGTTGCCTGCTACAACAGCACCAAGAGGTTATACATGTCCTTCATGTAAAAGCCCATTGTTTCCACCCCCAAACCTAGTAAGCCCTGTTGCAGATGTACTGAAGGAAAAGCTGGCAGGAGTAAATTGGGCTAGAGCTGGTTTAGGACTGCCCCTGGTAAGAAAGCAAAACCACAATCAAGGACAATTAATGCACAAAACACACATTTAGTTATCAGAAGACAGAGAAATAAAAACCAATATCAGCCATATTAACTCATCACTCTCACCAAGTTCAAGAATAGCAACTAGTCCATCACATTCAATAGTTAATGTAGATGAACATGGACCATTTAATAGGACAGAAAACTATCACAACTCTTCTAGCCGGAAATCTTTTCGTGATATCCGGGAAGCAAAATCTATGGGCTTTGATCATGATGATGATAAATATAAAAGAAGGCCAATTTTAGAACTCATTAGTACTTGGTGGAAGTAAGTACCAACAAGATGTGTATATATATATATATATATATATATATATATATATATATATATATATATATATATATATATATATATATATATATATATATATATATATATATATATATATATATATATATATATATATATATATATATATATATATATATATATATATATATATATATATATATATGTATAATTATATATATATATATATATATATATATATATATATATATATATATATATATATATATATATATGTATAATTATATATATATATATATATATATATATATATATATATATATATATATATATATATATATATATATATATATAATTTTTTTTAATATTTTTAGGATAACATTTGGTGCTCCATTAAGATCAAGAGCGGGAAGGTCAATATATAGACGGTACTGTTTGTTGGGAACTATAATAGTAATAGGAGTAATTTTGTTTTTGTATATGATGTCAAAACTTGGAAGGTACTCCACTGAAAATGATCCCAATTTAGATGTAAACCAAAATTCATTTATTGCAGTCAAGGATAGCTAAAATATGTTAATTTTAAGTTATAAATAGTGTATAGGTAAGTGTAATGTTATTTAATTTTTTGCTGTATCACTACATAAATTAAAAAGTTTCCTTTAGTGGAAGAAAAGCAGCTAGCATACCTAAAAAACAGTTTTTAGACTTTCTGTATCTAATAATAATGACATTAACATTGCTAGTTTTTTTTAATAAAGGATGTGGTAACAGTACTATTTTTTTGGATCCGGCTGCAAACTTATAACACACATCTGCCAGGGTTTAACCAAAATATTTTTTCATAAGCAAATAGAAAAATAACTTGAAATAGTGTTAATACACTTTTTGAGTTGCCCATCTGAACAAATGATACTGATGAAATAAAATGTCTAGAAATCTGCCGCCAACATAAGTAAATAATTAAGGTGATACTAGTCACTATGCTGTCTATTAGATTATTTCACACACCAGATAGTGTAAAAGCCATGTAGTTACTATCCCGACCCATGCTGATAATTTTTGAGGCTACCATGAAAACAAAACCATTTCAACCAAGAAGATCTAAGAGTTCAAACAAACCAGTAAGATCTTGCGACGTTCCACAATGAACACGGCCGATGGCGAGTTCATTAATAAAAAGGTTTTCCCTTTGGATATGGCATTTTTTCTGCAGAATTTTGTCAAAATATGGCCCGATTCCAAATTTTCAGGATAAAAACCAGTTAAGTTTGTGAAGATCGCTGTTTAGAAAGAAAAAGGCGCCAAGTGCAGATTAGTGTTAGATACATTCGCGAAAAATCATTTCCTTTTTTACAAAAATGTCATAGCCACTCTTGCATTCTAGATATATTGTTCGTAATTAACTTCAAACATAAATCACTTCCCTGAGGTATAGAAGAAATATATCAGAATGTAAACACATCATGGAATTTTTAAACTGAGTAATGACAATTTAGCGCATTCTACCTAAATAAATTAATATCTCTCAAAAGTACTCTTGTTTTTAGTTATAGAGATCGCGAACATTTTCCACAAGCAAAGTAGCACGTTTAGGTTACTAGGTACAAAATTTCAATTCTACAACTGACAAGGATTAATTTTTACCGGTAACATATGACACTGACAGATTAGAATAATTTTAAAATCGAAATTACCTTTTTTTTCCAAAATTGAGTTTAAAATGTTTGATAGTGTAAAAATGGAATAGAGCGAGAAACGACTCGAAGACTCAAAAAAAAACAAGCAAAAGTACTATACCCTGTGAAATTACGTTTGAAATGCCAAGTTTGTAAGCCATTTCATATTTTAATGTTGGGTTTGTGGTGGAAGTAACATTTTATTTTTTAAATCAAGATATCGCAGTTCACACGCTACAGAAACTTGCACAGCTAGTCCAAAGTGTTCCCATGACAGAGAAAAATTTCCCTATAAAGAATTTCCCCCTCCTGCTCCACCAGGAGGCGAAAATGCGTGGGATCTGCAATTTTGTAGATGGTGGGGATGGAATTGGGTACGCAAGAAGAAAAGTGGAACCTCACTGGAGAATACTGATCAAACAACTAATAATGAAGCAGAAACCAGCGATAGACGTTTCCAAAAAAGCAGTTTATTTCAATCGCAATTCCAATCCAAACACAAAAGGTTAATAAGGTGCACAATAGAATAGGAAGGGACGTCAAAAGCTGTATTACTATAAAAATAACTTTACCAAAAAAAAGAACGGCAGTGAAACCCGCACCTTTCTATTTGCAATTAATAACCAAGATACGCCACTGTAAAAATGCCCTGTCTCAGCGTATTACCCCAAGAGACCTCAGCAAAATTTAGTTATGTTTTATAGCTCAACTTTTTTATTTTCAGTATTTTTCAGTTCAGTTTTCAGTTTCTTTAAATTGAATGAAAAAAAAAATTCAGTTTAGAAACAAATTTTGGTCAACAATTTTTTAAAACATCGCCATTAGAAGATTATTGTGGGAATAACACTGGAGTTTAATGTCTTTGACAATTGCTAGTTTACATCTTAAGGCCGCCCAATGGTTTTTACTAGTGCGGTAATTTGAAATACAAATTTATGCAAAACAACACACTATTAATCGGATCAGAAGATTGAAAGTAATTTGCTAACTTGCTATACATGATTTCGGAATCCTAACTAAATTCTTTACATAGAACTAATATTATAGCAGCTCCAAATCATAGATATTAACAATTTAACTATGTATATTTAAAATACCATAGGCTAATTTCTCGAAAACGCAACGGCGCAACAATGTACGTACACTTCTGCGAAATATTCCTTTAGGCAGAAAAAATCTATACCACGCGTACCACCTTTACCAATTGGCCAAGAACATGATAGGAACAACAACTGTCGATGCCACCAACATAGGAATCAACTGTCTGGCCGTGTAACACCGCTCCCGACAAAGCGTGAATTGAAAGAATTATGCAAATGTCTCGTGTTCAAAAAACCATCCGGAATTCTACCTTCACCCGATATGCAACATTTATACAATACACCGTCCAACAGCGTGCTTGCTATAAGAAAGCGCACTTATACCATGGATGACCAACAAATAAAATCGTCTGTGGACAAACAACTTTACATTGATCATAAAAAAAGAAAGGTAAATAATATTTAATAAAAAATAACTACTGTATACATTGAAGAAATTTATATTTATTGCAAAACGGTAATAGATGCACAAAAGATATATGAAATAGTATACAGGGTGAGTCAAGAGTTATCTTGTTGGTTTCAAAAAGTTATGTGAAAATGGTTAATAAAAAAGTTAAATAAAATCAAGTAAATAAAATAAAAATTAAATTTTGTTTTGAATATTTTAATTTGTTTTAAAAAAATAGTTTTTGTCACACCTGCAAAAAATTACGATCGCATCATTACGTTTGAAGCTTGATCACTCATATTTGATATTAGCGTTTGGATATATTATGTTTTCTAAAAAATCTTACAAAAACTTACTTACAACTTTTATTAATTTTTAATACTTTGCGATTTATTTTACCTTTATTATATTTATTTCTGTCTCAGACTATTGCTATAATATTAGTTGAATATGAAAAACGGAAAGTGGTAGGTAAATCGAAATACGAAAATGAATTCAAAATTTTGCTTGCAAGTTCAAAATAATCCCCAGGTCAGTAGCCGTCAAGTAGCTAGCTTATGTGATACATCCCAATGTACCGTTAATCGCATAGAGATTAAGAGGCCGCTCCAAATATATATAATTATATAATTAGTAATATTATAGATAAAAGATTCAAGATATTCTTACAGATGGATCATATCGCCAACTTAAAAAAGATCCTGTCACCCTTCATGACTCTAAAATTCACAATCCATTATTACCCCTTTGACCTATTGTTAGCACCATCAGTTCTCCAATATTCTCTAGCAAAATTTCTAGCTTTGCAGAGAAAACTGATAGTTTCGTACTTAGTTCCTTTCACTTCATTGAACAATTAAAAAGCATTACACTAGGTACACAATATATTCTGGTTAATTTCGACTTAGAATCCATTTTTACTAAAACTCTCAACATTTCAGATACATTAAAATCCGGGAGCCTAGGACCAAACCTTCTCATCTTAATTGAAAAATGCTTGTCTGGAACATATTTTTCTTATAACGGTCAAATTTTTGAACAAATGTCGGGAACAGCTTTCCATTATTATCGGTCATCGCGAATATATTTATGGAAGGCTTTGAAACGAAAGCTCTCGACACCTTCAATCTAAAACCAAAATTATGGGAACGCTACGTCGATAATACTTTTCTTATTTCGCATCATGGTCAAGAAACCCTAGTAGATTTTCTTAGACATTTAAACTCTATATACCCTAACATACATTTTACAATTGAATCAGAAACAAATAATAACCTCCCATTCTGAGATTTTCTTATCAATAGAAAAGCAGACCTAACATTGTCACATCACCATCCGTCCCAAAAATCATCGGTATCAACCCTGTTGTTTACAGAGTTGTAAAACAGCCCGAGTCACTGAACCCAGAATTAATTTCCACATTAAAGATATTAAGCGTTCCGCCACAAAATACACTTGACCACAACGATCCAATAGCAATAAGGCCAAAAGCAATCTCACACTGTTGTCCTTTCTTACATTCAAAACATCACTTGCCACATATCTAAAATTCTAAAGAAATATAAAGTGAAACCCAGATTTACCACTTGTCCAGAAATCTCTCAACATCTTCGATCCGTCAAAGTCAAAATTGAATTTAAGATGCCAGGAGTTCACAGCATTCCATGCATATGTGGCAAAAATACATTGTTGAGACCGGACGCAAAATATCAACTAGGCTCAAAGAACACGAAAGAGCCTTAAAACTAAGACAAATAAACTCTTCAGAAGTTGCCGAACACAATCACGAGACCGAACATCAAATGTTATTTGACAAAACTAAAATTCTTCCATGTAATCAATTCTTCTACCAACGAAAAATCGGAGAGTCTATAGAAATCTATAAGCAACCTAACAATCTTAACCGCGACTCAGGTCTTTACATGTCACCAATATGGGAATCAGTCATCCGAGACGGAGTTTATGCCTCTGATTTACCTCCGTCCCCCTCAAACAATATATAAGAAGGTACAGAGTAAAATGCGAGTCCGTTTCAGTTAAGCTCTGAAGAAGCCAACATGGTGATTGGCGAAACATCAGCGAGTTTGTTTCAACAAAAACAAAAAAACTAAAAAAAGTTGAAGAATTTCAAAACGAATTCAAAACAAAATTTCATTTTGTACGTCACGCTTTTTTTAAATATTTTCTCATAACTTTTGAAACCAATGAGATAATGAACCTTACTCTATCGCTGACTTGTACAGAGGATTCAATTTTAACAACTGTTCATGTTAAAGCAAATACAATTCAATAGAGGAATCTCGCCTAGACAGTAATAACCATAAATAAATTAGACAATTTGTATTTTACAGATGGTTTTAACATTAACTTTACCTTTAATTTAAAGACAGCCTAAAAAACTTTATTTGAATATCAATTGAAACTAAATTCATTAAAATTTCATTTTATTACAATTACCTACCTACACAGCAAGAATTTTGAAAGTGCAAATTAAAAAATTTGAGTTTTAGATGCGTTCATGGAATAAAAATGGTCATACCAGCTCAAGTGAGGAGGTTATTGCCGGGCCGACCTCAATTTACCGTCCACACTCCAGTACCGAAGACAGCGTTGAATACTTGACCGTAAAGCTCCAACAGATCAAGTCGAACATATGTTGTCCTTGTCGCGAATATTCCTCAAAAAGGGAACAGGAACCGGTAAAACACACCACCGAAATGCAAACATTACGAGAAGCACAAGAAGATAAAGCAATACAGACAATTAATAGTGAGCAACATAATACCGTAGAAAAGGTTTTGAAATATAATGGGAAAAAGAAAAAAACAATTTGTATAATGCTGTGCTGTTGTGGAAGTTGTTTACAAGCTCAAGGCGACAACAAAATAAAGTCCAACAAATCAAAAGAAGATGCATTCATTACGGATGTTAGAAAAACATCTTGCGAAATTGGCAAGGGATGCACAAATCATATGTGGACAAAAAAATGTGTATCGGATGAAGCAACAACTCCATTTTATAACAAAGATTACTATGAAAGTCCTCTTACTGGAAAAACTTACAGCCTGGGGCCAGTAATCTTGAACAACAATGAAGAGCTTAAACTGCCAGAACTAGTTGATGTTAACGAAGATTTGGAGTGTTTAAAAAAACTAAAATCAGTTGCAAAATCTGAAGAGGAACATCGTGTGATGTTAGACGCTGTATGCGATGCTATACTTTCAGAACACTCACAAGCAAAATACAACCCGTATAAATTATTCAATGAATTAATATGCGAAGACAGTCAGACGATTCTAAAACAAGACCTAAAAAATGATGAACACAGTGATTTTAAGAAAAAAAAAATAAATTTGATTTTAAATGGGTCCCCACGACTTAGAAAACCATCTTATGGGATACCAACACTTAGAGAGCTTAGCGATGAGAACAATAACAGAGAAAATAAGGAGAATAAAATTCAATTCCCAGAGTTTCAATTCAAAGTTACAGATCAAAATTCAATCTATGAAAAACATGATTTTGGATCAACTAGTCCGGTCTATACCACGCCAATGCATGGAGCGTCGACCAGTTTTGCATATCAAGGGCCCGATCAAACCGAAGTAAAAATAAAAAAACAAACTCCTTCCAAATATCGCGTCCCAAGGTGGAGCATAACCTGTCCAAAAATTGAAAATGAAATTGGAAAACATAATACCACGGGCGACCAAGATATTGCTGTTCAACGTATTGACCACAGTGCATTAGAAGTGACAATAAAAAAATTATATAAAATGTCCTCAAATTCGTTTGAACTAGATTCGAACGTTAACGACACTCATGAGCGAAAAAATTATAGTATATTTTCGGATATGAACACGCCTTTGCAACTTGGAAACAAAGATGATGAAGACAGTTCAATGATTAATAAAGAGTTTCTAACACAACAAAATAAGAAGTCAGGATGTAATGCCCAGAAATCTAATACGAGAACCAAATCCGCAAATACATTGGCAGGAATCTCAAGACATTATACAGGATCATCCTTGATTCCAGTGCGAAAAAAAAGTAGTATGATAACGAATAAAAAATCTATATTGAAATGGTCTTAGTGTATGAATTCGAACCAAATGAACAAATAAATGTGAAAACGTTAGCGAAAACAGATTTTATTTATATAAAAGAAAACAAATAACTGTATTTATCCATACAACTAAGTACAAACTTGAGCAATAACTTTTTACACAAATTCCCTTTTACTTTTTATGTGACAAGTATGAACTATTAACTCTTCAGAACTTAAAAGTCGGGCTTTAAGACAATTTAAAACTTTGTACAAGCTATATAATAATACACTTAATACAATCAGGTTTATGTTATTAACAACGAAATTAAATTTAATCATAAAATCGCGAGTAAACTGATAAATATATCACTCTGTGGCAATTTGACCTAAGACAATATAAAAAAAAGCCATTTTTGGGCACTTTTAATGTGTTAATTAGTTACTTGTAAGCACGCAAACTTGAATGTATTTCTTACGATATACACCTCATCCATTTGAGTCTCGAATAAAAGGTTATAGAATATAAGTTACCTCTCTTTAGATCTAATTTCGGTCTTAGTTCAAAGAACGCCTCAATCTCAAATACGTTCTTAACAGTGCAATGGATGTTAAATGTTATCGATGACCCAAAAAACATCAGGCGGCTCAGATATCTTTAAACGGCCGAATCTAATGGGAGGTTTTAAAAAACTTGAGCTTTTTACATTTCAAATATAATTTTCTAAGTGTTGCGCTCTGAATTTAATTCTTTTACTCTACAAATGTTTAAATCTTGTTTGGCAAATGACAAACAAAAGTAAATTTGGACTATTGTATATAATAGTATGAATTAATTGAAAGGAAAACTTTCACAAAGAAACGTAAAAGGAACAGTTGAGAAATATTGTTTTAATATTTGTCCAATATTTTCATGATATGGCAACTGCCTAAATTTACTAAAAAATATATCATCCAACACATACATACTCATATATTTGAAAATGGATAATCGTGTACATTATTACATTTTGAGATTCTGAGTGAAATTTCAAACAGATTTTATGTATAATGTCCTATACCTATACCTATGTGTGCCTGTTTTGAACTATTTACCCTTAATTTTTTTCTTGCAAAATTGTACATTTTGTAATTTCTAAAAATTAGATCCTCATATTTGGCAAAATGTTAAAAGAGGCTAAAGCTCATGTTTTTGTTATTGGTGCTGTCTACTTGTATACAAGTTACCCAAAATTAGACCACAAACATTCACATTTTCAAAGTAGCAATACTCGGGTTTTTCAAATGGGACATCCTGTAACTTTAAGTGTTATCAAGTCTGGAACTTATTTCTCTATCAAACTACAATAGGGTCACCTATACCTATTCCAAATAATATTAGAAATAATTAGGTTTTTTGATAAGTATCGTATTTGTTCGTCTGAACATTATTCTTTCACGTACTTGGCTATGCGAAAAAATATTATTTCTATACTAATTAATAGTTAGTTGTGATGTTTGACAAGAGAACATAATAATTGTTTTAACCATAACCAAGTACGTGAAGGTAAAATGTTCAACAGAACAAATACGATACTCTCAAAAAACATTTTTAATATGTTTCGGAATAGATACAGGTAACTCTAATGCAGTTTAATAGAGAAATAAGTACTGGACTTAGCAGAAGTAAGGTAAAATTTTTCGCAGATTTAAAAAAGGAAAGTGAACTAGAATAGTAATTAATTATGCAGTTAGGATTTAGGGGCCGTGCCGACTGATGCGGCGTTTCCCAGATTTATCCTTAGTGGGGGAGGCAACCAACCTCCCCTAGGCCTAACTTATAATACATTTAATATCGAACACCATAAATATAGAGATACAGGACCTTTTTGATTATATTAGAAAGTATGTACCCCAGTAAAAACAGTGTTAACTTACAACCAATAAAAATAGGTAGGGAACTTAAAAAACAACGAGGGTATGTGAGCCCAGTTGCACAATGCAAAAATTGTTTTCGCTATGGTCATTTTGACACAACGTGCCGAAACAAAAAAATACGTGCAAGATGCCAAGATGAACACAAAGAGTGCGATTGCACAGCTAACGTGCCCAGAGGTACGTTCTGCGAGCAACATCTAACCACTGATAGGACATTCACATAGATCCAAAGGCGAAATGCCATCAAGGAAGTTATGGCTTTAAAAAACTTACCCTACTTTGAAGCAAGGAAAAGATGCGCCCAAACACTCAAGGAATAAATATAGTGCACATAATACTAGATTTATAAGAAGTAGCGAAGAGTTTCCAGCAATTAGATTTAATTCAAATGGACACAAAAATCAGGTTGAACGACGACAGTCCGGCAATAAAAGTCCAACACAGAAATCTTCGTACAGTTATATCATAAAACCGCCTAAACGCAAGCCAACATTGTCGCAATCCACCCAATTGGAAAAAAATGATGAGGGAGCTAACATTGCCATCACAACACAGAGCACTGTTTTCGACTATATAAAAAGTAATAATGACACATAAAGGTCAGGTACAAATAATAGGGATAGCAGAGAAAATTCAGTGAAATCTATAGCCCTCCTGGAATTCGTAAAGCAAGTTTTAAGCTAAACCAATCTAGTAGAAGAAAATAATGTGCAAGCATTTCAGAAAATAGATTAAGTAGTACCTCCGTTTTCGAAGTAAACTTCTATATAAAAAAAAAGATGACAATCGCTATAGTACCATGGAATATTAATGGCATTAAAAGGAAAATAATGCACCTACAAATTCTAGTTAATGAAATTAAACCAGAACTAATTTTATTAAATGAAACACACCTTAAGGAAACAGTCAGCCTAAATTTCAAGAATTACACGATCATACAACAGGATCGAGCAGACGGATATGGTGGTATATGCGTACTTATCAATGAGAATTTTTCATACAAGAAAATTAAACATACTCTTAGACGCTCCAGCAAATACACAGCTACAAGTTATAGAAATAGGAAACTATAATACAGTCAATCAATATATTTCAAATATTATACCATCGGTAATAAATTTTGTAAACTGCTGAAGCTAACTGAACATCCATCACTCATAAAATAAATAATTTGAATGCACAACATACAATCAGTAATCAAGCAAATAGGACGAAATTTGTTGGAAGCTTTGGAATACAGCGATGGCAACAGAATATGGCTAACACCAAAAGAAAGTAGTTGTAGTTTGGAAGTAGTAATAGTAGTGGTAGGAAATTACCCAAATCTCACAAGACGCGGCAAACAATTGTAACTGGAAACAATCCCGTTCAACCCACAATTAAACCAATTAATAAGCATACAAACACGGAAATGGGACACAAAATTCGCAGACTGGAAAAACTATAAACAACTTATAGAACAACAAAACACAAGAAAACTATGAAGAATAGTTAGATACAACAAACAGGGCAGCCACACAGTCAATTCCAAAGATACACAGACAACACGGTCAAACTAAATATCTTAAGAAACCAGTTTGGTGGGATGATACCTGCGAACAACAAATCAGAGCAAGTATGTTTTAAGACATAGAAGGATTGCCGCACAAACAAGAAGAGCACTTAAAAGAAAGAAAAAACAAGAGTTTATCAATTTCTTTGGAGATTTAGATCAGACAGCCCCATAAAAACCATATGGTCAACAGTAAGTAAATTCTCTAATAACTACACAAGCCCCACACATAGGCTAGAGTCGAACAATGAACGACTTGCTGCTGCAATTGAGAGAAACAGACTAGTAAGAAGAATGCAAAACATGGAATGCCGCAACAAAGAACCAGTATACAAAATTAATACTGAGGAACTCAGAGTAATATTGCATTGATATTATTATTTTTTTAAATTTACCCGACTACCACCTTGAAAAACTATGCACAATCTACAACAAAATATTGCAAGCAGAAAGGGATATCCCAACTCAAGTGATTGCACCAATTCTAATACACAAATAATGATCCAAATAACCATACCAGCTACAGACCTATAATGCTGGAGTAACGTAAATTAAGAGAATGCAATTCAAAATAGCATAGACCGGGACTAGGACCGTTAGAGGATTGTATATATTTACAGAAATATATAAAGCATTTACAGTCGGTGAAAAAGTGATAGTAGTTTTCTTGGATATTAATCAGCTTTCGCTAGGACAGTTCGTCCTATTTTACTGAGCTATCTTGATGAACTACACAAAAATGAAAATATAATCAAATACATAAAAAATTTACTAAAAAAGAGGAGAGTGTTAAACAAATCACCAACAACGTATGTACAGAATCTAGATGCACACAAGCAGAGGTTTAACACAGGGGGTCCCCGTCGAGTCCCTTATTGTTTACTTTATATGTGGCGCCGTTAATACCACTAACAATATACCAGGTATGACTAGACACATAAACAAATTAAATAAAGTGAATATGTGGCTAAAAACTTGGGGATCATCTTTGCTAGGCAACTCAAATGGACAGCACACGTGGATCGCTGCACAACAAAGGCACAAAGGCACAAACCTTACCAGAGTTTGATGGGGAGGAGACCCAAAAACACTATTATTGATATAAGGGAATTGTTAGAAATCATTTAGAGTTCGGAGTGCAGTGCATATTTCAAACATCAAAAGGAAACTGGAACAAATTCAATTGAAAAACACTATTATTGATATATAAGGGAATTGTTAGAAAACATTTAGAGTTCGGAGTTGCTGTGCATATTTCAAACATCAAAAGGAAACTGGAACAAACTCAATTGAGTACAATATCAAACTTTAAGAATAGCTTTAGGTTGTATGTGGTCCACACAGATAAAGCTAATCTTATCAGAAGCAGGAGAGACCCCTTTGGAACTAATAAGAATATGGCTTGCAGCAAAGTTTTCAGCCAAAAAATAGCAGCAGAACTTTGGTCATTCTACGAGATCTACTGATGCCTGAGCCGTCCCTACTGGAACAATCATCAAACACCTGCGTTACTGGAATGGCTTAATTTAATTTTCAATAAGTATGAGTATATTCATAAAAGTTAAGTATTACCATGTTTCCAATGTCCAATTATAGACCGAACATCCTAAATTAAAATTTTAAAAACAAACTTCAATAAAGAAACCAGTTAATAAACAAATATTTAAACAGTTTATTGAAGAAAATTTAGAAGGATTTACATTAGCTTATACCCACACATCAGTGAAACTGGAGGACAACTCTTGTGGAATAGAAATATCCTGCAAGCATCCCAGAACAAACATATTGAGGAAACTTAACAAATATACACCGATATGCTCAACAGAAATACTTGCTATAAGGGAAGCAGTAAAAGAAGAAGTAAGAAGAAGTATCAAATACTTTGAATAAATTAGCAGTGATTTCTGATTTATGGAGTGCTATCCAAGCAATAGCAATCAATGATATTTCCGGACGCAGTGCTTACATAATGTTACGCACACGACAAGAAATTATGTCCAATAGGAATAAGTGCGATATCAGGCTAGTGTGAATACCTAGCAATAAAGCAATAAAGGGCAATGATATGGCGACAGACTAGCAAACAAAAGTATGTTAGATCAGAACGTGCAACAACTCAACAATAATATGCTATGCAACAAGTGCGGTAAACGGCAACGTGTTGCATACTATACTTTTTCTACGACCGTTAGTTTTAAGGTACATTTTTGCAAAACAACACAAATACATTCACTGATATCACCGTCACAAATCTCCGAAAGCCTTCGATTGTTCCCAAGCCCGTGCGAAAATATCCCGGAAATGTCCGAAGGGACTCGGATCCGTGGGACAAGAAACTCACGTGGTAAAGTGACGCTTTCTGCACGCTAGATCGGTATTTTACAGAAGGGAGTAGAAAAATTTCCTTTGTCTCGATTTATAACTCACATAAAATAGACATGTACCAAAACTGGTCACAAAACAAAGGCAAAGGTTATGGGAGAATCCAAACCACTCCGCAAAAAATAATAAGACGAGAACCAACCATTGCTGTATACCCGTTCACCTTCATAAAATCGGAATGAAAGAAACACCTAACTGCAACCATGGACATGAAACTGGAGATTTATACCAGGTTATATTAGGTTGCCTGTGGAAGAGGGACAACAAGTATTATTAATTAAATTAAATTAAGAAAAACACCAGGATCTATCAACATAGAACATATGTTTACAAATCCAGCATCTAAGAATAAAATATGTAATGAGAAATAACTTAAAAATTTAATTAACTAGCAGGAAATTCACTTAGCTTGTAAATAATCGCAACTTGTAGTAGCTTATACTTGAATATAATTAAAAATGAATATACATGTATAATAATAATATTTAGACATAGCTTATACAGCTTAGAAGGTAACCCAACTCCATTGTCCTGGCTTATCCTGTGTGTAATGGCTGGATTGCCACAAGGTGAGAAAAGTTTTATCGTAACCCTTACACCTATTCCTTTATTAGCCGCACCATGAGAGGCACCTATGATACACCTAACATCGAGAAAAAAACTGGGCACCCCCCACGAAGAAGAAGTTGACTTGATACCTAATTCTTACAGTTAAAAAATGAAAAAACAAGTTTCGCGAATTTGAAAATGTTTTTTGGACATCCTGTATTCAACTAGACAGCAAGAACAACAACAATTTCTTACTTACATACTCTTGCTTAGTTATTTAGTCTCTTTTTAACATTTTACCAAATTTGAGGATCAAATTTTCAAAAAGTTATAAAAATATGCATTTTCAAAGTTGGTTACACTGGAGAAAAAAAAATTCAATATATGTAGCGTTTCACACAGAATCTCAAAATGAATAAGAATGAAACGAAATTGTCTTTTTGTTAGTTTGTTTACACTGAGTAATAATATTTATCATTGAATTGTGCCAAAAATTTATATTCCACTGAACATTAATTCCTATTTATAAAAACATTCTGTAATTAAACAATGCATTTCCATTTTACTTGATTAATGACAAAAAGAACTAAACAGGAAAAGAAGGATCTACTCTCTGTCGACACTTGAAGTTGGATCAACCAGTTATCAGATTTATTTTTTATTTTGGATGCTTTGAAACATATAAAAATGCTAAGGAAGAGTAGAAAAAGAGAAACGCGAAGATCGGGAGCTTATTGTCTTGTTTATGTTCTTAGTGACAGTAAACCCGCTATTTTTACAACATTTTGCACTAACAAGATTTGTTAAAAAGAATAAAATTAATCAACAGCTTTTTAATTTATTTAAAAACAAAAAAAACTTTCTGTTAGCTTCAGACAATTTGATTTATCTTTCGTAAAAATTAGATCAATAGAGAACTAGCGTTATTGTTAAAATTAATTATCAGCTATCAACTTAGTTTGGTCAGAATATGACCTATTGTACTTAAGATGACTTTTTACTAGTTGCCCATTCGCCAGTGCCGCCATCAGGGACAGTTCACCGGCTAACACCGCCCCACATACAATTCTAGCTAACTGCTTAGCATTGTCACCCGGATTCTCCATGTGAGGTCCTTTGACTCCCAACATTTCAAGACACGCTGATTGGGCTGGAAGAACTGTACCTACAAACAACATTTATTTATTATTGGAAAATTTTTTATGCACTGTGATTGTCAATTGAAAAACTTACCTCCTCCAATAGTTCCTATTTCAACAGATGGCATTGTACAAGAAATGAAAAGATCATTTCCTTTCTCTCCACATGGTTCCATAATCGTCATACAATTGCTGCTAGCTACATTCTGTGCAGCATCCTGTCCAGTTGCAATAAACACTGCTGTTACTATGTTTGCTGCATGGGCGTTATATCCTCCTGAAGTTATTAATGGCTTAACTTTAATTATTACTGGAGAAACTGTTACATTAAGCAACTCAAACATTTATGATAACAGGCGTTATAATAATCATCAAGTTAGTATATTCCAGTCAACAAAACATGCAATATACTTAAGTTAATACTAGTATTAAAACATGAAATTCATAAATCTTATCATAAAAAAGTACAAATTAAAAAAAGAATTAATAATTATTAAAATATAAGAAATAACAAACAAAAATTACCCAATTAATGTTATTCTTTTATGATATTTCATTATCATGAGAAAACAGAATATCATTGTAAAAATGATTTTTTTGAAATTTTTATGAACAACTTCGTTAAGCAAAATTATTCTAATTATCAATTAAATTTTACCTACCAAATGGTATATAAACTAACCTATACTTCCAGCTATAGCTGACCCAACCATGTTTTTGGATATGTTTAAGTCTATGAGTACCGCTGTTGTTGTTTTAAGTACAGAAGACACAACGTCCGCGGAAATGACTGCTTGACATACTACACTTTTTCCACGACCCTCGATCCAATTGATCGCTGCAGGTTTTTTGTCTGTGCAAACATTACCACTTAGACTTAATATTTCCATTTCTGGAAATTCTGTTTGCAAAAGCTGTAGTGCTTCTTCCGTACCTGGAATTTAATATTTTAAAGGAGTTTGCTTATGCAAATACTAATACTACTATTATAGCTTATTAAAAAACTGATAGTAACCCTTAGATATCATATTCATTCCCATAGCATCACCGGTTGTGGCAATAAATCTTATAAACAAGTATCGTCCCGCAATATGAGGTGAAAGTTTTGCCAATTTAGCATAACGACTAGTAGAATCAAAATTTTGCTTGATCAAGTTGAAGTTCTCCGGTTTTCTAAGCCAATGAATTGCTTCAGTTGCTCTGGTCACAGATTGAAATCTCACTACTGGAGCCCTGGTCATGCCATCAGCGACAATACTACTTCTCACCCCACATTTTTCCAGAGCTCGGCAGCCTAAAACAAAAGGTATAAGAATTTATCCTGTACAATATATTTTGTTGATATGTTATTACGAAGACCTTACTGAAGTCGAAACTTAACATAACACCAAAAATTAACCACGATCAGGATCACCGAGAATTATTTACTATGTGAAGAATGAATATTGCCAATATTCCAAACTTGTCGCAATGTCGCCTGTTACCTCGCGCTATATTTTGGCTCATTTTTTTATGCGATATATACACCAGCATGAGAACTTAATAAAATAAAATTTATTTCCTGGTTTCTTTAATACAAATAACAATAATAAATATTGTTTTTATGAGTATGCAATAACATGATAACATAATATAACGTTCTCTTAATATTTTATTTTTAATTATTTGATTGAAAAACAGTTTAGAAAATAAATGCAAATGTTTAATTTCACAATTGGCTAGCTTTCAATTTTTTTTTAATTTGAGATTTTTTATGATGAATATGTAATCTAATTTAATATTGTTGTCTCTGTATTTACAGGAGGCACGTTTAAACCACCCAATTGTTCAGTTTGTAAAGTTTGTACTTATTTCAATCTTAGCAGTATGAAGCAAAGGTACTACTTTGGGTCCTAGCAACTCAATTGATTCAGTAAATGAGCTGGTAAAAGCTTTTTAAGGAATGTACAGGTCACAAATTTTTATTGGAATATAATATTGTTACTGCATTAAATTTGCAGCGCGATTACAGTTCTCACATCCACAAAATCAAATATCAACACTTCAACACGCAACATACCATTTTAACAAAAAGATCGCCCACTGCACAATTTAATATGCAACACCACCTTAAAATTTAAACACAATGAAAGAATGGACCCCTTATACTTGATAGATAGGGGATACACTCTACATAAAGTGCCAAAACTGCTATAAAGAGTATGGTAGTGTAGATAGGGATATCAGCAATGTTTAAGGGCAGATGGAGTCCGCCGCTCTGATTATCGTCGATAATGTTCAGAATTATACCTGACAATCCATCCATCAAATTATAAAGTCGTATGAACAAAAACATTAAGTCCTGCTTAGAACTATAATTAGTCAAATGGTAATCAACTCCAGCTACAAGTTTTGAACAATATAAAAAGATTAAATTATAAGTAATGTTTAATAAAAAAAATTATAAAGTTATGGTCAAGATTATACTTATTTCTCAAGCACTCCTATGATCGACTACAAAAAAGACAAGTTAAACAAGACAAGGCATTTTCTGAGGAACAACTATAAACTTAACCTTTGCCTTTGCTGAAAGTTGTGAAATTTGAAATTCATAAATTGGGTATGCTTAAAAACTAATTTAAAGGATATTACCCCTATTTGTACTGGCAACTAAACATCCTTCAGTTGTAGCCATTGGAATGTAATATAATTTATCATCCAATAATAAAGGTCCGGCAATTCCCAATGGAACTGGGACATAGCCTACAACATTTTCACAGCAGGCCCCCATCACTTTGCTGTAGTCATAATTCTTATATGGCAAAGAAAAAAATACACCATCCATCTTCATTTGGTGGGTAATAATCTTTCTTCTCAACTTCACTCCTCTTTCAGGATTTTCAATGGCCTTTTCTAAATTGTAGGCTGGTATGTGTTTTGTATCTACCAACATCATAATTTCTCTATCCGAAAGCTCCCTAGCGCCAACTGTACGATAAATCTCCAAACAATCTCTCAGATTCCGACTTAAATTTGCTTCATCATTATTATCATCATATAAATTTTGCAACTCTTCCGTTTGAGATTCTGCGTGCAGAGACACGGTTCTAATGTGTCTTCTATTGGGTAAATCTTTTTGTAATTCAAAAAGAATGTCATGGCCAAACTGTTCTTTTAAACTGTCCTTGGGTTCCAAAAATATGAACTTAATCATCAATGTTATTAAGAGAATAAGAATTACTATGTGATCTGCACTTAAAACAAATTGTCTCATAATGGTTGCAAATAAAGAAGGGTCTTGAGCACAATTTAAAGAATCATCTATGCTATTAACTGATTTCCGATATTTGTTGTCAATGGACCAGCGACTATGAATATGCACAGCAAGTAAACCAAAGGACATAATCAATTTTACCCGTTGCACTGCAGGATTGGCTTTCTCATTCTCTTCTAAGAGCTTTTTTTTCACCATTTGTTGATTTTCCCCATAAAAATTAGATATTCGTGCTAATTCCAACATTAAAGACAAACATGCTGGATAGAATGTCATAAAAATTGCATAATTAACAATTGCCGAAAGACAAGCAAAATATGAGAGCATTTCTAACCTTCTTACCCCTGATAAAGTACCCACTCCAATAACCAATGTCTCTACTATAGTGTCCAATGTTATTGTAGGACCTAAAATTGATACACCACTAGCAATCTGCTTACTTATATCTTGTTGATTTGAAGCTGTGAGGGCAAATTGAGCAAGAGTCGCAGCTTTTGATAAGTCGATGAGAAGTAAAAAGAAAAACAAAGCATCTTTTAAATCAACAAAATCAATCCGAAGGAAGTTTAAGACAGTTGAAGTAAAAACAAAGCTTGAAAAAACCACAAACAATCCAGCAATTCCCAAAATATATTTTGAGCCCAACTTTTGCAAATTTCTAAATTGATGATAGCTGTAGAGTATGGCAAGGCATCGAATTATTGTCATCACAATCAAATCTGCTGCCTGAAACTGTTCATCATAGCATCCTACACAGTTTGTTGTCTTTTTTAGTACATTTGGAACTTGCTTTTCCAAAGCTAAAAAGTAAGTTGTCAAAGTTATAACCGCCACTATTACTTCCCATGGATGTGTAGCACACAATTCTCCGTAAAGGAGAAACACGTTGGACATTTTTTACACAAAACTTTTTCACAACTGGTGGCTAATATTTAATAATTAATCGATTAAAAAAAAACATTATAGATAATGAACATTATGTAAAATATAACATTTATATAATCTACTTTCGGTTTAGAACTTTCACTCGCACTTTCACTTAATTTAAATAAAATATTCAAAATCATAATATTTCAATTAAAAGTGACATCTTCTTCTTCGAAGAGCTTGGCATAAACTCGGTAGAAAATAACAACCAGCCAGCTCACGTAGATTAAATATTCTTTTCTACTCTAATTCTAGGTTGGTTACCCAATTATGCGCAGATTAGGCCTACGGATATTTGCGGTGCTTTAGTCACTGGGTTTTGGATGGATCGAATGTATGTAATGTATGTATGTATGTATGTATGTAAATTTTAGCTATGGAAGGTGTTTTGACGTTTGTCGATTCTGATGACGCGTTACTCAGTAAATATATTCCTGTTGTAGGTAAACTTTTTCAGTCACTCGTGTATTAAGCAACCTATCCACAGCACTCCGCCCTTGTCAAATTAAACTCGTGCCTAAAATGGCGTTTATCAAAATTGTTGCATAATATACTATTTGGCTTACAAAAAAAAAAACACATTTTAAATTTAAATCTTAAACACGGATTATTTAATTTCATATTTTCAGAGACGCATAATCAAGAGGTTGTGGGTTAGAGCAACTATAGTTTCCCTTTCATTAAGCGATACTTTAGTTGCTCTATGGGGTTAATAAATAGCATAGCGTCAGGAAATAGACAATTCCAACATAGCGTAGCGCAGACTATTTCATTAATTAAATTTTTAAGTCTCATTAAAATTGACTTTTCCAGTTTTTTATTTTGATTGTTAACTTTTTACCATGTTGACCTGCGATTAGCTTTTAGCTTGTCATTAGTCTGCAAATAGAGATTATCATCTTCATCTATATTCGTACAAATAAATTTCTTCATCATGCCTTAACCTCGGAGTCGTAGACAATGGCTGTATTGTCAAAATCCTTGCGAATAAGCTTCGAAATTGTAAATGAATTGTATACGGCAGTGGGATCTGGTGTCTTGGGAATATTAATTCTAATACAGCATGGATTTAGAACTTGTGAGCCTCTTAAAACCTTGTCTGTAGTAGGCCTGACAGCCGCAAGCTTGATATTCGTCTTTAGTAGAGATAGAGAGAAACTGGAGCCTAACAAGCAGAAAGTTATTTTTATAACAGGCTGCGATTCTGGGATTGGTTTTTCCATAGCACAACACGCAAGTGAGTGTGGATTTACAGTTATAGCTGGATTTTTGAGTCTTGAATCTAAAGGCTCCAAAGAAATTAGGAAACTATATGGAGGTGACATTATACAAATTCAACTGGACATCACAGATAGATCTAGCATTTATTCTGCTGTGCAAACGTTAGAGCATTACTTCAATAAATATAGGAATTCAGGTGACATTTATTTAGTTTTTTCAGTCATTAATAAATAATTTTACGATTTTTACAATAAACTTTCACAGGCTACTGTAATGCTATTTGGAATTCTTCTGGGCTTCTCCTGTGTTGGTTGTTGATAAATCGAACTTGCTGACATTTCACCAATCATCCTGTTGGCTTCTTCAGCGCTTAACTGAAACTGGCTTTTATTCTACTCTGTACCTGCTTATATACATTGATAAGGAGGTGAAGCTAAAAGAAAGGCATGAATATTGTCCATGACTGATTGCCATATTGATCAAAGATCTGAGTTGCTGTTTATTTGGTTGTTCATAGATGTCTATGGATTCTCGATTTTTCTTTGCTAGAAGAATTGATTAAACTCAAGAATATTAGTCTTATCGAATAAGATTTGGTGATATGTTTCGTGATTGTGTACAGCAACTGCTGAGGAGTTTATTTGTCATAGTATTAAGGCTCTTTCATGCTCTCTTAGCCTAGTTGACATTTTTCCTCTTGTTTCTCCAATCGACAACCAAAGCAGCAGGAATCCAGAACATTTGCAAATAGTAATTTTTTTTACTAGAAATTTGAGGTTTTGGGATCAAACCTATTATAATATTCTAAAATTGTTTGGACAGGTTTGCATGCTATAGTAAACAATGCTGGTGTTATGGTATTTGGGGAATTTGAATGGCAAACAGAGAGACTGATAGAGGAGCAAGTAAATGTAAATTTACTTGGTACATTTAAAACTACCAAAGCCTTTTGTCCCCTTCTAAGAAAACATAAAGGTAGTAAGTAATTGAAAATATTAAATTTTTCATTAAGCAAGTTGCTTTTATTGACAGCTCGACTAATAATAGTTTCTAGTCATTGTGCACTGGCAAATCTGCCTGGCTTGGCAGTTTATGGAGCAACCAAAGCAGCTTTATCTTCTTGGAGCGATGGCTTACGGGTAGAACTTGAAAAATATGGCATTAAAGTACTCACTTTTATTCCGGGTTCATTTGCTAGTCAAAGTAACCTTATGTCAAGACAATTAGAACATATCCAAGAAATGCATGATGCTTTTACCCCAGAACAACACATATTTTATAGTGACTATTTTAAAAGATACAACATGTATTTGTCTTGCATTGCTTCACCCACAGATCCAAAGAAAATTGAAGATAATAAATTATATAAGGTGTTTGAAAACTCTTTATTAGATCTACATCCAAAAGCAGTTTATAAAAATGAACCTTTAAGGTATAAAATTTACCATTTCTTATTTAAATATAGTCCAACTTTTATAAGAGACTATTTTGTTATTAAATTTATGACAATGCCAAAATACTATCCACCAAGTACAAATGTGGATGATTATGATCTGATTGATGATATTTAGTTTTCTTACAGCAATGTCGAAAATATGTGTATCCAAAAATTGTACAAATAAAATGTATCATCTACCTTATGTGATTTTTTCCAAAATTAAAATTACCAACACCTTAAAAACCACATAAGTTTTTCTCATTGTGTAATTTTTTTGTCCATTACATTTGTGCGTGTTACAAAAACATATGTGGTGACTAGGACTAATAAAGTGGCAACCACTTTTGAGTACAGTTGGAGGAATATTGTAATCTGTGGCACCCACACATCCTCTTGTGATATTACCAGTTCCAACCTGCAGCTTGTAACAAAATGCGTTCCGACTTGGAGGGCATAGAAAAAGGAATTTTTTTTTGTCTTCAGATTTGGCGAAATTAAATATATTCCCACACAAAGGTAAGATATCCAAGTCCCTAGAGCGGCACTGATAACAAACCAAACTTTTGGCAAATGTAGTGTTGGGTCTAAAACTGTCTTTGGCACTTCTGTCATGTAGAACTAACAAATAAATGAGACTTTGACACAGAACATTACGGATTTGTAGCATATTTTACTAGCAATACTGATTGATTATGTATAGATCGTAATTTTTGTCATGTTTGACACTTAACAATAGTTTGTTACTACTTACTGTGTCACTTATCTCCACATAACTTCAAGTTGGTGTGGTGGGTGGGTGGTGTTTGTATTGACAAACTTTTTTGAAACAACATGTTTATTTAATAATGTGTACTATCAGGGTACATTCTGTTAAATAAAAAAAAAAATACAATTTTTCGTGACGCGGAGACATTATCTCAAAATATTTTACAGCAATACAGCACCTTGGCTCAATCTATAACATACAAGATACTAAATGAAAGTTAGATCTGGTCTACATGTCAGCAAGAAAAAAAGAGTATTTTTACATTGCGTTCCATGCATGTTTAAAGCAGTTTTGTTCAATGTGTTAACTGTTTATGTGATTATTTGAATTTGTAATAAAAATGAGACTTAAGATAAAAAAAAAATTATGTTCCTGAAGATATATAAAAAAGCAATAGAGCTAGCTATGTTTGAACGTCTTTTTTTCGGCTTCTAAAATAAGGTCATCTATTTCTTCTAATGAAAAAATTTTTTTCTTTGTGGGTTTATTTGGTACGGCTGCCTTATCCTAAAAACATAATTATTTAAATCCAATTTTAGGGCTGATAAATTAAAGTTATATACCCAAAACTGTATATATTCCGGAGATGTTGATTCAAGCAATAGTAGGCGGTCTTCCAACAATTTTAATCTTTTGTAAACATTCTTAGGAACAGCTGTGTTTAAACTTAATTGACATTCTAAATTTTGAAGTCTTTCTTCTATACCATTAGGAGGTATGTATTTCATTAAGTAATTGGAGCTTTTTTGATCTCTGTTTTGATAACTGTTAAAAACTCGCTTCACTAAAAAAAGATATTGTAGAACTAAAACTTTACCACATTTCAGGTTGCTATTGGAATAAACTGACCTTCCAAGTGACTTTTAGAATCCTTTCTTTTATAAAGTTGGGCATCAGTTCTAGCGCAACTATATTCATAATTTCTGTTTGGTGGAAAGAATTCAGTAATGTTGTGCTCATCAATTTCTGCACGTTTTCTTGTCATAAATTTCTCAATTCTATTATTCAGTTCTTCATTTGTGGCTTTTATTTGAATTAAATGTGGCGGCACATATGGTACTTTTACTTCTTGCTTGAATTCAAATTTTAATTTTTTATGTTTTGGGGAATAGGTCTGAGCTAAAATAAAACAATAAAGCAGTTAAAAAGCACTTTATAATATGTTAAAAGCAATAACAATTCCAACAAGGATATATTGCAGCATTTTCACAACCTTCAGATTTGTATAATTTATGATATTTTTTGAATAAAATCGACAAAATAGAAATAACAATATAATATTACTTTGTTTGATTTCTTTGGTGATAAAAAATTATTTTTTAAATTTATTTCTTTAACTTGTTTTCACTATTTTGCTTATTGATGAAAAAAATCTATCTGAAAAATGTCCTAGGACTTTGTTTATGATTTGACAGAAGTACCAGTAGTAGACCAGGCACATTCTTTATTTTCCTTCCAAATTGCCTCAGAGTTGGAGTACACTTCCTTTTTCCAAATTGGAACTGACTTTTTGATATTATTGATGCACCATTCTGTTGCTTCTATGGAATCTTTCCGATGAGGAGATGATACAGCAATTATTACACTAGCTTCTTTGATAGGCACCACACCTAATCTGTAAAAAATATTGACTAATACCTATTGAGTATTTATTTATCTTAGAAATACTAGTGTACCTATGGTATATTGCTATATTTTCAACATTTGGCCAATGTGTTCTTAATTCCACACATATCTTTTCCACTGCTTTCTGAGCCATAGATTCATAAGCTTCATATTCTAGGTTAACTACACATTTCCCTTCAAAGTTGTCTCGCGTTGTTCCCATAAATACCGAAATTGCTCCACAAGATGGTGCAACTACTAAATTTGTTACTTCATCTATTACAAGCTTTTCACGAGGAAATTTAATAAAATCCATTTTTACCCTCCACTTATGGGCGGAATTATTGCAATTTCATCACTGTCTTTTAAATTCAATATATCATTTAAATTATGCAGTTCTTGATTAACAGCCAACAATATATTATTTCCTATTTCTTGTAGTGAAAACTCATTTACTAACGTTTGCACTAGTTCCAAATAGGAAATGGGAGACTGAATTTCAAAATAGCTCAAATTTGTACCTGCTAATTCTTTTGCTCTTGCAAAAAACAAAACACGGATTTTAACTAACATAATCTTTCAACTTTTACATTATTTGTAAACATGTGATTACCCTAACTTTTAAAATCCATTCGTGTTAATTATCTAACATTAATATTGACACTGCCTTTAAAATAAAAACTTCAAAGTATAAATCTTATCTTACCTACATTATTCAAATATAACCTAAATATATTTTAAATTAGAAAAAAAAGATTAAAATTCAAGTTCAATTATGCGTTTCACAAAAAAATGTTGGGCTCGACTGCTAGGATCATTCGCCCATTGCCGACTTCCGTCGAGGATCTTCGCTTTTGGTCATGGACCAACACGTACAAAGAAGACATAACCAATATTTGCTCAACTAGCAAAAAACAATTTTGACCGATACCAAAAAAACCGACACCCCCCCGCTTCCACCCCGGACCATCCGGGCCCATCCGGTCTCCATACCGGCGTGAACGGTTAAAACAACGGGGCCGGCGGAACTTTTACACTTAAAACAAACACCAAACACTGCCGAAACAGAGTCACACAAATTGAAGACCGATACCAAAGGTTTTTCGAACGAATTCAGCGGATTCTGCTAGGAGCGGACGGAGGTTAGACCGCCGCGTGCAATGCTCCACCACCAAAAAAAAAGATTAAGTCAAGTCAAGTCAATTATGCGTTTAACAAAAAATGTTGGGCACGACTGCTAGGATCATTTGCCCATTGCCGACTTCCGTCGAGGATTTTTGCTTCTGGTCAATTGACCACCACGTACAAAGAAGAAAAATAACCAATAATTTGCTCAGCTAGCAAAAAACGATTCTGACCGATACCAAAAAAAATCGGCTTCCCCCCGCTTCCACCACGGACCATCCGGCCTCCATACCGGCGTGAACGGAGAAAAACGACGGGGCCGACGACGATTATCACTTTAAGACGTACACTGAACACTCAGAACACTAAATCCACACCGTGGAAACCGATATCAAACTTTTTGGGACGAATACATAGGATTCTGTCGGGAGTGAACGGAGGTTAAACCGCCGCGTGTAATGCTCCACCACAGAATCAAAAAAAAAAAAAAGATTCAAAGTTCAAGTTCAATGATGCGTTTCACAGAAAACTGTTGGGCTCGACTGCTAGGATCATTCGCCCATTGCCGACTTCCGTCGAGGATCTTCGCTTGTGGTCATGGACCAACACGTACAAAGAAGACATATATTTGCTCAACTAGCAAAAAACAATTTTGACCGATACCAAAAAAAAAACCGACACCCCCCGCTTCCGCCACGGACCATCCGGGCCCATCCGGCCTCCATACCGGCGTGAACGGGGAATAACGAAGGGATCGGCGACGATTATCACTTTACAACGTTCACAAAACACTGAAAACACTAAATCCACTCAGTGGAGACCGATTTCAAAATTTTTGGACGATTACAAAGGATTATGTAGGGAACGAACGGAGGTTAAACCGCAGCGTGCAATGTTCCACCACAGAATCCAAAAAAAAAAAAGATTCAATTCATTCAATTCAATTATGCGTTTCACAAAAAAATGTTGGGCTCGACTGCTAGGATCATTCGCCCATTGCCGACTTCCGTCGAGGATTTTCGCTTCTGGTCAATGACCACCACGTACAAAGAAGAAAAATAGCCAATAATTTGCTCAGCTAGCAAAAAACGATTCTGACCGATACCAAAAAAATCGGCTTCCCCCCGCTTCCACCGCGGACCATCCGGGCCCATCCGGCCTCCATACCGGCGTGAACAGGGAAAAACGACGGGGCCGACGACAATTATCACTTTAAAACGTACACTGAACACTCAAAACACTAAATCCACACCGTGGAAACCGATATCAAACTTGTTGGGACGAATACAAGGGATTCTGTTGGGAGCGAACGGAGGTTAAACCGCCGTGTGCAATGCTCCCACCACAGAATCCAAAAAAAAAGATTACAAGTACAAGTAAAATAATGATAATAGGATACCTGATAACTCAACTGCCAGGATCATTTGCCCATTGCCGACTTCCGTCGAGGATTTTCGCTTTTGGTCAATGACACGTACAAAAAACAAATATAACCAATATTTGCTCAGCTAGCAAAAAACGATTTTGAATGATATCGAAAAAACCGGCATTGCCCCGCTACCACTCCGGACTATCTGGGCCCATCCGACCACCATACCGGCGTGAACGGTCAAAACAGCGGGCTCGGTAGAACTTAAACACTTAAAAACGATCACCAAACACTTACGAAACAGAACCACACGAAAAAAGATCGATATCAAGGTTTTTGGGACGAATACAACGGATTCTGGTAGGAGCGAGCGACGGTTAAAAAAAGAAGAATTACATTTGCTTTCGTTCGTTATTTAAATAAACAATGATCATTCCCATGGACACACATAAAAATTACAAACAAAAAAAATCATAAACTAATTGTTAAAATTCATACTTTGTAGTTTTTTTTTTCTTAATTTTTATCACTATTCTTAATTAACGCCAACATCCATAGTTATGTTGGAGTACAAATCGGCAAATGTAACTAGTAGGTGGACGGTTGCCCCTTACTTGTTGCTTTCTATCAAGAAGAAGAGAGTCTATGGGATAACTCTATTGTGCCCAACAGTTTTTTGTGAAACGCATCATTGAATTGAATTCGATAACTCTATTCAGTGGTTTCTTGTTTTTGAATTTTAAATATTTAAAAATGAATAATTTAACCTGACGGTTATTTCTATCCATTGGTAGTTTTTTCGTTTAGACGGTGCATCATTTCCATGTTAAAGCCAACGTGAGTGAAAAAGAATGTTTTACCAGTTTTTTTAGGCTTCAGGACCATCCGTGGGCACTGACACTTTTGCAAAACATTCAGGACACAACGCAGAAATATTTCTTGAATTGGTGCAAGATTGTTTTAAAACTTGGTTTAAACTCTGACTGTGTGCAAAAGTGGAGCCAAATATGTTGACCGAAATAGTGGATCTGCAAACAAAAACTATTAATAAAATAGAACATTTACTCTCGAGAAGCTCTGTTTAGACTTAAATGAACAACTACCCCCAAGAATTGGTGCTGATGGCTTAGGTTTATTTGAGGAACAAAAACAACTACAAAAGAAATTTTTACAAATGATCAAATTATCAATTTGTCATTCCCTTTTTCGCTAGAAAAATAAACTTTAATGAAAATGTTGATTTTGATATTGAGTCACAAATTTGTACTGTTGAGCTTTCCCTTAATATTACTGATAAGAAAAAACAGCAAATTCGAAAGTTGTTTAATAAAAAGCCTTTTGGAGAAAGGGTGGCCCATAAGCATCAGAAGCTGTCCAGAAAGTGTCTAGTTCTATTACAGATTTAAAGAAGAAATTTCTTGTATCAATCAACTTATTTTTAAGGGCCATAAATTGTTGCTCAAGTCCTACGCAAAAACTCCATCATAGCCATTTAGGTTATAAAAAATGTTTGGATATAGCTAACTTGTCATTTTTCTGGCCAGGGATGCGAAAACAAATTGAAGACATGATAACATCTTGCAGTGCATGTCACATGTATCAGAGATCTCAGGGGTCCGAGCCTTTGAGGCCTCACGACATTCCCAGATTGCCTTGGCAAAAGATAGCTGCAGATATTTTTCAATTTTAATCAGAGTGTGACCTCTTAATTGTTGATTACTATTCAAAATTTGTGGAAGTTGTTAATTTGAATCAAAATTTAACCTCTCAAAATTTAATTAATAAATTCAAATCAATTTTTTCACGTTTTGGTATTCCCAAAATTTTAATAACAGATAATGCAAGCAATTTTTGTAGCTTAGAATTTAAGAATTTTTCAAAAAATTGGGAGTTTCAACATGTTACTTCTTCTCCTTTGTATCCTCAGTCAAATGGACAAGTCGAAAGGACGGTACAATCTGTTAAAAATTTACTTAAAAAGTGCCTTTTCAATAATTAAGATCCATATTTAGCTTTACTAAACTTTCGAAATACACCTTTGGATGGTGAGAACTCTACAGCAAATGCTCTTATGAATCGAAACTTAAGATCTGTAGATTTTCAAAAAATTTCAACAAGAAAAAGTTTAATTCTCACATAACAAAAAACCAGCAAAATCAAAAGAAATATTATAACAAACATAAACAAGCTTTAGCACCTTTAAAAAACAACTCTTTAGTAAAAATTCAAATAAAGCCTAAAACACCATGGCAAAATGGTAAAATTTTAAGAAAAGTAGCTTTTAGATCTTATTTGGTACAGCTGGAGAATGGTCCTATTTTTAGACGCAACAGAAAATTCTTAAAAGAGCTCAAAACATTCAAAGATTTTCCATCTCGAAGCTCGGCAGAGCCGAGGAGTTTTCCTGACTTATTTTCAGAAAATAGTTTTAATAATAATAGATATTTTTTGAAAATAGTCAATAATTCAAACAACAAAGAAAAGTCCATTTCTGCAGAAAATTCTCCTAGACAGACTGATTCTGATAGAGAATATATACAGGCTGATCCTGATGTAAGCAACAACTCTGGTAGCAACTTAAATGTAAATAGCTGTAGTGACAATGACAGTCTTGTGAGCTCTTTTGACAACTATCAATTGGAAAATGTAGAGAATAAAAAACTTTTAGATGATGCTAGTTTAACAAATAAAAAAATTTATTGTTAAACTCAGACATACCCAGCACTTCTAAGGAAACTCAATTTTTCTTTAAAAACTCTAAAGAAGGGGAGGAGAGCACTAGTCGTAGAACTAGATCTGGACGAAGTGTGAAAATTCCACAGAAACTTTCTATGTCGTGGACACTAGTCCAGAGTCTTAAAAAATTATATATATATATATATATATATATATATATATATATATATATATATATATATATATATATATATATATATGTATATTCTCACGTATTGATTCACGGATGGAAAAATGTGATGACACTACATTCCGGGACATCATCCGTTCGCTCGTTGAACTCCGACTGGAATCCTGCAAATCTTGCATCCGACTGGAATCCTGCAGACGCTTCGCCAAAATCCCACTTGGCACCCTCAATGCTCGCGCTATATATATATATATATATATATATATATATATATATATATATATATATATATATATATATATATATATATATATATATATATATATATATATATGCTTATACAACTTTTGTACTCTCACTGTACAAAAATCAAAAAACAAATTTTAAATTTAAAATAAAATCACTGCAGCTATAAATTTGTCTGTCTACAGTTTTGTCCATGTATGTAAATTGACCATAAAAGTGATAGAATATTGTGATATTAGATATAAGGTAACGATATCAATAACATTAAATAAATTAAATAAGATTTTAAATTGGTGGCGCAATCATTACTTTGAATTGTTCATTAAACTGAGTCTGGTTTCCAACTTACTTATTATGTTTTCATCATACATTTTGACTTTATTAACTCTATTTGTAGAAAGTTAAACTTTTAAAATTTTATTGTAAAAAGGGGGATGTCACATGATCTTATTGTATCAATCCTATATACCGTGCTGGCTTTATATTTTAGTTTTATACTATGCTGTACTTTTGGATCACATGATCTAAGGAAACTATGTCAAATAAAAAAGACTTCGTTACCGGGTTGTGCTACGACCAGACGTGTTTCTTTTTTAACCTCTAACCTCCTCTAAGTAAAATAGAAGTTAAACAATAAAATAAACACTTAACGAATACGATTATTACTGTAATTACCACCCAAACTACGAAAATGTGGAACAATTCGAAGAGGAAAATAGTATAATTGATCAATTAGAAAATTTTCAGTCGGTAGCCTCGGACGAAGCAAACACTGTTTAGCCCTAAATAGTTTTCAAATAAATCAGTTACCCTACATCGGAATCCCAAACCATTTCATGAATATTTTAATGGTATTTTAGAAATTAAAGATCTTTGTAAACTAAATCTAAACATTGATTTAAAGAATGCAAAGTTAAAAAACCAATATATGGAAATTCCCTTTCAATATATAAAAAAATTACGTAGTAGAAATTCCCCCAAAAACTGTACAAAAAGCAACACTTAGGACTAATCTACCGAATAATACGACATGGATAATGCCCTACTATCGTGACAATGAAGTTGAAATACAAGCAACCATTGTTCAGATTATAAATAATTCCTATACTATTGATATATTTAACCACTCAGAAAAATAAATTGTCATCGATGGTAGCGTTAATAACAACTTATCTTTAGAACCATTCGAACATAACTCCGAAATATTTAATTTAGAAACACCAGTTCTCAATTGTCCAATGATAGAAAACCGAACATTTCAAAAAAATGATATTGGAAATTTAATACGACACGATCATCTAAATTCGGAAGAGAAGGGACGGCTTTTTAAATTCATAAGAAAATTCGAAAATGTTTTAGGTAAACCCGGAGATATTTTAACTTTTGCAAATAAAGTAAAACCCACAATTAAAACTAGTGACGAAATTCCCGTACATTCGAAATTATATAGGTATCCGTATGTCCATAAACAAGAAGTCGATAGGCAAATAGAAGAAATGTTACAAGAATGAATAATTGAACCCTCAAGTTCCCCTTGGAGTTCACCAGTGTGGACAGTGTGGATTATACCAAAGAAAGCAGACGCATTTGGACGTAGGAAATGGAGACTCGCAATAGATTACAGATTACCCAATACCTAATATAACTGATATACTGGTTAAACTAAGACGATGCCAATATTTCACAACGTTGGACCTCGCCAGTGGATTCCACCAAATCGAAATGAATCCTGAAAGCATCCCGAAAACAGCATTTAACGTAGAGCGAATATACATGTATGCCATTTAGTCTTAAAAATGCAGCCTCTACATTTCAGCGCGTAATGGACAATGTATTGCGTGGATTACAAGGAAAATATGTCTTGTGTACATGGACGACATCATTATATACTCGACCAGTCTTAAAGAACACATGGACTCGTTAAAATTAGTCTTTGAACCACTTGCATCCTTCAATATGAAGATACAATTGGATAAATCTGAATTCCTAAAGAAAACCAAACCCTAGAAAAATTGAAGCCATTAAAAATTTTAAAATTTCCATCACTCCTAAAGAAATGAAATCTTTCCTTGGTCTTGTCGGATATTACAGGAAATTCATAAAAAAAAATTGCTAAAATTACTAAACCATTGACGCATTGCTTAAAGAAAAACGTTAAAATAACCCTTCATTTTAACAACAGGAACCATTGGAACTGATCTACCGATAGCATACGCTAGCCGAACACTTAATCCTGTAGAGCTTAACTACTCTACAATAGAAAAAAACCTTGCCATCGTGTGGGCTACAAAGTACTTTGGACCTTATCTATTTGGTAGAAAATTCACTATAGTAACGGATCATAAACCTTTACAATGGCTCTTCTCCATTAAAGAACTTAATTCAAAATTAGTCAGGTGGAAACTAAAACTTCAGGAATATAAAAATACTATTCAATACAAAAAAGGCAAACATAATGTTAATGCTGACACCCTCTCAGGACCACCAAAAGAAATACACCCCGTAGACCTAGTAAAACCCCCACTAACACGTATGTCAGTTGTATGTGAAGAAAACGAGGAAAAGGATGACCAATATTTATGGCATGAAAAAATTAAACACTTCTTCGAATCACAGGAAAACCTGTTTGAAAAACTGCAAAAAGCTCTGAATGAATTTGAAAAATTTGAACAAAATTGGAAATAAATCGAACACTCGGAAATAATTAAAGAAATTCAAGCAAATCTTTTTGATCAACAAAATTATTCGTTAGCGCACTGTGTCGCTGCTGATTTAAAAATGAACAAGGCATTGTTGTAGATTTCAAACAAAAATTTAATAACCTACAATATCTTATCGATCAGACAATAAGAATAACCGTTTTATTTATTATCTAGTTACTAAAGAAATTAAAAAAATAATTGAAAATTAAGAAATTAATATGAAAAAAACATGCAAGAATCAAGTTACACGAATAGCGATTCCTAAACTAGGATGTGGACTGGACCAATTGGATTGGTTAAAGGTAAAATCAATGATTAATCACCTATTTCAAAATCAAGATATTGATATACTAGTATGTCACTGGCCGAAAAAGGAACCCAAAATTAGGATAATTTTGCATATTCAAATAAAATCTCCAAATACAGTACATTAAAACCCGAAAGACTAGAAGAACAAAACAATCCATCTACAAGTAAAGAATCTCGAGAAAAGGTAGACAACTCTGAAACGGACACGGTACATTCATCTATGAAAAATCCAATTATAGGACTCCAAATGTCAATAAAGCTCTTAATACCTTTAAAAACCAGATTGTATTTAATTAAATAACAGAAAGATTATTTGACACCATGAAAAGACTGGTGATGTACACTAACAAAAACCCAACAATAGAAGAAATCCAAAAACTTCTACGAGACAATGCACCTCCAGACACTTACTGTTTACTTTTCCCTAATAAAGAACTAGAACCAGTAATTATAAAGACCTTTCAGGAAATCTTTAAAAATAATGCATTTAAACTCGTCATTTCTAATACGTTGCTTGAAGATGTAAAGGATCCAACAGAGATTCGAAGAAATAAAGGAACTGACTTGGGAAGAAGACCACAAGCCCATATTTGAGAAAATTGATAGATCCTGTGCCAACCACGAGAGGAAGCTCCTCAAATTTGCAAAAACGCCAACAACCAGAAAACACTAAAGCGGACAATAGTAAATCTATCTTCAAGAAATCTATCCAGTACTGAAGAGCAAATATTGAGCAACGGACTCAACTTCGCCCTTGCCCCCCAAAAGGCACCAACGTTGGATATTATAAGCTCCATAGAAACGGTGCGACTGGAAGGACCCGACTACGGTGGAAAGTTAGGACATTTCTTGAGAAAACAAGAAAACAGACGAGGAATATAACCAAAAAGGAACAAGGAGCCATTAAGAACTTGCAGAAGGATAGAAACATCACCATCCTCCCAGCAGATAAGGGCAATGCCACAGTTATAATGAATACGCAGCAATATGATCAAAAAATCGAGGAGACGCTTAGTAAAGGAAAATACAGACTACTGTCTAGTGACCCTACTAAGACGATTGAAGGAAAAATCTACCGATCTCTCCATAAATACAGACGCTATATTGCGGATAGCATTAGAACCAAGTTAACTCCACATCACACCGAACCACCACATCTTTATGGACTTTCAAAAATCCATAAAGATAATATACCACTCAGACCAATCACTAGTTCAAGAGATTCTGCAACCAGCAGCTTCAGTAGATTTCTCCTTCAAATCGTCCAGCCACTTGTAGGTAAAACTTCTTCGTTTGTAAAAACTCCGGGCACTTTGTAGATATTCTAAAAAATGGGAAACTAGATCCTTCAGACCAGTTTATTAGCTTTGACGTTGAAAGTCTATATACCAACGTGCCTTTGGAGGAGTCGTTAAGTATCATCTAGGCTAGACGAAGGAATGATACAACCCTATCAGAGAGAACTTCGCTGCCACTTGAGGGAGTGTTGAAGCTTCTGAGATGCTGTCTGCATAATTCTTGCTTTCAAATCAAAAATAAGTTTTACGCACAAGATGATGCCCTGCCGATGGGTTCTCCTCTCTCTCCAGTGATAGCGAACATATACATGGAGTGGTTCGAAACTCATGCCATAAACACTGCAACTATTAAACCTAAGATCTGGCTTCGATATGTCGACGATACCTTCATTATCTGGAGTGGAACCGATAGACAGCTAGACTCACAAATGCCTAACAAATAGGGTGTTATTACGGGACTCTTATGCTATGAATAAATTAAAAATACTGTTAATTAGACGGGGCATCTTAAATGCCGGAAGTATTTGTGAATCGACTTCAAAGTTAACCATTCCGCTGCAAGGGTTGGATCTTTTAGATGTTGCTTGCGGTGGAGGTATATTCTCAGAGCCTCTGACAAAACTTGGTGGGCGAGTTATGGCAATAGATGCTGCTCACGAAGCCATTGATATTGCTAAGAAACACGCGGAACACAATTGTCTTAGAATAAATTATTTATGTAGGGGTGAAGGGGGAAGTGTAGAACAGAGGTACTTTTGAATTAATGGATTTACGAACACATCATTTGCCTTTCCTAACCTCCAACGTCAATGTCAGTGTCAAACAGAAAAATTTGTCGGTACTTTACGGAAACGAAACCAAACATTTTTATTTTTTATTGTAAACGGATTACTGAAAGCGTAACTATTATTTTCGAGTTTTGATTATTTCATAGTGTTGTGCATATTATAGCAAGTGTATTACCAATATAAGTTAATTAAATACAAGTTTCTTGGTCATCTAATAATTTTGTTTCTGAAGGATGATATTGGGGCAAATTTGGTGGTGCAGTTATGAATAAAATGTTCAAAAGTGCCCCCTGCTATTTGAACAAATGATGTTTATTTATGTTTTAAAATAATTGATAAATATAATTAAATTAGTTTATTTTATATTCTTTTACAGTTGTGAATCACAATGGTAAGAAATTACTTATAGAAAAAAGAAAATGATGTTAACGAAGAAGACGCTGTATTGTGTGTTGTCAATGATAGCATGAAACTGAGGACCGCTGCTGCTATATATAATATAAAACCAACCACTTTGTACTATAAAGTAAAGCAATATAAAGAGAATGTAATGCAAAAAAATATAAACTATAGCAGCAAACACTGTGCCTCAAGTTTTCACTAATGATGAGAAACTTATGCTGGAAAGGTACTAAAAATTTGCAAAATGAATTATGGTCTTACCTACTTACAAAGTCAAAAATTGGCATATCAATATGTGTCGTGAAAAATGGTTAGATAACAAGAGTGCTAGCATTGAATGGATGACAAACTTTACGAAAAGGCACCCAATATTATCTTTGCAAAAACCTGAGATTAAGAACAATACCTATAAAAAAAAAACCGTTGTCAAAATATCAGTCAAACTCAAAATCTGACGGAAATATATCTTTTCATGATGATTCTGATATGGATTTAACAGATGGCCAAAAGAATACTGAGTCTCATAATCTACTTTATAAAAGGGAATCTAATGAGACAAAAATGAGAATTTCAATGAAAATGACTATATATTGGTAAAGTGTCACTCTGCCAAAATAGAACCACAAATGTATTTCATAGCTTTTATTAAACATAAAGATCAAAATATGTTTCTAGCTTCTTTTTTAAAAAAGAAATTGGGTTTTAAATTTTTGTTCCCTGATAAAAAATACCAATCCTGCACCTATCACTGATATTGTAAGGAAACTTCCAAAGTCATGGTCTGCTCCAGGAACTTCTCGTACAGCTGTTCTATTAATTTTCAAATTTGATTTTAGTAAATTTAAAATAGGTTAAGTATTATTACCAAAATTTTGAATATTTACTTTTATGTTGGCCAATTAGGCAATTTGGATTGATTACATAATTTAACTACATGATTCTTTTTTAAATTATAAAGATAATACAAAGACAAAGACTTTAATTGCAATATGTAACTAGAACTCATATATTAAAATAATAACTTACTTACACTTGTTCAAGACTGCCCCAGGCTGTTAATAGTTTTATAAAGTTTATTTGAGCAATACTGAGTGTACGAAGTTAGTGGCAATACACAATTATAATATAAGATTTGTATGTCTTAAATAAAGTATTGATTATATTCTGTTACGTTGTTTTCTTGTTATCATGGTATTTCAAAACTGCCTCTGAGGCTATCAAATGTGCTCCTTGCCAAGGGCGCATTTGAACGAAAATATGTTTTTGAAAAATAATGTTACTTTAATAAGTAAAAACAAGTAAATTTAATTTTTAATTTTGTAGCACAAATAGCATATCTAATCATAAAAAAGTATATACTTTGATATGTAGCACAATATGACAAATATACTATTTTATTTCAAAAATGTTCAATTGCTCCAAAAATGAAGGGAAACATGATGTTATGGCATCAGAAATTTTAGAACATGTAACAGAAAAGGAAATGTTTATTAAAGCTTGCCTCAAATGCCTTAAGGCATCTGGTTCAATATTAATTTCAACAATGAATAACGGGAATAGATTCTGCTCCTTGCTATTGATATATTGATATTGCTCAACAACTGAAGAGAAAAATGATGTTCATGACTGCTTTTAAACTAAAACATCAAAGCAAAAATTTTATCTTATCTATCTTATGCAAATATAAAGTGAAGAAATTTTAATTTTAGGAAGAAAACTTTATTACAAACCACGATCAATTGGCGTATGGACACAATTTATAAACAAAACAAAAATTTATAAAACTAGTTGTTAAAATTCACTGCTGCACTGCTTCTGAGCAATTTTGGTTGGCCCTTAATCACCTAAATTACTTGTTTCGTTTTATAAGAAGATGTGATTCCAAGGGATACCTTTATTCAGTGGTTAATCCTGGTAGTCGTGCCCAACAGTTTTTTGTGAAACGCATCATTGAATTGAATTATTCCGTGGTTTTATGTCCTTGAATTTTAAATATTTGATTTAAGGTGACGGTTACATCCATTGGTAATATTTTTGTTCGGTCGGTGCATCATTTCGTTGTTAAAGATAATCTACCAACATGAGTGAAAAAGAATGTTCTGAAAGTATAAATTGTAAATTGTCGATCAACGATTTAGAAGAATTAGATACGTCAATGTAAGATTTTCACTTTTTTTAACATATATTTTTTACCAGTTTTTTTAGGCTTCAGGACCATCCGTGGGCACTGACACTTTTGCAAAACATTCAGGACACAACGCAGAAATATTTCTTGAATTGGTGCAAGATTGTTTTCAAACTTGGTTTAAACTCTGACTGTGTGAAAAAGTGGAGCCAAATTTATGTGGAGCAGATTGAAGGAACATATTCGGATATGTTGATGGAAATAGTGGATCTGCAAACAAAAACTATTAATAAAATAGAACATTTACTCTGCCAGCTCGAGAAGCTCTGTTTAGACTTAAATGAAAAACTACCCCCAAGAATTGGTGCTGATGGCTTAGGTTTATTTGAGGAACAAAAACAACTACAAAAGAAAATAGATGAGTAAGTGAAGAAAGCTTTCGAATTTTTTACAAATTATTTTTGCAACATCCTTCTTGGTATTATCAATTTGTCATTCTCTTTTTCGCTAGGTATTCATGGAACTTAACTTACGACTGGGCAGTTTTCATATTAGTTTTCATGTGGATTAATAAAATAGGCAGTTGCCCTGAGATAAAAAACAAACCATGTTCAGATTTTCATAAATTATTTATTGATTTGATTGATTGTATTTGGTAAAGGCAGATTGTGAAAGCAGCTCCAATTCCACCAATATATAATTTGTTAAAATCTGAACATCATTATTCTAATTTAACTTGTTAAATGAATTTTCATCAAGTAAAAGTCACTTCAAGTCGCTGTTTTTATTTTCCCATTATTTTTTAGATATCAAAGTATAATGGAAGCCAGGAAAAAGGAACTGGATGATCTTCGCAATAAACAACTTGAATTTTGCAAGAGTCTTGGAAAGGAACCAAAAATAATTTTGCAATATCCTCCTTTGCCAACTCAATCTAAAATAGAAGAATTTCAGAGACACATTGATCAACTTCAATTAGAAATATTTGAAAGACACGAAAGGTTCTTTAAATTAAAAGAGGAAATTATCAAGATGGTGTCAGAATTAAATTATAAGCCCAACTCTGATTTTGAACAACAAACTCTTTTGTCTGACACTTTTTTGGTGACTAAAGAGAACATGCAAAATTTAGAGTATTTCCACAATTCTCTGAAGGAACTTTTGAAAAGCACAGATGAAGAAGTTGCTCATCTCAGACTAAGGATTGAAGAATTGTGGAGAATGTTAGAGATTGACATGATAGATCAGGATGAGTTCAGAACTCATTATACGGGCAGATCTTTGGATACTTTGAAAGCACTAAGACTTGAAGTAAAAAGGTGTGAAGAATTGAGGAAAGCTAACTTAAAGGTAACTTCTATTATCGAGGAAATTATGTTAGTCATACCTAACCTATTTAATATGCATAATGCCTCTCCTCAACATTTGACAATTTTTCCTTAATTAACTATTTTAATTTCTAAAAAATTATGGTATATTCACCGCCTCAAGGAATATGTGTCTATTGTAATTGAGTAAACTGCATTTCTATGAACATCGACAATTATAATTATTGTAAATTTAAACAGTTTTTTTTATTATCTCAAAAATTTAATTTTGGCGACACCCCCTTTGGCATTTTCACTCCTCAATTACAGATTCAGTAGTAGTATTCATTTAATTTTTGCTGTTAATGCGGCAATGATCACTTTTCAAGAATCACTATTCAATTTATATTTTTGTTACATATTATTTAAACAAATTAATAAAGAAAAAATATTTCTATTAACTTAATAATTTTAAGCTTAGTAGCAGTGACCATGTGACCAGTGTGGTTGATATCAAATTAAATTAAAACTATGCATAGAGATCATTATATTGAAGATTATCTGGTTATTGTATTGTCATACTTTTTTTAATATTTACAAAATTAAACAACATTACAAATGTACAATTGATATTATAATAATTGAATAACAGAGCCTGGTACAATCTTTAGCGGTTGGCGCTAAGTTCCGCTTTACAAGCAAGTAATCTTTTGCGGTTGGTAATATTTAAGAGCGAAATATTGTGGCGTGTTTAAATTATTATTCATCAAAATATGTATATTGTCAATTGTTGCAGGTGTTTGTAGATAAGCTTCGTGATGACTTAAAAGAAATATGGGAAAAATGTCATTGCTCGTCAGAAGAAAGGGGTAACTTTCACTACCTTAACAGTGATTGTTATACGGAGGATCTCTTGGAGTTGCATGATTTGGAGATTTGTAAATGGAGAAGTTATTATGAAGAAAACAAGAGACTTCTAAGTCTTATAGAAAAACATAAGGAATTATGGGAAAGGGTTAGTTATGATTGATGGCAAAATCTCTTTATTTTATAAAATAAAGTTGTGGCAAGTAAATGCAAACATTTTTCTTAGGTAGTTGAATTGGAAGATAATGCCACTGGGCCTGATAGATACAAAAATAGGGGCGGAAGATTATTGCAAGAAGAGAAAGAACGTAATAAACTTTCAAAAATGATTCCGAAAATTGAAGAAGAAATTGCAGAACTTGCAGACAATTACCAATCGCGAAATAATGGTACAGAATTTAGAACTTATGGTTCTACCGTACAAAATTATATATCAAATATTCATACTGAAAGAGAAAATGTAAGTAACCAAGAAATTTGTTTTAAATTTTCCTTGGTGTACCATTTTTATTGTCGCTAAACAAAGATCGGTAATTGTAGGTACTCGCGATACTTTTTTTTGTGCTATTGTGAGTGTTTTAATTCCTTCGCATCTTTCTTACAACAACATTAAAATCATATCACTTAAATAAAAGAAGGAAAGTAGTTTGTACAGTTATATGTCCACTTATGATGAGTATGTTAATAAAAGACATGCTTACAACTACATTAAAATCATAATATTCACATGAATTAAGGTAGGCACCAAATGGACTCACGTAATGCACAAATAAAATTTATTTGATGTTAACAGAAGAATAACATTAAAATTAATAAATTTATAGTGATTTACAAAAGGATTTTAGTAAAGTCAAATACAAACAAATTTTATGCATGTGAGTTCACTAATAAACCATTTAACTTTGTACTCTAAATTTTAAATTTGTGTTAATGAATATCTGCGTCAGTTCACTAAATTATATCTTGGTGGCTAATCCCACCTCTCAGAATAGATCTATCTAAAATGGCAGTGATTCCTGCAGGGCCACATAGTCCAGTTTTAGCTCATGTAGCTGAAAGCTACAAGGAGAAACTAATTTTTACATTATAAAAAGTCCCTTTTAGAAAAATTTTTAAAAAGTTAAATTTTGGTTGCAAAAATAGAATTAAAAAAAATGGATCTCTAATGACCCATGTGGAATATCTTGTAAACCCTTTCAACGTTTTTTATTTTTTTATTATCAATTTCTTTTAATACTAAAATTGTTTGTTACTATCTATATATAATATCCAAAACCTAAGTTAGATAATTAAAAAAATGGTGGTTCCAAAATTCATTAACTATAAACGAATTATGAAATAACAAGGCTATCGTAAAATTTTTGCTACTTAACACTAATAAATTTTCACTGTCAAGTAATAAGCAAAGTGTTCCATGGAAAAAAAAAGTTAGGATAGCCTATATGAAAATTTGTGGTGTTTCAGCAAAAAGTGGATTTGTGATTTTACTTAATATTGCAGCTCAAGAAGCAAAAATTAAGTGCCCGAAAACTTAATCGTGAAAATACGATGACGACTTGCGTGACTCCTGGTAAATCTGCTGTCAACTTGTTCCCTTCAACAAGCACTGCCATTACACCAATGTCGTCATGTAAACGCAAAATTTTAGTGACACCCAATACTGATATTAAGAAACCGAAATTACAAAACACTCCTAAAACGCAGAACAGTTGTCAGAAGCATAGTAAGTAACTAGGGTTTGGTTATTGTTGTGGTTTTTATTGTGTTTTGGGTCTTGCAGAAATACCAAGTATTAAAATTACGTATGCAATAACGTCTAGTCGTCAAAAGCGTCAATCGAACGAGAAAAAAAGGAGGATAAGTGGCCTAAGGAGAAAGTCCAGAAACTCTCTAAACCGAGCTGTTAATAAAATTAAAACATCTGAAACCACAGCTAACACCACTTATAGTGAATTTCAGGTATATTTCAGGTCTATTGTTTTTTTTTCTACCAGCTAATAAAATCCATAATTCGTATTCTTTTTCTTTCTTTTAAAGTTAATGTTTAAAATATGAATCATTAATGTTCATCGTGACCAAAAAAAAAAAATCCAAAGGAAAGCATCCTTCAAAGATCAATAATAATAAATAAATAAAATTCGATTAACTAACTGGTTCAAAACTGACGTGGTTAGCAAAGTACTTGTTTATACTGATTTTTGATGAATATTTTGTTCTTCATAAGCAGTCGATCTTCAACTTACCTATTCTTATTATTTATTTAGGGTTGCTAGTTTTTAGAACAATAAGATGCAGATAATGTCAAAAATTTCTTTCTAAGTTGACTTAAAATAGATTAAGGTTCTATTAAGAAAGTGAATGCTAATCTTTTGGTAGTGATGTTGTATTTTTATTATTTATTTCTTAGCAACCTTAAATAAAATCAGCTAATTAATCCTATTAATAAGTTAATTAGATTTAAAGAAAGGAAGGAGAGATCAAGGGCTAGGATTTACTAAATGAAATGAGTGCTTTGAGTGGTCATTAATAAATTTTTCTAGAATATTATTACGAAAATTTTTTCAAAATTATTTTATTTTCTAGGAAAAATCGTACAGGATTTTCCAGAAAATTACCCCTTACGCTTCGCGTCTATTGATGATTTTTAAAAAGCTTAACCAATTTTGATTGGTTAAAAATTACTGTTGTGACATTTCCGTAAAAATGTTTTCATTCTACTTAAGATACCTAAACAATGTATAAACAACCCCATATTCTATTCATAAACAAAAGGTAGGGACCGTGCTTCCGAATTATTTGCGGCCACTTCATATTTAAACACTACTATTAAATTTGGTGCCAAAATATGCACTAATATTGCCAAGAAAATTAACAAATAGTTTTTTGCAGTGCGAGGCCTTAGCTTACAGCTCTGTGTGTTCACCTATTGAGGAGGGTCAGTATTTTTACTTTTGTTTTTGTTCATAATCATATCACATTTTCTATCATATTTCTTTTCCATCGCCAACTTGTTATTGACAATCTGTTCATGCAATACTTGACTGTGAATGTGATGTTGACTATGCTCAATCTTGATAATGGAGAGAATAAAATATTAATTTTGGTTTGAATACTAATACTAATATTAAAATTTTTTTTGATGGTTTGCCATTTTTTATAGTACATACATAAGTCTTGTTTTGACTTGTCTCTGTAGCTTGCCATTCTTATTACTTGCAAAACAAGCAAGAAAAAATTTTATTTCAACTAGGAGTGAAAGTGTCTATTTTAAACACCATGTTGATATTTATTTTATTTCTAGAAAAATTGTATTTTATATTTTTTGCATACAGTGGTTATTTAAGTGCTCAGCATTGCAAACTCAAATAATAAAAAGACATTTTTGAAAAATCTTTGTTTTTGTGGACAGAGAACATTTTTAAGAATTTAAATAAAATGCTAATGGTCATAAATAAAAAGTTCGTTTTACAAAACTTCTGGTTCCTCCTGCGTCGGTTTTTGCTGAGTTGAACTTGCTGACGTTTCGTCATTCATCCTGTTGGCTTCTTCAGAGCTTGACTGTGGAAGGTTCTTTGAAAAATTAATATAAAAAGTTATTAAAATTTCCGTTAAATGTTCTCACTGCCGTTTTAATAATAGTCTTATTGGGAACTGGGGAAGGCATGATGTTGGTAAGAGTACCTTGTTTGTTACCATCATGGTGAACTCGGATCAAGTGAACGCAAAAGTCATAAGATATACTGCAAATGGAAATGTTTCTAAAAATAATTTTCAATACAAAATTTAACAGTTTTAAAAATGATGTTTCTATTTGTTTCGGTTTGAAAGTGACTGAATTAAACTTTTATTATCTAATGGGCATTTTTTTTATGTTGTTATACATTCGCGACGTTTTATGGTATTTTTTACAGAACGACCTGTCGAGTAGCGATAGAAAACGAAGCACCATTCTTCCTGAAGAACTGCTAGCCCAACCAGGATGTTCTAAAAAATTTGATACTCCACGTAAGACACCGTTAAGAGTTCCTTTAAATAACAATGGTCAGCAACATGTTACTCCAAAAAGTCCCCATGGCACTGTAAAATTAAGTGCTTGCAGAAGTAATTTAAATTTATTTTTTTGAACATCGAAATCTAAAAAAATATTCTAGGATTCTTTTATTTAATTATTCTCATTAAAAGGAGTTTTTCTATGGAATTGAGTAAGTAATTAAAATATCACTGCTTTTAATTGTCGCCATTGAAGATAATATTTTCTTGATTGCCAAATATGAATTCTGTTTTTTTTTTTTCATAGTACTTCTGAAGAAAATTTTTGTTCTTCCAATGAGGTCGCTCCCATATAAAAAAAAATAAAAATAAATTTTGTGTTGCAATATTGCTGTGGTATGTATGTATATTGTATATTTTGATGTTTTGTATTTTGTTAGTTTTTTACATTTAAAATATCACAATCAAATGGTAATATGCTTACGTAACGCACTGTAAATTAAAGTAGAGTGTATACCTGTTTATTTTAAGTCAGTATTTTATTTTCTAACAATATCTAATAAATATTTTTAATAATACGCTTTGTGGTTGAGGTGCGTTTTTTTTTAATCTGATGATGTTAATTATTCGTGTCTAACACGCTTTCAGACTGCCATGTTGTTTAATAAATTAGTATTTACAGAATAAGTAGTCTGTGTTTCACTGCTCACACTGGTTTGTTTCTTTAAAAGAAAAAATCTGTAACCATGCCAGCACACTAGTTGATGGGAAAGAGAAGCAAGATTTGATTTTGCCCTAACTTATAAATAGGCTTGAATTATTGACAGGTGAAAATTCTGCGGTTGGCAGTAAAAATATTATTTTCTATTAGTTTTCAGTATCTTTCATTAGTTTTTTTTTAATGAAAATATTTTAAAAAATCTATAATTCTGTTATTCACTACCTAATTCAATATTTCAACAATTAAGCAAGCCAATGAAAAAAAATAAAAAATCCTAAAATCTAGTGCAATCCAATCCGAAAGGGAGAGCGACAGGGTTGTCAAACTAGTCGTTTCAAATTTCAAAGAGTAAAATGGTTAATAATACAAAAACTAAATAACTAAGCCAATTTCAGTAACTTTTTTATAAACAAGTTTATAATTTATTTTTGCAAAGAACCCTGATAATATATTAAATGAAACGAGTGTGCCAACCGGACGTGCGTGATTTGACTTTCCACTGGACTTGTAAATTGAATTGTGGGATTTAAATATGTCAGTTATTTTGGTTATTTTTTATTAAAATATTGATTCAGGTAGTACACTAAAGATCTTTTTACTAGAATTCACTCCGTAATTAAATTCCGTATGAAAGAATTTGATTTTCGTCAGTCTGAACTAAGTTTAATTTTTCTTTTCCTTTCGGAATCGATAAATAGATAATTAGAAATAAATTAATCACAAAGCGCTAGGCTAAATTGTTAAAATCATTCGCCCAATGCCGTCGAAAATTTATAATTCAACAACTGATTCATATAACTTTAAGCTGCTTTCTTTTGGGAAAATAAACTTAAAGTTGCCCAGCCACGAAAATGATCGAAGGCAAGTAAATGCACACTAAATGTTAATTATTGGCGTAAGTAAGGAATACAAGACTAAACAATTACAGTTCGTTATAAACATTGGTCGCATTCAGTGGACGTAGAATGGCGCTCCCGATACGTAGCGGTAGCGACTGGCAGGTGTATGTAGAGGTTTGTTTGGGTGTTGTACATCAGAAATTAGTAGAAACTGACGTTATGGACTTTTTAATTCAAAACGAAATGACCGAGGATAATTTGGTGAAATGGCTTTGGAATTCCCAGAACCAATTCGAATATTTGAGGATAATAGATGTGATAGGTGTCCAATACCAAAAAATCAGAAGTATTATGAAGACTGTAAGGAGTTATCCAGGGAACTTATTAGGATATTTTCGAGGCCTACATTTGTAAATTTATTAAGGTCTACTTTAGAATTTACCACATCTAGCACATTTCGGAGCAGTGAGACATTTGATATGTTTAGAAGAGGAGTTACCACACCTGGAAGTAGATATTGCAGATGAGGGTAGAAATAAAGAGGAACCAAATAGCAAATATGCTTTTATAACAAATATTGCCCTTTTTTTGTCATTCACATAAGTGCAAAATTTTATTTCTTTCCTCCTGGATTTTCTTGCTTCTTTCAATGGCATTTGGTAAGAGGTTAATTTCTTGTACTCAAGGTTCCTCGATATTTATCAGCTTCCTTCGTAGATAAAACATTCCACTCAACTTCTAAAATTAAAACATGTTATAAGCCTTTAATTTTTTTAATTATACCAGTAAAAAAATTGTTGAAACTTAACCTGCAGGCGTTGCTCTGGTTGGAGTGGTTTCCATCTGAGAAGTCACTGGGATCGCGGGTGGTTCCTTCCTATTTTCCGCAAAGGGCTTTTTTCTTTTTTCTTATAACAGGAACTGCTGTTGGGGTTAACCTGGTGATAATATTCCTAGTAAATTCTACCCCATCCAGTTTTCCCTATATTGTCTTTCATGGCTGTGTAGGTTTTTTTCAGGTTTCTCCATTTTCTATCCAATATTTCTTCGGTTTAGTGAAAATACATTCTGCAAATAACTTAAAATTGCATCTCTATTTCATGCGAGTGTAATTTGCGTTTAAAAAAGATTACTGTTTGTTTGAAAATACGATCTTCGAAAGCTTGAGAAGTTTTCGAGAAAACTTTCCCGTTGGGACCCTGAAAAAATTTTTGTAAATACTAATAATAATATAAATAATAACAAAATATATTTATTATGATGGAATTTCCTACTCACCATCACTGTCCAATACACCCTAACCAAAGTCCTCTTTCAAGACCAAATTCTACCAATACCGTTCGCTTCTCTACCGCTACCTAGCACAAAATAAACTCCACGGGACTTTTCCACTTTTCCGCTACGGCTTTGTAAATTCAAATGTCCAACACGCTCCCAATCGCTACCGCTACGTATCGGCAGCGCTTTGCTACGTCCGCTCAATGCGAGCATTGATTGAGAGTCGTCTTGATACCAAAGTTGAGTATTTTGCTGTTTGGTTTTGGTAACGTTTAATTAAGAGTCGCCTTGATACCAAAATGGAGTATTTTGCTGTTTAATTTTGGTTACGTTTAAGTCAAGTCAAATGATCTGTCCATCCACCAACCCACGAACGCAAACGGATGCCGGTAATAGGCTGTTGACGTTAACTAATATGCCCAAGTTCGTCAATTAATTCTTAGTTTTCTGAAATATAGTTTGATTTTTGCCCAATTTTTTTTAAATAATTATTTTGCTGACTTAGGGTTTAAGTATGCTTCGTAAATCAATTTCCAAACATTACACCATATCAACAGTGGACTTACAAGAGATTGACTCCTTCCAGAAATTTTCTTCAGAATGGTGGGATAAATATGGTTTTATGAAAGGACTACATGCTATGAATAAATTAAGAATACCATTAATTCGTCAGGGTCTTTTAAATGCCGGAAATATTTGTGAATCGACTTCAAAATCACCCACCCCGCTTCAAGGCTTGGATGTTTTAGATGTTGGTTGCGGTGGAGGAATATTGTCAGAGCCTCTGGCAAAACTTGGTGGGCGAGTTACGGGAATAGATGCTGCTAATGAAGCTATTGATATCGCTAAGAAACACGCGGAACACAATTCTCTTAGAATAAATTATTTATGTACATCTATAGATAATTATTGCTCAACAAATGAAGAGAAACATGATGTTGTTGTGGCATCAGAAATTTTAGAACATGTAACAGAAAAGGAAAAGTTTATTAAAGCTTGCCTCAGATGCCTTAAGCCATATGGTTCAATATTTATTACAACAATAAATAAAACATTTTTATCACAATTTGTTGCAATTTACCTGGCAGAAAATATTCTACAACTGGTTCCTAAAGGAACCCATCATTACAGTAAATTTTATGAGCCTCATAAATTGCAAAACTTATTGAGCAATAATGGTATAAGAACTTTACTTGTGCATGGTATGTGCTGGAATATTTGGACAAACACTTGGCATTGGTGTTCTGATACTTCTGTTAATTATGTACTACATGGAGTGAAAACATTGTAGCAAAAAAATAGGTATTCAACTATTTTTCTTTCAGTTATGTTGTTTTAAACTAAAATTATTACAAATTAGATTTTTTTAAAAGTTGGATATTAAATGAAAAATCTATTTAACTTCACTGCATAAGACATTTATTCAAAGACTATCCCAAAATAATTTCTAAATAAACAGAAATTGCATAAATGTTAGTTTTGGAATTGTTATATTACAGTAGTAAATAATAATAAAAATAATAGTAATGTATCAACATAATTTCAACTTTCCTGACCTTTTTGAACTAATCAAAACAATATATTAACAGGACTACTACAAATATATCACATTATTTATAGAAAAGTACAAAATGTTGCATCTTTCTACATCTCTTAATTTATTGGGCATCATTCATTACAAAAAAAACTCATGCTCTAAGGCGTTTGGATACACCCAAGGACTATTTATTGTTAAATTATTTTTTTTCAATTTTTTATTCTACCAGCATTTAATTGTCTATTTAAAAAATATAATTGAAAAATAAATTAAACTTTACATGTCACTACTTTCCGCCACATCATCAACATCTACCACACAATCTTCTATTGCATTCTGCAAATCATTGTTTGGATAATACATTTTGAAAGGAAACTCATCTGCACAAAACTGTCCAGGATTTACAACAATACAGTTTTTATATATGCCTTGGTAGGATTCAGACCTATCACCAACCACAATTAAGTCTGGGAGTGGATACACCGAAAGGCAATAATCAAAGTCCCAATGTACAGTTAGCGCATTTAAAGCCATAGGGCTCAAGTGACCTTGACTTATCAGAGTTTTGGCCAAGTTATTTCCAATTTCCTGTTTTCTGGGTTTATTTAATGTCCCTTGCATAAATTTTGGGACTAAATCTGCTCTAAAAATCACAATTTCTTTTGTGCAATACTGAATCCTGCAAGGGTTTGTAGCAAATATTGCATTTGGCAAAATCTTTTGCATGTCTTCTGTGACATAGGTCGGTAGTTCAAGCCTTGGAACTATATGTGGAGTACATGGATCTAGCAACCCTGGAATGAAAACAAATTGACTTAACGCAACAATGTTGGGAAATTTGGAAATAAGTTCAGCAAACTTTTTAAAAAGTTTTTTCAGCACATCCAATGATTCATTTCCTTGAGATTCAGCCATGAAGTTCCCCATGAAGACAAAGGCTATTGGTTGTGCAAACTGTTCTGTTTTCATAAAGAGCTTTTCTAATTTATCAAAGATTAAGTTGTTGTCCAGCCACACATCAGAAAAGAACATAAACATGGCATTTTTGTTCTCTAGTAAGTGCCGTTTTAGTGTTTTCGAATCCCTTAAGGGAACATCTGAATTTCCCCCAAAATAGTTTATATTGCCGAAACTAGGTCTGGAATCTTGATATTCTTCTCCAGGCGGTAATGCTATTGTTGATACACATAAAATTCTATCTTCATAATAACCATTTACTAAAACAAAAACATTTTCGACAAAAAATCCTGTATGATAATTGGCGTGGCTTAAATCTAATTGGACAATGCCAGTGGGATCTTCCAGAAAGTATTTATTTTCTGCAACTTGTAACAAACTTCCCAAAATAAGTGTGTGATCTAGTTTTGCTTCAGAAAGAGTCAATAGGTAGTCCACCGTTTGTAACTTCAAGTGGTTTTTTTCAGCACCAAGAAGAGAGTGTGAAAAGCTGCGTTTGGTTCTTTGAAGAATTGAGGAATAACGCTCAAAAAACAATTTGATTTTGGCATCCGCCACTGGCAATAACTTGCTACTTTCAACATCTTTGGAATAAATCTTTCTTGTTGTATTGTAACATAATTTTGGAAAGTCAAAAGCATTTATCACATTAAAAACTGTTTCATTGCGATCATAACCAGATTTCAAACACATCTCGATTGTGGTTTCAATGTTCGCTTTTTCTATGCTATGACCTGCCAAACTCTGAGTTTCTAAACTGGAACATATAGATTTCACATTTTCCTCAAAATCAGATTCTAGGTTTTTGTTCGATTCTTGAAACTTTTTTACAATCAAATAACAATATTCCCGTCTTACGTTAAATCCACTTAATTTTAAGGCATGTTGTACTTTTTTTGAAAGCTTTTCCATCAATAGAGCATTCATTTTAAAGTGTACGCTATAAAACGTTCCATAAATTAAAAATATGTTGTTCCGATATTGGTGCTGAAAGAGTTAGTTTTCTGCACCGATTGCTAATGTTAATTTTAAATTTAAAAATTAACAAATCAACCAATAAAATCTGTGATTGTTATGAGGTTAGAACTACATTTCAATGGTTCACACCATAACGAAAACTAAAAAAAGATTAGTTTTGATTAGTTAGTGTAATTAAATGTAGTTTGCTCTATAGACGCGTTTCAGTTGATACGCTTAACAGTGGGAGCATACAGTTTTTTACACTTTCCTGTTATTATTGGCGTTAACGTTCTGGTAACGGTTTACCATATTTGTTAAGTTTCCATCAACAATCGCATCGATTAATCGCAACGTGACAACAAAATAATCAAAAACAAAAACATAACCTAAATTAGACAATGTTATTGCTCGGTAAACACTTCACTTTCTCCACTAGTTTATTTCGGTTGTCACAGTGCACTCTTGTGACGTCATAGTTACTCTATTATCGATCTGATTGCTCCGTGGAGCGAACTGAAAGCTGCAAAGTATTTCAAATAATTTATTTTTCTCGACGAGTATTGTAAAAATCTACTGAAAGTGAACGAAAAACGAAAGTGCCCTGAAAAGGCAAGACAAACAAAAACTTTTATTTTAACTTCAAAACTTTGTAAAAATGTTTAAAGCAGTGACCTTTCCATTTGGTTTGTGAACTACATATGTTTCTTAATAATTAGAATGCTTAGTTTTAAAGGTATTAAATATTTTAAGTCATAGACTATATGCCGCAATTAAGGCGATGTTGGCCATTTTCAACATTTTCTTTGATGTTAATTTTGTAGTGTGTGACGAAAAGCTCCAAAAAATAAATGCTCATAAAAATATGTTTTGGCAATTTTTCATGGTTATTATTTTTTCGTTAGAAAACAATGTGAAAATAAGTGAGCGAAAAAAGTTGTTCTTTTTGTGGCTTATTTCAAGTAAATAACAAAAAAATATCAAAAAGTAATAGCATTGCAATTCACAATTTTATGAGATTATAAATTATAACAAAATCGAATCCGTATCTTGGAAATTAAGCATTTCCGGAGCTACGTTTATAGGACCTTTTTTTCTTGTTTTTTATGACGATTGTGCGAGCGTTAGCTCGAAAGATACTGTACATAATGTAAATAGTTGTTGCTCTAAATAGAGCAAAATGTGTTGATCCTTTTTTGTTTAATTTTTTCCCACCATTTTCAATAAATGAAGCGCGTTACAGGTGTGGCGATTAGTACATAGGTATCTATATAAGATAATGAGAATGAGCCTAATGTGCTCGTGATTGATTTATACAATCGGCGCGCAGTTAGACGGCTGCGACCATGCCAAACCTTTATTCGTTGTTTGTTGGCGTTGAAGCAGTGTAAAATTTTTAATTCGCTAAATGTTAAAAAATAGGGTGTCGTATTTACAAAACCAGTTTGTTATTATTAATTTTTTTTTAAAATCGGATTTTCGGAAATATCGGCATTGTAAAAAACAAGTATTTTGATTTATATGCGTTTAAACCAAGAAACAAAATCAAGCTGTTGGCTCCCTTCGGTAGATCACGAAGAATAAGAAAAAATCTCTACACCTTCCATCTATAACCAAAATTATGGAAACGCTACGTCGATGATAGTTTTGTTATTTGCCCTCATAGTCAAGAATCCCTAGTAGAATTTCTTATACATTTAAATTCTACGTTTTACCATTGAATTAGAAACTAATAATAAGCTCCAATTCTTAGATATTCTTATCAATAGAAAATCAGACCTAACATTGGTCATTGTGTTTACTGAAAAATACGCACACAGACCGATACCTTCATGCATTGTCACATCACCATCCGGCCCAAAAATCATCGGTTATCAACTCTCTTGTTTACAGAGCTGTAAAACTATCTCAGCCCATGCCACGGAACCCAGAATTAAAACACCTTGACTCTGCTCTTCTCTCTAATAATTTCCACATTAAAGATAGTAAGCGTTCTATCACAAAATACACCTCACCACAACCTTGCAATAGCAATAAGGCCGAAAGCAATTCTACACTTGCCACTGTTGTCCTTCCTTTCATTCAAAACATCACTGACCACATATCAAAAGTTATAAAGAAATATAACGTCAAAACCAGATTCACCACTTGTGCGAAACTCTTCCATTTGAGATGCCAGGAGTTTACAGTATTCCATGGATATGCGACAAAGAATACATTGGCAAGACCGGACGAAAAATATCAACTAGGCTCAAAGAACATGAAAGAGCCCTAAGACTAAGATAAATAAACTCATCAGCAGTTGACGAATCAAATCAAATTTGATTCGAATAAACTAAAATTCTTGCATGTAATTAATTCCTGTACCAACGAAAAATCGGAGAGTCTATAGAAATCTATAAACAACCTAACAATCTTAACCGCGACTGAGGTCTTTACCTGTCACCAATATGGGGAATTAGTCATCCGAGACGGTGTTTATACCTCTCATTTACCTCCGTCATCCTCATACAATATATAAGAAGGTACAGAGTAAAATGCGAGTCCATTTCAGTTAAGCTCTGAAGAAGCCAACAGGATGATTGGCGAAACGTCAGCAAGTTTGTTTCAACAAAAACCGACGCAGGAGGAATCCAGAAGTTTTGTGAAAAGTATTACAGTAATCTGTGGAAGTTCTTTGAAAAACTAAAAAAAGTTGAAGAATTTCAAAACGAATTCACAACAAAATTTAATTTTGTTCGTCACGCTTTTTTTGAGACACTTTAAAATAATTTTAAATTGTGCATGCTAACAATTTTTAGAACTTTTGTATTAATTATTTTCTCATAACTTTTGAAACCAATGAGATAATGAACTTATCCGAGACGGTATTTATGCCCCTGACTTAGCTCCGCCCCACTCAAACAATATATAAGCAGGTACAGAGTAAAATGCGAGTCAGTTTCAGTCAAGCTCTGAAGAAGCCAACAGGATGATTCGCGAAACGTTAGCAAGTTCGACTCAGCAAAAACTGACGCAGGAGGAATACAGAAGTTTTGTAAAAAGTACCCCATAGAATTGGTATCGGCGCAAGTAAATGGGTTTGTAGCAAAGCAAAACACCACTTTTAAAATGAGAGGCGCTAAAACCCTCTTACAGGAGGGAATAAAAACATTTTGAAAAATGCAGTAAGTGCATCGAAGATGAAATAGAAAAATGAATGTGAGAAGCTAATAATTACATGCTACAAAACACTGTATATCCCTTAATTATTTCTCTGGACTTCAATTTGGAACACGATGACTAAAATTTACAAATGAACTGGTATTGTAAATAGTAGAATTTTTTCAATATGTGTAATATATATGTATTTATATTAATTAAAATCTCAATTTTCTGTTAATCTCTATAATCATATAAAATGTATAATTATTTTTATTATACAATATAGTAGCGCATTAATCAATCAATTTGGTTCGCCGCAGATTGAAAAAGCACTGTTGTTGAAACAAAGTTCCAAGGTTCTTTAACCAAGAAATTCTCATTGCAAATTTACGTTTTATAACTCTCTCGCATTAAGAAACACAGCATAGCACAGTGAAAACTCCCTATAGCGAAAGTCTGTATAACGAATTTCTCACTCTCTATACCGAAAGAAATAAGTCACATCAGGTAACAAAGTAATGAATGTAGGCCGACTTGTAATTAATAGAGTCTCTTACCTTTTCAAAATTTCTTATCCTAATAATCTAATTACCGTGAACCTGGCCGTCCTAATTGTTTTTCTCGTAATGAGCGATTATGTTATTGCTTTTCTAAGCATGCATAAAAGCACACCATTTTTGCAATAAGTTCTAACTTGACTTAGTGAATAGAACGAACATGGCGGATGAGCGAAAAATTTAATCTCTAGATAATAAAGTTGTTTTAATTCGGGAGATAGAACGGAGAGAAAAGAAAAGTGATGTGGACGTCGATACGGACTTATACCGTCCACGATTTGGAGGTGCAAAGAAGATATCACATCTACAGTCTTACTGATGTTGAGGACATGGTCGAGTTCTTTAATGAAAGGATAAGTTACAAAACCCCCAGCTCCTTGGCTCCTTGGATATTGCTTATGCCAAATTTAAACAGACCAGGACGGATGAGCACCGGGAACACTACAAGACTCTCAGCAACCATAGTGCTAGTATTATGAAGAGAGGAAACAAGAGGTATATCCAACAAGTCTTGTTTCACAGTAACAGTGGCTCCGCTTGGAGTGTGTTGCGCAATATGCAAATTTTGAGCGATTCGACTGGTACTACTTTGCCTGAGCACGTCACTGATCTTGGCTCTATTAACAGTTATTTTATAAGTACCCCCACCACAGTCAAAAATTGGAAAAAATTATGAAGGAACAAATCTCTGATTATGGCTTTCAAAGTAATATAGTTTCAAGTGCTTAGTCTGACTTTAAACAGAATTTTCGCACTACAACGCCCCTGATTAAGATCGTGGATTTACTGTGCGCTGTGGACAGCGAGGAAGTGACTAGTTTGATTCTGCTTGACTGTAGTAAAGCTTTTGATAAGGTGGATCATTGCATGTTGTGTAATAAATTGGGCTACTACGGTTTTCACCCATCGTCCGTTGGTTTGATTGGGGATTATTTGAGAGATCGGCAACAGGTGTTCTCATATGAGAGTAAGTTGTCGGCTGCAATAAGAGTGCTGCAGGCAGTTCCTCAGGGATCTATGCTTGGGCAACCACTATTTTCGATTTATATTGCTGACTTCTACGCCTACGTCGACACCTGTCGACGTCGATACTCAGATTTATTTGTCATATCACGTACCAGAAACTCATTCAGCTAATCAAAAAATAAATAAGGACTTGACGCCAATTGTCGCGTTTTCTTCAGCGCATAATCTTAGTTTTAACGCGTCTAAATCAGCGGTCATGTTTTTTGGACCTGAGGCTCTGCAAAGAACACCGTAAAACTTGCGATTAGGAATGAGATCCTTCCCACGGTCGATGAGGCCAGGAACTTGGGGTTGTGGCTTCACAGTATGTTGCGCTTCACCAACATGTGAATTACACAAGTCAAACTACTCTATCAAAATAAGAATATTATGCCACCAGAGTTAAAGTTGCACTTGTGTGAGAGTTTAATTCTTTCTAGAGTGTCTTACTGCGATTCTGTGTATGGACCGGCACTGTTGCGTAGGGATTGCGATAGGCTACAGACGATTCAGAATTCCTGCTATCATTTCTCCTACGGCATCAGGAAGTTCGATAGAATCAGTTACAAAATTGCCTAGTCGGGTGGATTAAAACTGAAACTTGAAATTGGCCACAATTGAGAACATCAGTTCTTATCATACCCGCAACAGTAGGTTGTTGATAATCCCGCGGAACACCTGTTCAAGGTTTAGGCGGTCATTTTCTTATGAGGCTCCCAGTCTTTACAATAAATTGTCAATGGACTATCATAACGACACAATCAAAACTTTTAAAAAGAGACTCAAGAATCAGTTGTTATCTGAGAGTGACAATCGGTAATTACATAGCAACGTTGTTTTTCTTTAGGATTATCGATACGGTTTAGTATAAATCATTGTTGTTTCGGTGGGGTTAAGCTTAAAAACGTCCATTAGGGTGACGCTTCACCTTTTGACCATGTAATGTAATTGTTATATATAATTTATGGTGAATAAAGACGTTAATAAATAACAAATAAATGAAATCATTCAGACTGAAGCGGCAGGCAGTTCTAGTAAAAAACTAAGAAAGCGAAAATTTGAAGATTTGGATCGAACAATATTGCAGTGGTTAAAGCTAGCACTGTCTGGACCTAAAAAACTAAAAGCAGAAGAATTTGCTGAACGGTTTGGCATTATCGATTTCAGGGCCTCGGAAGGATGGTTGGGGAAGCTTTTGGATTTGCCTACAACAGCAGACTTGACAGATAAAGCAAGAATGTGTGGGGACCATTCAACAATATTCAATTAAGCTGCTAGAATTGTTTTTTTGTCTCATGGGGAAGATGCCCCGCTCGAAGAGATGTCGAAAATACAAGCCGAAGTACGAGCTGTGTATTGGCATATTAAAAAAATGCAGCAGAAAATTAATGTAATGTAAATGTAGTCTTTAAATATTCATATAAAATATTCCTAAGTAGAGGTTAAAATAGGTATATAAAATAATTAAATATTACTTATTACAAACACGTATTGTTATTTTTCGAGTGCACTATATAGAGTTACACGTAGTAGTTAGTGTTAGCGATTTGTAAAAGACGCTTATTCTTATTAGCCTCTCTTCAACCCCGAATCGTCCCGATAAAGGTTGTTCTGGCCGGTTTTTACTACCATCCCTAACTTCAGTAGCGTCGGCGCGGTTTACAGCGCCGGGACGGAGGCGCGGCGGTTTTCAGTGCCAACACCGCCGTCGCCTTTATTTGCAACAAAATCGACCGCGCAATTGCCTGCAGTCAGAGTTGAGTCAGTGCCTGCGGTGTTGCGTTATGTTCTGGGCATTCGAAAAATATTATTGACATTAACCGCCGTCGGTTGATTCATCGCCACTCGTTTAGAAAATAATTCAAGACAAATATGTGTACAATGCGATAAGGATTTTATATGCGAGGGTTCTTCGAATAAAGGGAGCATATAGGCAACCCGGCGTGACATTTATACCACGCTCAAATTAACGGAAAACATAAATAACATATGATATAAATGTGTCGATGAGAATTTGATCATCGGTGAGTAAAAACATTAAGTATAATGTGCTTATGCTTATACTTATTTTATTTGCGGTCTAGTTTAAAATGCAAATGTCTTTTTTATCTCACAAAGAATGGTGTCTAGGTTGTGTTTATGCCTTTGGTTATCGATGCGTTAAAAGTGCTATAAAAAGTGGAGTAGCCAATCGTTTTCGGAGAATGGGATTTTAATAGACGTAACTTGGCTCCATAAGGGCGGACACTTATTTTTGCTTTATTCTTAATCGTAAAAATTACTTTTTCATTGTTTGCCAATAGATTAGCTTTGAACCCGTGTACTGGAACATCAATCTCATCATAATCACAACTCATACCGCATTCACTATGTGCGACTGGAACTGATTTAAAATAAAATAACCAGACTGCACGATCAGTTGGCCGGCGCTATTGGAAAAAATATTAATCATTTTTTCTGATCAGTTCAAAGGTGCATCTCATCATAAACGAAAATAAAGTATTCCGTAGACGTCGCAATCTAGAAAAAGACCACGATACATACCGGGTGACACATGAAATTGACAACACTATAACTTTTAAACGGCTTGAGTTAGCGATAATAAATGCACACCTACAATTTTTTGGGTCCATTCTACGTAGGATAGGACGGTTTTTCTTATTATTTTTGTTTTTTTTTTTTAATTTTTATTTAATCTTTGAAAATTGTGCCTAGGAGGCTCTGACCATAAATATTATTTACCGGGTCACCAGATCATGGGAAAAATTGTAAATGAAACTTTTCTTTACTTGTCTAATGGCAAATAGCATTTAATGTAATGAACTATTAATTTTTTAGGATAACCTAGTTTTTCAAATACCACCCTAGTGAGAATAAAAACTTTTTAAAACCGGTACTTTTTTTGCAACATTTTGACACAATGTTTCCAAAATCCGTTAAAAAATAAGAGTTTCTTCTGAGATTCATCGATTACAATTTTTTGTTGAGTGTTTTATTATGGTAAAAAGTTGATATGCTTTTGGAATACGGGGACACAGTTAAAAACTAACGTAAGTATTGTATGTACGTCATAAGTTACAAGCAGTTTTTACCGGAAACTCAGAAGAACAAGAGAATAGAAATATTTTTTTTCTTTTCAAATCTGTCACTTTTTGGGATAATTCAACACAATATTTTGAGAATCTAAAAAATAATACCTCAACAATGTCGCTGAATCGATTTGAAAGTGGTATACCAACGTGTGTTACTGCAAGACAAGTTTTACATTGACACAAAATATCACATTCTTTTATATTGGAACTGGAGTTTTGTATTCATTTGAATTAAATAAGTGCGATAGATATTTACTTAATAAAAAATTGATTTTAAGATGGAACTTTCATAGAATGTTTTCAAAATGTCCTCCTTCTTGTATTTTACACTCCCTGGCTCTAGAACTGACATTCGCTGTAACCCTTCCTAACATTTCTGGAGTTATACTATATCAGATCCGTCCGATATTATCCGCTGAAATTCGACAAAATCGATCAGATAAAAATGTACAAACTGTCAGAATTTTCGATCATGATGATGAATAGAAACAAAGCCACCTAAGTAATATTTTGTTTTTATATAAAAAAAATACTTATCTGGTTTTTTTCTTCCTGTGAGCTTATTTTTTAACGGATTTTGAAAATGTTGGTGTCAAAATGCTGAAAAAAAACTACCGGTTCTAAAAAGTTTTTGTTTCCATTAGGGTGCTATTTGAAAAAATATAGTTTATCCTAAAGAATTAATAGTTTATTACATTAAATGCTATTTGCCATTAGACAAGTAAAGAAGAGTTTCATTCACAATTTTTCCCATAATTAAGTGACCCGGTAAATAGTTTTTTTCATGGTCACAGCCTCCTAGACAGAATTTTCGAAAATTTAAAAAAACAAAAAAGAAACGAGAAAAACCGTCTTACCGTACGTAGAATGATCTCCTGAATACAAAAATGCAAAAAAAAAATAGATTGTGCTATTTATAATTTGAAAGTTACAGTCGTTTCCGCTCAAACCGGAAGTGCAACCATTGACTATATATTGTCAAAAATTGGACATTCAGCCTATATTAACCGTTCCAAATTTCAAATTGCTATCTCAAGCCGTTTAAAAGGTATAGAGTATTCTCACTTTGTTGTGCCACCCGGTATATCGATGATAGGTTTCTTCTGTTGTAGTTTCAATTAAGTTTTAGTTCGTCGAAACAGCTATATCTGTAAGTGTTGGTACAATACTTACTAAAAATTAACACGGATTAACACTTCGATGGAAAGTTCTTTTTTCCTCTAATTGAAGTTTAAATACGACACAATTTTACTTTTAACCTGTAAAATATCACATACAAATTTCCTTAATAAATGACACCAATATTAAAGCCACGTTTCACTTCAAATGTATTGTTTTACATTTATTCCATTTGCTTATTAATAGCTGGCAAATATAAATATTACTTTGGCATGATATAAAGTAATGCAAAAACAAAACACTAGTTAACAATAATTCATTTGCCAAAGTTCTTTTTTGTTTTTTCTCACTGTTACCACAATTTTTAAATTAGCTATAATTTTTACAAATACTAAATATCAAAAAGATAATATTTAGAGTAATATAACGTTTTTTAGCAACTACATAAATAAATAAAATAATAATACAATAACAATAAATGAAATAATGAAAAAAGTTGAGAAAACGTTAAATCAATGTCTAATAACATTTTTAGGTGAGAGGAATATAAACAGGAATGCCTTTTTAGCGTTTTAATATCGCAAACAAAACATTATAATTGTACTAGATGATTTTAATATCCGCGTAACAAAATTCTAAAAATATTCAGGGTTTTCCAACTAAAAATGATCATAATCGTAATTATAACTTCTTTTTTATGAGGTTTTTGCAAAAAAAAATCATGTCTTAAAAATGAAACTAAAATCAGGGTGTCCGAACAGTGTGTCAAAATAATATATCTAATTTATTATTTGTTTTAGAAAAATGTTTTCAATACAAGAGTTATAGATAAGACTAAAAGAATATATATACATTGTGATTCATAAATATGTGGGAATCCAAACTTATATATATTTTATTGAAACACCCTATATATTATTGGATTAGTTGATACTCACCGAATGTAGGGTTGTTATGGTCTATATCCAGTGCTTTCGCATTTATGTCCATTTTTTCGTCAAAAATGCCCTCTGTTTAACACTCTTTATTATGCCAACAATTTTATAAAGTAGTGGAGTTATTTAAAAATATTTATTTTCGTGAAAAAATCAAATTACTCCTATTAATGCTCTTCCAATTTTATTAAGCATTCCTTATACCTAAACTTAGTATTTTTTGAAGTATACACATTTTGACGAACAAAAGTTCGAAAATTTGTCAAATTACGAGAAAATGTCGGAATAAGCTATGAAAAATAAAAATAAGTAAGTAAATTTTTTATTTTTTGCAAAAAATGTTTCTTCTCTTGCCATTAATTTACAAATTCTGTCTTTCTTAAAGCCCAAAATGTTATTGAACTATAAATAATGTTTTCCGATCGTGTCCTTTAAATCTAAGTATAAAATGAGCAAGTTTACTTAGACCTTTTAGAGCAGAGGTGGCAGAATATGTTAAGAACTATTCCAAACGAAGTGCACACCATGCCTATGAAGTTACGAACTACTAAAAAAATTTATTCCCCAACGGTGGTCACCTAGATCGGACAAAGATGGACTATTTTCTGAGGGGATATGAAAAAGACCAGGTGTATAAAACTGCCCCCATAATAAAAGAGGACATGAAACAGAAGATAAGACAAGCCTTTCAAAGTGTTAGTCATGAAATGCTAGGGAATACTGCTCAATCGTTTAAAGACCGAGTTGGAGCGTGTATCGAAGTCGGTGGTTCGTGCAATAAATAAACTGAAACAGTTCCTTTTTGTTTTGCAGTTTTGTTCTTACTTTTTAAGTGTTCTTGCTGGAACTATTACAAATATTAATATTGAATTTTTTTATTCTATCCCTAGCGTGAAATACTGTTTGAATTGGTTTTCCAATATTGCGCAATTCATAATTTTATTTTTGCTTAAATCTCGGATTTAATAAACTCTTATACTTTATATTATTATTATACTTAATTCGCCTCTTGAGACTTTTCACGTTTAGGTCGTATTTATTTTGTTCTCAGTCTTTCGTGATATTTTCGCAGTTTGTTAATTTTCTGCATTTTGTTCTTAAAAATGTGTATACCTCAAAAAATACTCGGTTTGGGTATTAATTAAAATTAAAAGAGCATTAATAGAAGTAATTAATGGAAGTATAATATACAGTCTTTGTTTTTTGTTTTTTTTTTTCATGAAAATTAATATTTTTCATTTTGACTCACCCTATATAAAAGATTCGAAATAACTTCAAGACGTGTATAAGATAAATAACTGCCACTTTATAAAATTGTTGGCAGCACAAACTATAACATCCCTACAGTGGGCGATTGAGTTTAATTGAATTGCATAATATAGAGGGTTTTCAATTTTAATAAATAGTTTGGGTTTTCCACACACTTATAAATCTCCCATATTTGAAAATAATTTCAAATTGTTTCTTTTAGTCTCATCTATAACTTTTGAATTTAACATTCTCCTCTAAAACAAATGATAAAGGAGATATATCACTTTGACACACTATTTGCACACCCTGTAGATAACACTATTCCGGGAACAATTGAAAATCTTATTTTACTGGGTCCAGCCTGCCTTCTCAGATGATAACGCATTATGTCTACGTACATCTTTCCAATTAGTTATTTGTACTAAAAGCAGCTATTTTACAAAATTGAAAAATTACATTTTGTATTTATAATCCTATGGATCCCTGCCATCCGCATGAACAAATTATGTTTCACTTACTATCAGTTTTAACATTTTGTTTGCAAAATAAATATTTTAGGGAAAAAAGGACCTAGATATATAGATATCATATTTGATAACATTAAAATTTCATTGAAACAATTAAATTTAAAAATTGCAAACAATTACAAACACACTTATAACACTTGATGTAGTGAAACCGGGTACATTCTGCTTTACTATTCACTTGCTACTATTAATTTGTCAATGGCCAAAAATTAAAATCTTGTTAAGTAGATTGCGACTAAGAATCTAAAATTGAAGATTTTTTTTACGACCTTCTCTAAAATACCCAATTATTCCCCCTATTTACCACATCGGATACTTCGGACATTTCTAGGATATTACCCATGGGTTTGGGTGCAATCGGAGGTTTTTGGAGATATTACCCACCGCTTGAATTTTGACGTTTGTGAATTCTGACGTCATGTCATGTGTTGTTTTGCAAAAACTAATGCGACAAGTTTGGTCAACTTTTTAAGTCAAATGCCGTTTACCACACTTGTTGTTTAATATGCTATAAATTTGATGAAGTTTTTATAGTCCAGCAGGTTTGGATTCAGTGTAAAAATAGTGGTGATGATGTTCACCCCTTGTTGCTGCTTGCTGCTAAACTAGTTTGAAACGCGAGTAGTGAGTAGTTATGATCGTATGTTTGATTATTATTTTTGAATATTTCCCAAAATTTGTTTATGTAGAAAGTTTTCAGAATTAGAATCGTCACAAGAATTATAAAAAAAACTGAATTTTCACTGACAAATGTTTCCCGTAAGGCAGTGAAATTTCATTTCAGCAAATTAAATCATGATACTAACAATAGGGCTGAAACAGAAGTTCTTCACTACTTGATCAAGAGTGATGTGAGAACAATAACCAAATCAATATAATATATGTGCGTGTTAAAGAATTTTATACGTTGCTTTGTCGAACATATTCTTTATTTCCCCCTTAATCTAATATGTTCCTAAGGGAATGATTTTAGTTTGCCTGAGAGAACGAAAATCAATATTGCGTGATCATTGTTACGTAAGTACTCATTTTTCCCGCTTCTATCCGCCTGTTCGAACCATTACGTAGGGGTCGTATTCATTAACTCTAAAGTGCAGAAGTCAATTCAATAAATTCAACTTGCAGCAAGATGATGACAAATTTGTTAGGTTTTGTTGAAAAACCGAGCTTTGTTATAATAGCGTGGGCAGATAAAAAACCATAGGACGTAACCTTATTGCAGCTGTAGTTCCCAACCAATTTATACGTTAATTAAATTTGTGTTTGTACATAATTCATATTAATTTTGAAATAATAAATAAACGCAGTCGGCATTGACTTCAATGCGAAACATAACAAATGCAATTTTGGTAAAATCTTTTTGTTGCGCTTCGAGCTATATCGGAAATTGCGCATGGTTCAATATGGTAACTCCGGAAGACTTGACTCACGACGTATTCTTTAAATAGCGTAATAATTGAACTCAAAATTCATATTCAAACAATCAGTTTGAAATATATATATATATATATATATATATATATATATATATATATATATATATATATATATATATATATATATATATATATATATATATATATATATAGCATTGAAGATGCCAAGTGAGATTTTGGCGAAACGTCTGCAGGATTCCAGTCGGATGCAGGATTTGCAGGATTCCAGTCGGATGCAGGATTCCAGTCGGAGTTCAACGAGCGAACGGATGATATCCCGGAGTATAGTGTCATCACATTTTTCCATCCGTGAATCAATACGTGAGAATATATATATATATATATATATATATATATATATATATATATATATATATATATATATATATATATATATATATATATATATATATATATATATATATATATATATTCTCACGTATTGATTCACAGATGGAAAAATGTGATGACACTATATTCCGGGATATCATCCGTTCGCTCGTTGAACTCCGACTGGAATCCGAAGTGTTCGAAGTGTTTTCGAAGCGCGAGCATTGAAGATGCCAAGTGAGATTTTGGCGAAACGTCTGCAGGATTCCAGTCGGATGCAGGATTCCAGCCGGAGTTCAACGAGCGAACGGATGATATCCCGGAATATAGTGTCATCACATTTTTCCATCATATATATATATATATATATATATATATATATATATATATATATATATATATATATATATATATATATATATATATATATATATATATGTATATATATATATATATATATATATATATATATATATATATATAATATTGTGAACTACTTATATACTTATATTTTACCACACCTCTTCTTCTCCCGAACTATCGTCAACAAATTTATTAAGCTCTTTTTTTTTACAAGCCTTTCGGTACAAACATATTTTCGGTTTTCCTTAATTAATATCTCGAAAAGCGCTAGAGATAGGTTACAAACATGATCAGCAGCAGTCCCATTTACAAAATCAAGGTTGTTGCTTCTATTCCATACAAACGGCAACACTGCCTGACTGAACATATTTTAGGGACGGGTTCGGGTTAGCGCTCAGAGCGTCACGTTCTGATTTTCCAAAACGGCTAATGTTCCATCAACCATGAGGCACCCTGTATTAGACACCTACACAACAGCTGGTTATTGTGTCGCAAACCCGCTGGACCATCTCTGCGGGGGTTACCTAAGCCTGTCGCATTTCTTATTTGAAGTTATTTTATTCAATTTATCTATTATTATTTATTTATTGTACTAAAAACGCTTTCATACTACCTAACTCTTTAAAAAAGGTAAAATTTGAATTTAATTGGTCCTTGAATTGGTAGTGTCAGGAAGCTCTTAGAAGCTTATTGCGTACTTTTTTCAGTGTGCGTGTGTATACAATGCAATGATACATTTGTTATCTCACTCACTTTTCCGTTCATTCATGATAACCGACTTGAATCTTATGAATTATAACCAAAACACACTTATTGTTGTCTTGAAAGCGTTGTTTCATTTTTTTATAATCGAATTGGGTTTTATCGGGTCGACATTTTTGAAATAAACTTTTCATATGTTGACCAAGTCCGTCAATAGCAGATTTGCGCTCACCTTCTTTATTGAGCCACAATCAAATGACAGACAATTATGTAAACGGTTAATATATCTACATATCTGCAAAAGAGATATTTGGACTGGTATATATAACTTAAAAACACTTCTGTAAGCATGTGGCATAATTATATTAGCGTTTATTTTCCAATTGAGTATCTACCAGTTTATGAAATGAGATATTCTGGCCTTCCATTGTCTTTATTATTTCCATAAAATTTCAAGTAGTCTCCATTTGTCTTTAGGCGAAAACTGTATTATCACCTAAACTGTATTATCACCTAAAGACGACAATTTCGTTCGATTATAGGGTCAATATTAGAGTCACTTCTTTAATTCGGTATAAAAAAGAATTATAAAAGGGAAACTTAGAATTAATTTCATTTGAATTCTTTGTTTCTAGTCAGCGAATTGCCGTAGATTAACGGGTCCAACAAGATGAAATATGATGTTGTGGATCCCTGCTTACTTAATAATCTTCATAGCCTTTCCAAGTATTGTCGCCAAACCAGCCATGGATAGCCCAAATTTGCGATACGAGGAATATGTTGTGGAACACGATATTTCAGCCACGCAGGCTAGAAACGTGGCACTCAGTACAAACTATAATGAAGGTAAGTCTTATCAACCTGGTGAATAATAAGCATCGTCGAAGGGAATTTGACTAAAGTTTTTAATTATTGTTCAAGGCTATTTAAGTATCAACTTGATTGTAATACTAAAAACATGCAAAAAAACAATGATTGAAAGCATATATCTATGCGTATGACTTGGTGGCGATTTAATAGGTCATAAACCTGATTGCGAGAAAAAGGCGAGGTGTGATTTTACGTGCGTTAACTGTCGTCCATCATCTAATTGATTGCGAACAATATTCCGAACACAACCTGAATGCGTCAGCCATTTCCGCAATTCAAAGGGGTTAAGGTTAAGGAACTACGTGCATGTTTGGTAACGTATCTAACTGATTGACCATTCAGTGAGTTGTATAGAGTTTTTCAATAATTAAAAAAAAAACACTTTTAGCACAATTAAATGTAGTTAAAAGTCCTAAACAAAATATTAAATAGGTTGGATCTTTTTAAATTGTTTTTACATTTATAGTTTTATTTTAATCAGAATGGTGTAATGAAATTAATATTTTCAATAAAGCGATAAGTATAAGTATCATAAGGAATAATACTACAAATATAATATGAAATAGTAATGAATAATAAAGAAATCACAACAAATCAATAACATAAAAATGTATTAGAATAAAAAGAAACCGCTGCGTTTTATTGCAATAATTATTTTTCAATTTCAAAAAAGAAGTAGTACCCAACTCATAATGCAAGTGCAAATACTTTCTGAAAACAAATGTCGTAATAGGTAAAATATACAAGTTTCACCGTGTATTTAGACAAAATATTTTTTTCCCTAGAAAACAGTTATGACCATTGGTGAATAAATTATTTCTTGATATATAAATTTCAAATCAATATCAAAAATGACAAAGTTAGTTTCCAATCTTCTAAAATTCATCCGACATATTTAACGGCGCTTGTCGAACTTTAACGATTTGGTTAATCCCAAATTATTTAGAAATAAGCTATCGGGAGTAATCAATTTTTCAAAACAGTTTCCAAGCTAATAGGCAACCAAAAATGTTTCGATTTGTTCGCTAAAAAAGTCGTTTGGCTTAATAATACTATTTAGTTTTCAACATCTTGTAATATGAAATCAATTATTTCATAAACATTTATAATTCCGTTAACAATATCTTTAATAAAATACACATTTTATCGATATATTGTTGTTTGAACAATATGACTAACCCGATTTAATTTTCTTTCGATATTTTTCATTTTGATTTAGTTGATGAATATTTACTGCAATTGTTCAAATTTCTCTCCATTTCAGCCGTTGCTGTTGGCTGCTGAGTTTTTATCGACACGAATTTTATATACTTAAAATACTTAAATGTGTACCTACCTACCTACTACAATTTACGATTTAATTTTTAAGTTGCATGTGAAAACAACAGAATGAGTCGTCCTTTGGCCTCCATGAATACATAAAAAATACATTATCCGGGAAAAACAGCAGGTAATATGGCTTTAATAAGCTAAAATTTATACAATTAAATTGAATAATACCAATAATTTGCTTCAACGGACTATTGTTCGCTTAACAAGCGTTTTTGACACCGCTTACACCCACGCGCAACAAAATTAGAGTCGATTTCTCTGCTATTTCAAGAAGAAAAACTATGTATTCTGGATAACTATCTTATTTACCTAGTATCATCGGTCATTGTTAGTTTACTTTATTTTTTTTATAATAATCTTAATCTAAGCTAAAGTTAGAGAAATAGTCTGGTTTTTATTTATTATTTACATACAGTGTGGCGCATTAAACATGAAGACATCCCTATATTTTGACTACCTAAAGAAATACAGATTTGAAGTTTTGCACACTCATACAGGTTGATGGTTCACAGTTTTTAAGATACTCACCCGAAATTTAAATTTTAAACGTGAATTAACTGACTTGATCGATTTTTATAAAGAAGATTACAACATAAATATTTTCAACTGACTTTCCGATTGTTAAATGTTGCGAGTCTTGCACACTCAGCAGGTTCTCAGGAACAATTGAACTACACCTGGTGAGAGGTAGTTCAATTGTCGGATTTACTTCTTCCGTCTTCTTCGTTCCGAAACATCCTTTGGTGATCAAATGCTTGTAGGCTACATAAACAAAGGCTATAACTAAAACAACATTTCCTGTAGATAGAAACTTAAGTTAAGGACAGGAAGATTCGGAGGCGTATAATCAAAATCGGGAAAAATGATAGGCAGGGTTTTGGTAACTTCTGGATGCCCTTCTTGGCCTTCATAGTTTAACTTTCCGGTTTACTTTTAGGCAAAATCAATATCCATATGTTGGAATTATCCAGTCAGTTTATTATTGGTCTCCTTACAGTGACGTAGATCTGTTCGCAGGAAGTAGGTTTTGATGATGCAGTAACTGAACTTCGTAACGACAGTTTCTTTCTATTAATATTTCCTTGCTGGCATAGGTAAATTGACGTCGTCATGTATTCGCTGGGACTTCTTTGGTATATGTAGTGTAATTGATTTTTAATTAAATATTTATTACGCGGTATAACATATCATGAAGAGACTCTGATGTTTAATAGGGACAGAATAGAAATGAAAATATTTAAAATCATTTGGATTTATAACTGAAATATGCAATAAATTAGTTAATCTATTATTTAGAATTAAGCTATCGAGAGTAATCAATTTTTCAAAACAGTTTCCAAGCTAATATGCAACCAAAAATTTTTCGATTTGTTTAAGTCGTTTGGCTTAATAATACTATTTAGTTTTCAACATCTTGCAATATCAAATCAATTATTTCGTAAACATTTATAATTTCGTTAACAATATATTTAATAAAGTACACATTTTATCGATATATTGTTGTTTGAACAATATGACTAACCCGATTTAATTTTCTTTCGATATTTTTCATTTTGATTTATTTGTTGAATAATAGAGTTAAATTTGAGCTTTGATTTCTAATATTCCTTTCTAACTTATGACGATTTAATTCAAGATTTCGTATTAGTTACTCATAACATTCACCATCTGATGCGTCCAAATTACCGGTTATTGACTTAAACACAGAACCTAAAATATTTACTAATCCACGCTTAGTTCTGTGGGCATCGGAAATAATTTCATTAATTCTATGTTCTACTCTATCCCTAATTAATTTAAAAAATTTTAAATAGCCCGATGCTTTGGCATAATAGTCATGTTAGTTAGTTATGTTATTAGATCGCAACCTTAATTTATTAATTTCAATTAGTGTCGCATTTAGACCGTAGTGATATATGAGGGGGTAGCGTGCGGGAAGCGTCACTTTCTCACGTCGGTTTCGTTTCCCACGGATACGAGTCAAATAAACTCGTAAGTCAAATGCCATTTCGCACTTGTCGTAGTGGTGGTTTCAAATTGTTCATATGGATTTTAGCTTAAAATTGCGTTTTTACAGTTTTGCGTGCTTTATTTACCACATCTGTCTACGTAGGTTTTAAAAATTTATCAGGGAGTTTTTGTCCAACATGCTTTTTAACATATGTTTCCAAGTTAGGTTGGAATAGGTCAAGTCCATGTCTGCTTTCATTTAATTTGGATGTTATTTTTTGTTTATTTTCTAGTAACCTTTTATTAATATCCGAATATAATAGTTTTGCTTTTTCTTTGAGTGTATTTATATAGTCACTTAAGAAAAGCTGATCTAATTTAATATCAAAAAGATGACTTGGTGATATAAGACCATTTAATATATCGATCGGTTTCAATATAGTAGAGAAATGAATAAAATGATTACAGGCCAATATAGCGTAAATATTTTTTTTTCAACAGGTGTTTGTTTGTTTAATAGTCCAATGTGCTGCGTTAAAGTGGAATCGAGTCTTTCAATCATTCCGTCAGATGATTGGGCGAGCAAAAATGAGTTTTAATTTTGTGTAAATTTTAAAGTTCTCTTACAAAAGTATTATTAACTTGTTATGGTATAGTATGATGAGAGAAAAATGGAAGTAATTTATCAACAATTTCGGTCGCAGATATGGAATTTCGTGCGTATGACTGTGCATATTTCGAAAAACTATCGATTATGGTCAGAAATTTGGTTTGTTCAAGATTATATCTAAGTGAATAATCTCGATCCTGTAGAGGTAACACTAATGGACTGGACGACGTTCGTATTTGCTTTTCTGACAGATTTAGCAATTATTAATGTAAGCCTGTATAGAATTTTTCTGGCTAGGTCAATAATGTTTTTCTTAATTTTTCAAAGAACCTTCTACAGGCTACCGTAATACTTTTTAAAAAAACTTCTGGATTCCTCCTGCGTCGGTTTTTGTTGAGTCGAAAAAATGTTTTAGTCAAGCTCTCAAGAAGTCAACAGGATGATTGGCGAAACGTCAGCAATTTCGACTCAGCAAAAACCGACGCAGGAGAAATCCAGAAGTTTTGTAAAAAGTAATATTTTTCCTTAATTTTTGCTAAAGTTTCGTCAATACCAATCGGTCACATCAATTAATTTCTTAAGACTTGGTTTAAATTCTAAAGACGACCATTTAAATGTTTTCCTTATTACTTCAAAGAAAGGTTCATATAATTCTGGTTTTTCAAAATAAATTATATTCGGATATTATTCGGATTAGCGATATCGTAAAAATCATCGATTAACAATTGACATGTTGCTAAGTAATTGGGTTACCGTCAAAATTTGGTACGCAATTTAAATATTCTGGTGTAAAATGAGCTATTTTATTGTTGTTAGTTGGATTTGTAGATAATGTTTTTGGATTTGTTGAAGTTGAAGATCTACTTAAACACGAATTGCCTACCTAATTCGCAAGTTATGTCGTCGACACTTGTCATTAAATTATTAATGACACTTACATTAAGATCAATAGGTCAACTCTGGTCATGCTTCTTTATAAGGATTCGACTTCTGGAGACGATTTGGTTAATGTTAAATGTGTGCGTTGATTGACTAGGTGATTACAGTCCACAGATCTTCGATAGATTGGAAGATTTTTGATATTCGGAAAAACTCCACACTGCTTCGAATAGATTCACTAGTGTTACAACAGTTCTTTTTTTCCCGGTTAATTCGATTGAAACGATACAAATCGAACACGTTTGATACTTACTTATAGAGTCGCGAAAATCCGTTCCGACTGCGCCAATTAACATGGTTGCCGATTTAAAAAAAAACTTATTTTCGAATTACAAGCTTACCAGATTACATGATATTTGCACACTCAGCAGGTACTCACGGCGTATGGTAACATAACTCGCAGCCTACTACGAATCCATAAACATGGTCGGTTTTCGATATTTTGCTTCGCGACTGATGTAACAGCTTCTGATTTCATCTTTACTAATATTCAGCTGAGATAACTCCAAGGATCATGGGTGGATTTGCTAGATTTACCGTAGATCGTATCAGGATGCGAGAATTTAAACTGACATAAATTTCAGTTGAGCATCTTAAAAAATGTGAACTATCAACCTGTATGACTGGGCAAGACTTCAAATCTGTATTTATTTTGATAGTCAAAATATGAAAAATCTTAAAATTGATCAAAAGTTACTTAGCAAATTAGGTAGATGCCCTTTTAAAATTATAGATATATTATATCGTTCATCGTATTTGAATTTGAACTTTAAAAAGTTCTCATAAACTTTTAATATAACGGTCAACACCGTAGCACTCAATAAATGTAGAATAAATCCCCAAGATTCTTAAAATAAAAAATATTACGTAAATTAATGATCCATAAAACATCGGTATACGAATGTTTAGAATATTTTAGTCTCCTTAATGCTGTTTAGAAGACATTGGAGACTGTTTCAAGGTTGCTAAATATTTTTCCAAAACAAAAAAATCCAATGCCACACATGATTGGTTTAGTAGAACAAGTTTCAAAACGATCGTAGTAACTTTAAATAAAAACGCAATCAATTTTTTTGTAATATTGATTCAGTTTTAAAAAAATAAGTAATTTGTTTAACGACTATGTTGTTTTTATCGTAAAAATGTTTTTGTTTATATTATCGATACACATTGATCACCTAATATTTTTCTGGAAATTCCGATATTAGCAAATTATGGTCGGTAGCTTCAAATCTTTATGTCGTTCATTAAACTATTTGTTTCGTTTAAATGTACTTAAAAAGTTTATTAATAAATATTTTTGCATTTGGTTTACCAAACAGCTTTTGAATGTAATTGATCCTGTGAACGGTGTACAGGGTGAAACGTTTATTATAAGATGATTCCTTATTTCAGAGTTTGCAAAAAATATTTAAAAAAAAGATAAAGATTGTTTGGATTTGCCTATACTCTTAAAATATTATAATGCTATGTATACATCGTATTTCCGCGAAAAAGTAATTTTTTAAATTCCTCGCAACTATCAGACATGTTTTGTATATAATAACGTATACCTAACTAAGTCTTACCTTTTCTGGCATATTTTAAAAAAGTTATAAATCTATTTGCAAAATAGATAAATATAAGACCACTAAATAGAATTCAAAATATTTCAGAAGCAGCAAGACTTAGATATAGGAAATTATACATGAAATAAGTGTAGAAATTTTCGAATAATTCAAAAATTATTTAACATACAGGCTGGTCCATTTAAAACAAGAAAGTTTTTAATTGCCTAGAAACACCCTGTTCATATAATAATAATTTTTTAAAAGTATAAATGAATCCTGTAGATTATTTTTGATAATATGAAAAATATTAGCAGCGATTATTTTCTAATAATTTTTTCAAAGATTTGTTTTCAGACTAAGTTAATTCTTAACGGCGTCGTATAAATTTAAACGGAAATAAATGATCTCAAAGCACTTAAGCGAATGCAGCAATTTCTTTTTTCAAGTGGAATAATTAGATCTTCATTTCAAAGCGTAAATATTTTGAAATATGATCGAAACGCTTCCACTCTTAAAAGGTATTTATCTAATTTTAATTAAAGATGCCGCTGGAAATAAATGGATCTGCAGTATTTTTTAGTTCAAACACTATACGGCGTGAAATGCTCTAGGCAAAAAACCTTTATGGATTGTATGATCAAAATGAGTGTGTGGTACCAAAAACCATTACTCCATTTTATCAAAAATCGAACCTAACTAACCAAATAGCGAAGTAGTATATTCCATTTACGTATTGTAAGTTACGTAGAAGAATTTCACAATAAATGGTATTTTATATCCTAATTGTAATAAGCTATTTATCTTATGCATGGTGTCCACACTTTAATGTAATAAGACACGAATTATATTAAATGTGGGATGTAGGTATCATTAATTTTACATTTTAATTACCGACCGAATGGTATTAGGATATCCTATAGGCATTCACTTAGCCTAATGGACATTTAGAAGTATCATATAATCTATTTAACCCCTCAGTGAGCAAAACAAAAGCAAAATCTATTTGATCCCAATACTTTCCTTGTATGTATTTGAGTATATGAGCATTAGGATTGTGAAGTCAATAAACAATTTTGGTTACATTCTGAAAGGATAAAAAACATCCTCGTTTTAAAACAAACTAACCAACCAACAAACAAACAAAACAACTAAACAAAACTAATCAACCAAATTAAATTTTATATTTTTAAAAAAAGTTTTGATACTTTCATACCTAACATTTTTGAAAACTTGGTATTTAAAAATATGATTTTTCATTTCAGTGACTCCTCTAGCAGGATGTCAAGAATGTACCAAAGAAGAAATACACTATTGTTTGGGTTCGGACCTTATCAGCGACCACTGCTGTTGTGATAAACGTTACCATGGTAAGTACTGACTTCATATCGACCCATTTCTCATGACATTTTCCGATTATGTTAAACTGGTGCTTAAACGGAAATCCATTTCGGGAAAGGGCACATTTTCAGACCCCGAAAGGTTAGTTTATAAAAAAATAAAACAATATTATTTAACTATTGCAAACGAAAATTAAAGGATTGATAAATGCTGCAAAAACATATTCTTGGATGTGTTATTAACGCGTTTAAATTGAAATAAAATTCTGAGTGCAAAGGTTTTTGTTTTTATACAAAATCGTCATATCTGCTCGTGTCGTTATATTAACTGCATAAACGACAATGAGACAAACGTTTAATTGGTTTTAATAGTTAATTAAGGTTAATAACTATTCCGAATTCTCGAGTAGCAACTAGAGAAATCAGCCTGTTAATACCTATGTGTATTTATACCGATATAAATTGTAATTTTGCAAGTACCGATCGCCTTTCTATCGCATTTAATGAAAGGAGGAATGCCGATGATGTTTGGAATTGTTAATGACTCTAACAGTGTTTGATTGCTTTATTGATTACATGTATTTGTGTTATCACATTCCAATTTTATTACACTTTTTCGTCTGAATAGACTTTTCAAAACAAACAAATTTCAAATTTCAATTAATCAGGAGCTACGTCAATTTCTCAGGAATGCTTTACCAAACTTCGGAAAATTTTTAAAATATCAGAATTGAATTATTGTATATTTTTGACATTTTCACCACAGATTTTATCATGATAAAATACGTTCTATTATCAAAAAATGGGAAGGTATCAATTATTGGACTGACTGCAGATTTCTAGTTATTTAATTATTGATTTATAACTATCACGAAATTAATAACTAAACCTAATGATGAACTATTTGTTGATAATGCGTGAATTTAAAGACACGCGCTGAGGTACAAAGTTCAGAAGTTTAGATTTCACCAGCTTTGGCAGAATACGAATGATTAAACAGTATTTCTTGCTTAATATTGCAAATTCATATCAACAATTGTTTTCAGAGGTACTGCCTTTCATACCACATACTTGTTACTTCGGGACTCAATTGTGCAGTCCAGTACAGTCAGATTGTGCTAAATACACCCGAGTAAGAACTTGCTGCTGTGATAGATATTTACTTCAAAAATGTAAGTTTTTGTTTTAGTATTGTATTAGTATTTATCTACGTTTTCTAATGTTTTTTTAGTTGCAGATATTCTGTTTGCGTCCGTGATTGATTGTATAATATTATTGTTCTAGGGAAGGAAAAACTAAGTGCGAGCAGTAACCGAAGTAAAGTACCAGCTTTTTTATGCTTCTTAGTTTTGGTCGTACAAATCTTTATACTGTGACTCACAATGAAATACGTATTCAATATAATTGTGTGTAGAAATGTATGCATTGTTTCTAAAAAGGAACACATTTAATTATGTAGGTACAGGCAGTACTTTATTTATTTTTGCTAATTTTATATTTGCACCAGTATTATTAAACTTGTTGATTTTGTTTAAAATAAATGACAATAATATCACAAAGATTTTTATTTCCAAAATAAAAGCATAACACTCAAAGACTAGATTCAATTCAAATGGAACTTATTGTATAAAGTGAGATCAGCTTAAACCAAACCTCAATTGAAGAAAAGCTGTGAAAAATTCCATTCCAAATTTATGGCTGTTAAGATGGTGAATCTTAAAAGCTACAAGCTACGAAGCATGATAAAGCTGCAAGAATTGCGTATTTCGTGAAAAATTATTGTTCCTTCTACTCATGTTCACAAGAAAAGACTAGGAGTGGATGCTGCACAACAGTAAATACGTGATTTCATCCAATATTTATTTTAACAACAACAGTGCATCATATATTCAAAGTCAATACAAAGTTTGTGAGTATTCAGCGGGCATACTATCGAGTTTGAACATCCTACTGGTAAAACGTCTGAAAACAAAACTGATAGTAGAATCAAGAAAATTCTATTTTTCGCAACATAGTAAGGATACAAGTATTTTTACCTCTAAGTCTTGCACATCCGCAGCAGTAGCCAAAAATGATACTCCTGTCATCGTTGCAATAACGATTGGAACATCCCGTGCACGAAGGACCCAACCCAATCATCTTTTCGAAATCTGAATTTAAAATTTAGGTAGTTCACCCAAACCGTTTATTAAAGTTTAACTAGACACAAAAGCTTATTATAGTTCGTTAGTTAGCCACAACTTTGACATCTTGGAGTTAAAAATGGAAACTTTAATTACAGTTATTGCAATAAATTAAAATTCTCGACAAAATAAAAGCAAATTATACAATTTATTATACAACAAATGATGAAGCTGAATGGTAATGTTTTATATTATGTATAATTTCTTCAAATTCCTCGGAATTCCTATCACATTCCGTCATTATACAGAATAACCTCTCAATGGCGGACACATGATATTTATATGTGGGAAAAACCCGTCAAAACATTAAAATTAAAAAAGGTAAGTAAAAGCACAAACTAAATGGATGTCGAAGTAATCAACAATGCTTGAATTCTCGACTGCTTCTAATCCACATATCATTATATATTTGTTTCGCATTTTTGAAAACTAATTTATTAAAAACTGCATCATCAAAACCATAATAGATCGGAAAATTTATTTTTTGTGCTTATCCGTTTTACGGAGGAGTCCGAAAAGAATTTTACGGTACGAACTTTGCTCTGTAGCAGTTTTTTATATTAAGAAAATTGAGAATTTTTCAAAGAAACTTCCACAGGCTACTGTAATACTCTTTATAAAACTTCTGGATTCCTCCAGCGTCGGTTTTTGTTGACTCGAACTAGCTAATGTTTCGCCAATCACCTTGTTGGCTTCTTCAGAGCTTGACTGAAACTGGCTCGCATTTTACTCTGTACCTGCTGTTATATTGTTTTATGGGCCGGAGCTAAATCAGGGGTATAAACACCGTCTCGGATGACTGATTACCATATTGGTGACAGGTAAAAACCTGAGTCGCGGTTAAGATTGTTACGTAAACAATTCTTCTACCAACGAAAAATAATAGAGTCTATAGAAATCTATAAACAACCTAACAATCTTAACCGCGACTCAGGTCTTTACCTGTTACCAATATGGGAATCAGTCATCCGATACGGTGTTTATGCCAGTCATTTAGCTCCGCCCCCATCAACCAATATAAAATCAGGTACAGAGTAAAATGCGAGCCAGTTTCAGTCAAGCTCTGAAGAAGGCAACAGAATGATTGCCGAAATGTTAGCTAGCTCGACACAACAAAAACCGACGCAGGAGGAATCCTGAAGTTTTATAAAAAGTAAGAAATTTGCAGTCACAAAACAAAATCTGTTTGCGCGTTCTGTTGCATTTTTTTGTTTAATATTTTTATTAAATATTGTAACTCGTCCAACTCCACTTCACTTAGGTAAATATGTATTTTACACATATATTTTTACAACACATATTCTTCATATACATGAAAGGGAATAGTTTAAAAATTCTTAAACTGATGAAATTACCCTCGCTTACCTTCCACGTAACCTTACTTACCCCTCGACATTTGAAGAAACCCTGAACACACTGTCGTATAGAAAAGTAGTAAACATGAAAGTGTAATTTTAGTTTTGCACATCTTTAAAAAGTTTTGTTTTACAATGCAGTTTTCAATTTAGCAAAACGCATACTTAACATGGGCTCGATTACAATGGCGCCGTTGGCAGTTTGATCGCAGTCTCATGCGCTATTTCAGGTGAAAACATTTCAACAAGTAACTCTTTTTTGTTGAATTTATTGGGGACAACGCATAATGGTCGTCCTTCCGATTTGCAATTACATTCTGTTACATAAAGTGTATCTGCTATACGCGTCTGATTTGTACAGGGTGTTCGCTTGAATTTTCACGAACAAATTTTATTAGTTTATAAATTGCCAGTCATTGCGATGTGTTTTTTATAGAAAAAAATTGATAAAATCTTGAATTCAATCTTAATAACCGTTATTCGATTAAATTTCTGTCCCGAAGAATATACTGGAAGACATAGTCGTCGAAACTTGTTTATTTTAGTGCAGTGAAGTATACGATTAATGCCGAAATTCCACGGAATATTTAAAAATTTCATTTCATTTTAAAAAAGCCTTTATTAATAGATTACTGTATAAATTATACAAGATAGAAGAACTTAGCAATTATACTTGAAAAGCCGCGAGTAACAAAGATTTAATAATATCATAAGAAATAGATGTAGGTCCTTAAACTTTTGTTTGCATAAAATGATTCAAAAGTGCAGGTTAGTGGCTGAAATGTAGCGTAATGCGCATATCTACGAAAATATTATACCCTCTAAAGGCGTATCAATTTTTTCCGTGCTAGAGCCACTGTATTTTATCTCTAGCTCAATGAAATTGTTAATACCGGAGTCCACGACCTGCAACGATTTTTTAAAATGCGGTTTTTCTGTTAATTTTTTTCCTTTATGTAACGAAGTTTTTCTTTCCTTTTTTAAGATTAAAGTCCAATTTTAAATTATGTTAAATTGGCTAGAATAACTTCAGTAAGTTAGATTTTGACGTTTTTTGGCTGTTTACTTTTCCAGCATACCTAAAGTAAACACAGATAAAGAGAGCACAAAAAATATATACAGTGTGTCCCAGCTTAAATTGCTATCATAAAATTTATTTTATATTATTTTTGAGTTAAATTTTAATTTTTTGGGGTTTAGCGTTGCCTAGTTAGTTTAACACTGATTGCTTAAACGGCAAACAAAAGGATATTAAAAAAAGTTAACAATCGTCGACCATACTTATTACTAACAGGTAGGTAAAAAAAATATTTATATCAAATTTGAAAATCCATGGAAAATTTGTCCTTGCTATAGGTAATTTCTACATATCTGTTAGAAAAGAGCTAATACTGCCAAAAAAATTGAAGTGATATTAATTGGTTGTGGATTTTGAGATTTGTCGTGTGGAATTAGATTCCAATTTTACACTACTTTTACCCCACTGTACACCAGAGAAAATAAAAGCAATTTAAATACATTTTTATAAAAAATATTCCTTATTCCTTCACTTAGTTGTTTATGTTCACTCTTAGTCACTTTTCCAACTTTTTCAAATATCTTATCGAAAGAGATAAAAAATTATGAAAATTCGTATTTCGGCGTTTCAGGGTGCAAACGTCTACAGAGTTGTCACAATGTTGAAAAAGGCGACACAATTTTCGTGAAAAGTAAAACTTTTGCCAAATTTGAAGTACACAAAAATTCCAAAAAATGTGGATTGGCGATAAGAAAAATGAATGTCATGTGTTTTCAAAATAACAAAAATTTGCTGTAACCTTCCGCAATGAAAAACCCTCCGCAAATGTTTAAACCTTTTTTTTATACCATTTTTAGGTTCGATAAAGGAACTGTATTCAAAGTTTCAGATTTATTTATCTTTTTTTATTTTCAAATTGCTTTTTTCTCAATGTTTTCATCCTTATGATTTTAAAAACGTATCTTCGTAGTCGTAATTACTTTTACATCATTAAGTCTAATGTCGTTTGACCTTTTTTTGTATGAATTCTAAAAATATATTATAGAATGTGGCAATATATGCTTTAAGGAGCTTTTACCTTAAACATAATTAAGCGATTGCTACGCCAATGCCGAAATAAAACGAAAAAGAAGTTACAATAAAAGCCGGCGTTCGATATTCGAAAATACAGTTAGATGATATGCAAATTCTTCGAGGAAGGATTGAAACGGCGTTTCTCATTTCATCTTAGATCATTGACAACATACACACACATCAAAAATTTCAAAATGTTTAAGAATTTTATTTTTTGTTTTTGTTCCTTAGTGGTTTTTGGTGGCTTGGTGGTTACAGTGGTTGAATCTACAGGCAAGTATAAGTTCATTCAACTATTTGGATAGCGTAGAGTATTTTTCGTTGTTTTGCTTCGTTATCGTTTTGTACGCTATGATCCTATGTAATGTCGCCCCTGGACTTTTGCGAAATATATAAGATAGAAATATGACATTTTCACAGCAGCAATTATCTACTAATATAGGCTGCTCGAAACATAAAAATAAAATTCAAAAGGTTTGTTTTAATATTGCATATTACATTTTTTATATTTGCGATTTTATATGTTATAAATTTAACGGGCTCAAAATCGTATTCATTTTCAAAATGTTTCTTTCGATCTAATAAAATGCGATTTTTTAAAAGTAATTTGTTTTATTAGCTAAAATCAAGTTAAGAAATTGCTTTTTGCTAAATTACTTAAATTCCAATACCTACATTATATTATTATTATCAACAGAGTATTCAAAATTTTGCAAAACAGTAAATAAGTAAAAAAATAAGGAAAATCTAAGATTAGCAGATGCGATTTTATAAAAATAAGATATTACTTAGGAGGATTTGCTTCTGTGCATCGAGAAGTTTTCAAATTCTGATTTGAAATCGAATGGAGAAAAAGGTGATATATGCTTCGCATATATCCGTTGGCCTGTTGTATAGTTTTTATCGTGGTCCTACGAGAAAAAATGTAGGGTGTGTCATTTAAAATTCAAAAGTCACCGTCATTTCCGCTCAAACCGCAAGTGCACACACTGACTTCATATTATTAAAAAATCGCACATTTTGTATATATTAGGCTACCCAAATTTCATATCGCTATGTCGAGCCGTTTAAAACTCATACACATTTTTTTGTCACGCGGTATATAGTTCCTATATTAACGTTATTCACATATATGGTATGATCAACGAAAGTGTGAGTTAATCCTAGTGACAACGAAAATTATTTTAATTAAGCAATTACGCCGGTGTGTACCAACTTTTCTAAACACTCTGTGAACACATGTAGCAACGTTAAGACCCTTAGTTACTGATTATATTTTTATATGTTTTCAGCACTTTACTCCAATTCAATCGCCTCGCAGTTCAACCAACAACCAAATTTTAATTCCCTATCTACACCATACAGCAACAATTTGCTAAAAAGAAGATGTCCGATTTGCGACTCTTCCGTCTTTAGTTATTGCAGTGATAAACTATTTCACGATTCTTGCTGCTGTCACGATCCAAACAATCCGTACGGTAATAATTATAAGTGGTCGTCCAAATTAATAGATAGTTATAACTATTATTTTCAGACCGCTTACCGTTCCAATGCCAGTTTGCAGACTGCAGTTTCTTGCATGCGAACTCTTGCCACGAACACCAGTTGATAACCGCCTGCTGCTGTACGAAATTTATGTTTTACCGAAAATAACGCTGATTAAGTATATATCTACGTACTTTATAAGAATGTTTGCAGTTCTCGTATTGGGTAATTTTTAATTTTTAGTTATTTATTTTATAGATTTAAGTAACGAAATTTTTCATTAAATAATTACTAAATCAACGTGTAACATTATTTGTCAGTGCTTTTTTCTGCTCCCATCTGTAAAATGCCTAATTACACACCGATCTAGCGAGCGGGAAGCGTCGTTTTATCACGTCAGTTTCGTTTCCCACGGATCCGAGCCACTTCGGACATTTCCAGGATTTTACCGCACGGGTTTGGGAGCAATCGGATGTTTTCGGAGGTATTTCCCACGCATTGAATTGTCAATTCTGAAGATCATGTCAGTGAACGTATTCATGTTGTTTGGCGAAAATGTGCCCACGAACTAATGGTCGTCGAAAAAGTACAGTATGCGAGACGTTTGGTAAACTTTTTTAAGTCAGTCGTTTATTAAACACTCGTTCCGCTTGTGTCAAATAAACGCGTGAGTCAAATGCCGTTTACCGCACTTGTTGCATAATAGTATATTAAAATCAAAATTCAAAGCGTGGGAAATATCTCCGAAAACATCCGATTGCTCCCAAACCCGTGTGGTAAAATCCCGGAAATATCCGAAGTGGCTCGAATTCGTGGGAAACGAAACTGACGTGACACTTCCCGCACGCTACATCGGTGCGTAATTAGGTATTTTACAGATGTACTATTTTCTACTCTCTACTGTCATTTTGCTACGTCTGTTTCATTTCTCACAGATCAGAGCCACTTCGGACATTTCCGGGATATTACCGCACGGGTTTGAGAACAATCGGATGTTCTCGGAGATATTACCGCACAGCTTGAATGTTAACAGTTGTAAATTCTGACAGTCATGTCAGTGAATTTATTTGTGTTGTTTTGCAAAAATGTATCCAAAAACTAACGGTTGTAGAAAAAGTATGGTATGCAACACGTTTGGTAAACTTTTTGTCATTCATTTATTGAACACTCGCTCCGCTCGTGACAAATAAACTCGTGGCTGAAAGGCGGTTTATTGCACTTGTTGCATAATAAACTAATGCCTAATAACATAAAAATTAGCTTAAAGCTTATTTCTAACGAGTTATTCATATCCATCCATATAGCTAGTAGACTATATTTCACACATAGAACCCATAACATTTAACTAGATCTAGACATATTTTGAGAAAATACTGCCGCAAACAAGTCGCATCCAAACGTACTGTCATCGGCCAAGTTGGTTTTTGAATGAGGCATTCATTGGTTAAAAACGAGGTTTTTATATCTCGCGCATGCGTATGCTGAACGGACCTGCTCGTTTTTTTTATAGTTCAAGTTCATGTGTTATCAGCATTAGGCGGGGCCTGTTTATCTCTAGTAGCTATATAGTTCCACCAATGCTATTAATACAGGCACTTGTGCTTGTCATTGTAAGGATATTCTCTTCGTTTTCGATTTGAAACACAATTTATAAACAGTACATTCTATATTGGGTAAATGGTTATTGTAGACATGCCTATGGGAGACCACAGAAGTTCTGCTGAACTGACATTTTTTTCTATCATCAATGCCGTGAGTCCTCCATTGTGTAATTTGAAGTGTGCAGGTTATGTTTAACAAATAACAGAAAGCGTTTATAAATTTTATAAAATAACAAAAAAGCAAAATGTCTTCAAAGGAAAATAAACGTGATTTTAAAACTCCTTCTGGGAGCAAGTATGAACAATCTGCGCGTCACAGAGACAAGTCAAAACAATATTTAGATAGGAATGAAAGAAACCATAAATCTGAAGATACAGCCAACAAACCAAGGGAAAGAAAATCTGCGGACATGTTAACATCAAAAACAGGAGGTGCCTACATTCCTCCAGCTAAGTTACGAATGATGCAAGCCGAAATAACTGACAAATCATCAGTAGCATTTCAAAGAATTGCTTGGGAAGCGCTCAAGAAGTCAATTCATGGATATATTAATAAAGTAAATACTTCTAATATTGGAATTATAGCTAGGGAGTTGTTGCATGAAAATATTATTAGAGGAAGAGGATTGCTTTGTAAATCAATCATACAAGCACAAGCAGCTTCCCCAACATTTACCAATGTTTATGCTGCATTGGTGGCAGTTATTAATTCTAAATTTCCAAATGTAGGAGAGCTTTTGTTAAAAAGATTGGTTTTGCAATTTAAGAGAGGCTTTAAGCAAAACAATAAAACCATATGCATATCTGCTTCTATTTTTGTTGCACATTTGGTCAATCAGTCTGTTGCTCATGAAATTTTGGCTTTAGAAATACTAACATTACTTATTGAAACACCAACAGATGATTCTGTTGAAGTTGCTATAGCATTTTTGAAAGAGTGTGGACAAAAGTTATCAGAAGTGTCTAGCAGAGGAATTAATGCAATTTTTGAAATGTTAAGAAATATTCTTCATGAGGGTAAATTGGAAAAAAGGATTCAATACATGATTGAAGTAATGTTTCAAATAAGAAAAGATGGGTTTAAGGATCATGCAGCAATAATCGAAGAATTGGATATTGTTGAAGAAGATGATCAGTTTACGCATTTGATTAAACTTGATGATGCAGTACAGTCAGATGCAGAAGAAATTTTAAATGTATTTAAATTTGATGACAGTTATGAACAAAATGAAAGTAAATATAAGTTGCTTAGTAAGGAGATTTTACAGAGTGATAGTAGCGCCTCTTCCGCTGAGTCTGACGACTCGGAGGAGTCTGATGATGAAAGTGATAAAGATGAAGAAGTGAAAGAACAAAGTGGAATTATTGACAATACTGAAACTAATTTAATAGTTTTGCGAAGAACTATTTACTTAACAATTCAGTCAAGTTTAGATTTTGAAGAATGTGCTCACAAACTTTTAAAAATGGAGTTAAAACCGGGGCAAGAAATTGAATTGTGTCATATGTTTTTGGATTGTTGTGCAGAACAGCGAACATATGAAAAATTCTATGGGTTGCTTGCACAAAGGTTTTGTCAAATAAATAAAACCTATATAGAACCATTTCAGCAAATTTTTAAAGATACTTACTCTACAACCCATAGACTGGATGCTAACAGGCTAAGGAATGTAAGCAAATTTTTTGCACATCTCCTATTTACAGATGCCATAGGCTGGGAAGTCTTAGAAATAATGAAAATGAATGAAGAAGATACAAATAGTTCAAGTAGAATTTTTATCAAAATATTATTCCAGGAACTTGCTGAATATATGGGTCTTGGAAAGCTAAATGCGCGTCTGAAAGATCCTACAATGCAGCAGCAATTTGCTGGTTTGTTTCCTAGGGATAATCCCAAAAATACAAGGTTTTCAATAAATTTTTTCACTTCTATTGGATTAGGAGGATTAACTGATGAATTGAGAGAACATTTAAAAAATATTCCTAAAACTGTTCCTACCATGAAGAAATCTGATAGTAGTAGCAGTTCATCTGAGTCATCAAGCGAGGATTCATCATCAGAATCATCCAGTTCCTCCAGTTCAGGAATAGAAAGGCATCAAAAAAAGAAAAAAAAGTTTAGACAGGAAATACTTAATGACAAGAAATATTCTAAAGAAAAGGAGCATCACAACAGAGATGACCAGAATGGTAAGAAAAAGTATATTGATGACCACTCTAGAAACAAGAGAAAAAGACATTCAGTTGAATCTGAACATCAACAGACTAAAAAATATTCAAAGGATAAAAAAGATTATGAATGGGTAAAAAGTAGACATGAAGATAACGTATCCCAACTTAAAAATACAAAAAAAGTATTTGAAAGATCAAAATCACAAGAAAAGATCATAAAGAAGAACTTGAAGAAAAAACGATAAATAAGCTGTAGGATTTGTATTATAGTAAATAAGTAATTGTGTATTTTTTGTTAAATAAATATTTTATATAACTGTTGGATGTTTCTTGCTTTTTTTACATTAGGACAATATCTTGCAACGGTAATCTTAAGATCTTTTAGGCGTTAACATAACAGAAAATAAACAAACCATAATTAAACATAGTTTATTCGAACTTTTTCTTGCAAAACAATTCTAACATACTAAATGAGTTGAGATTTTTCAACCTCCTTGACTTTTTAAAAAGTATATTTGATTTTAATATATTTATACAGGGATTTTACATTTTTAAATGTAAAACCAGTTTTTTCTAAAAAAAATCTTGTTCCAAAAATAAAATAAAAAATTGAAGCTAATTGCAAACATTTGCGGTAAAGCAATCTATATTTTATTTTACTTTTTCCTCAGTTATTTCAAAAATGCGTATGTTCAATACGTATGTAATTGAATCATTTGACGGAGATCCGTGTTGCGTTATGGAAGTTTTATCGTATACATTTAGAAACTATATCTAACGTGCAAAATTCATTGTGCCAATTCTACAAAGTGACAAAATCTAATTACTATCTTTTGCGTTTGGTGTTTACACCAAGCGTAGTAAATTTGCAGGCGAAATTTGAAATCTACGTTAAATAGGTATTACAAATTAGCATTTTATTAATAAAAATAAAAATATATTGTAATTAAATCATTCTAATACGGAAAAAAAATTACAATTTACGCGCAGCTTCAAGTGATATGGTGTGCCCATATATTTACTACACATATAGTGCGTCGCTCAAAACTCTAGAGAAGGGAAATTCGCGCATGTGCGAGTCATTTCAAAATTTGTTTTTCACCAATAACACCTGTTATTTAAAATCTCACTTTGAATCAACAAGTAATCCATTAAAATTTCAAAGAAAAGTTGAAGTAAGCGAGTGAAGATCGCTGTTTTAAAAGAAACAGGTGCAAGGTGCAAATTGGTGTGTGAAATTTAGGGGTATGAACGGACGATTCTTTATGAAAATGCCATTGGGGTTTGAGATGCATCAATTTTAGGGTATTTACGGCCCCAATATCATCTAATAACTATATGGGTGCTCTTTCTTACATTTTGAATTTTAAAAACTTTTAATTGGTCTCTAATATAAGTTCAAAACTATGTAGGATAGTGTCTTAACCATTAAATGTATTCACAGCGCTCATAATTCAAAAACCTTACTTATTTCTCTCTTTTGATTGTGGCCCACCCCATATCTTTTCGGAAATATACAACTTTTTAAAGCAATTTGCGCATATACATTCACATTGAAAAAACATTTTGTGTTTTGAAGACACCATAAATTTTGGTACGAAAGGTACAATAAATAGTTTGAAAGCATTTTTTCTACTAATCCAATGCAATTTTATGCAACTGACAATATGTACAGCTATTACTAGGAAAGGCAGTAGTGATTGTGCATTTGTTATGCAAAATACTAAACATACGCAAAACAAAAAGTGGTGTTAACTATAATAAATTGAAAACCACTATAGATTAGATTTGTAAATTTCATAAAACGTCTGCAGAAATTCATATTTATTATTTTCCAACATTTTCGTTCAGTAGCTTACATAATGTTATTGACAAGGTTCATTGGTATCACAGCAACAATATTAACTTAAAAGCATCTAAAAAACAGATTCTTCTGTTTTAAATATACATACTCGAAAATCACTAAACATTCAATTCATGAACAGCAAATTTATTTTTTATGAGAGGAAAGAAAGTTTATTATTTTGACATCTTATTAATGACATTTTCTAAAAATATCACAAGCACATCACAAAACATTGACTAAAACCGGAATGAAATTCTGGAGGTAGGTTCGGCTTGTTTACTGCGTGTACTTCGTCACTCCGTATACACTCTATTCGTTCGGGTTTTGCTTTTTGACGTAGAGTGACTCCGTTTGTGTTCGGTTATACAGGGGTTTTACATACACTGCAGGATTTTAAGAGCAAGCATGCGCTAAAGTGTGAAACTGGCGAATTTGCCTGTTTGTTCTATGACGCTTATTGCTTGTTATAGTAACAACTTAAGATACCAAATATTTGTTAGGTGGTTTCAGTTTCGTTTAGAAATTAATTTTATTTATTAATATAGGGAATTTTTTCAATATTTGTGTTGGATACTAGGTAGTAATAAAAAACTTTAAAGAAGTACATCAGCGACAATTTATGTTTGAAATATATATATTTTTAGATATATCAATCATATCCCGGTTTTTGAAACTGTTTACTATTAAAAAGGGGCACCTGACGTCTGCAGTTTCCACTTTTTTCAATTAGATTGACTTATTCATTATCCTCGTCGTTCAGATTTTTTTTTAACTAAACAGAGACGCAAATATTAAATTATTTTTCAATACTAATAAAAATGAATGATAAAGATAAACACACAAAAAACTAGTTCTGCCCGAAAAGTATTAAAACAATAACAAACTAAAACAGCTGTTTGACAGTTATGTTTGACGTTCTGCTCCAAAATCCAGGGGCGTTCGGATATACAGTTTATTATCTCCAAACTCGCGTGACAAAAAACTATTCTTGCACCGCTCCAGCAGTTTTTATTAGCCGAACCCACCTTGGAGAACTTAGTTACACTTATTGTGTCAATATATACAGTCTGTCTCTGTGATTTTGGGAAAAATAAACAGTTGTGCATACTGCAAAATCTCAAACGCAATATGTCAATTAAATTACTTTGGACAATTAAAAGTTATTATGAAGAATAGTTTCAAACAGTCAAAAATGCAACATTGTTTATTGACTATAAAAATTTTAAGAAATTTTGAAAACAAGTGGGCACATAACATTTTATGACGTTCATCATATATGACAGCGATTTCGGTTTTAGAATATGCACGACTTTTTCCTAAACCAAATAATAGAATAGTTTTCCATATGACCTATATTGTTTGTTTCTAACACGACCATACTAATTCTATCTAAAGTTTCCAGGCCTTGAAAAGTACCTACAGACCAATTAATTAGTGGAAAAAAAATAATAAGTGTTTATAACCACTACAACAAAATTTTTATACAAATACATCTAACAAGAGAAGCTGTGTCTATTCTCAAGACTAACGTTTACATATTAATAAATCGACTCATAGGGACCCTACAAAATACGATTGATTATTGACATACCAATGCTAGGATGACAGCTTCGATTCAGTTTTATGACCATTACTTGTCTGTCCATTTAAAAATGAAAATCCTACAAAAATATTTTTTACTCTTATGCTGTAAAACTTGAAGCGACTTGTCGACAAAATTGCACCTGATGTTTTTGTATGTTCGATAGGTACATACATTTTGTTTTTATTTTTTGATTATTCCTATTGGTTATATTGTTCGGCGCTATTTAATATATATAAAGAAGGACCAAAATTACAAAGAAAACAATAAATGTGAAGCAAATTAAATTTCATCATTTAATTTAATCACTGCTATTATAAATCGATAAATGTATATGATCAGGTATTAGAAAATTTTAGATTTTAAATTCACGACATGCCTGACAAGCTATCTTAGAACGTAGACATGGGTGTTAGGAAGGTACCTAGTTGAAATACGTATGTCAAACAGTACACGAATTATTCGATAATTAATTTATTAATTGCGAAAGTTATAATTGCTATGTGCTATCCACAAGTAGCTACAAGACAGCACAAAAAGTAGTCACTTTGTATAGAATCATAGAATCTTAGCAGCAATTCCTGTTAATCCCAAATTCACTGCTGTTCAAATTGATTTTAAAAGCTATGTTTTAAAGGCACAAATGGATACGGAAACTAGAAAAAATATTCCTGATTCACAATTCCTTTCTTTTAAACTCTTTGGATAACAAAAAAACAAACGGAATTAGGGTATGTCCTAACGTTCCTGCGTTAAAAATAAGAAAATCTTAGATCTTTGTAGTATTATTTTGACCTTTGAAATCACTTTTATTTATAGGCTAGGCAATAAACTACTCAAAAGTTTCTGTATATGGCCTCAGAAAATTTTTTGGTGTTTATGGGGCACACAAAACTGATACTTTTAATTTATGTATTTGTGATCTTTGTTGGGTTAAAATTTATTTAGATATTTGTTATCCTTTTTTGTGATTTATTTAGATATTTTTTATTCATTTCTGTGATTTATGACAGTAAATATATCAGAAAGCCTAAAAAACATTGTTCATTTATAGCTTGATTTTTTTTAATTGCGCATGCCTCAAGGATTGTCCCCTAAAGGTTATCAATGAAACTCATTTCCTGCCATATAAAGTCACCACAAATTTAGTCAATTAAAATATATGTAATGTCTTGTAAATTGTTACTAAACAACAATCAGTTATTTTTTATAAATACCATTTTGCATTGTGATAAATATTTTTAATGGGTGAATATTCATCAAGCGCTATAATTTGTTTTTATCTCTCTCTGCTTATTGCAGTATAAATAATTTCTTATACATTTCTATAAATGCCATAGATGATGAGATAACAAAGTCATAGTGAATTGAACCCTGATGAAAACTTTAAATTAGGAGAACTTAAACCATGAAAATTTTTGTTATAATGTTGCTAGAGCCATTTATATGCGTGTGTAAATGCGGCTTTAGTTATAAATTCAGAATCAGATTTTTTTTTCCATCTGATCCTTAAAACGCATAATGAGGTGAACACCTATTTTATTTCCATTCTTATCAAAAGTTTGATAAGAATAGTTCAATTAAATACGATTACTATTAGAGCAAGATGTTCCAGATGGATTAATTTTTATTTAAAAAAAAAAAAATCTCGGGCGCATCACAACCAAGTTACTCATATACTAAAACTTTATGAACCTGTATTATTGCTAACAGTTTCACTATGTCTTGAAACAGGAAGTGGTTTAGATATACCCAATTTTACTATGCCTGGCAAAGTGCCTTTCAGAACCTGAACCGCCTGATCTAATGTAAAATTTTTTATAACTGTACCATTAACACTTATAAGCCTATCGCCGGGTGTAATTCGGCCATCAATTTCAGCTGGACCATTGGGAACTAAACTTCTGATTACAATAATTGTTGAATGAACATCGAGGGGGTCTTGATAGTCAAGGATTGAAAAGCCAAGCCCTCGGTCAGCTTTTTGCAATTCCAAAAATTCAATATCTTCACTCCACAATGCTACATTAGTCATTTCCAATGAATGTGACTTTGCTTTTTGCAAATTAACTGGTTCCTCTGAAACTGTTAGAAAAATTTATATTATAGATACTTCTATTTAAATATGGGGTCTGTAAATACCTGTAATGGTGCTTGATGTATGAAGACTTGTATCACTTAAGGCTTTGACCAAACGTTGCTCTGGATGTGGTAACAAATTCTTTAAACTGCCCCCCAGGATATTCCTTTGTTCAAATGCTTTTAAATCTTGGGAAGTGTTTATAACTCTGTTATCCATTTCTTTTCTAGAACACACTAGTCTAACTGTAGTGGGTAACTCCCTGAGTAATTTTACAACTTCCACATGGCTGAGACCAAGTAACTTTTGGCCGTTTACTTCCAACAGCTCATCACCAGGACTAAGTTTACCATTTTGACCAACTGGTCCTTCTGGAAGAATGGAACGAATGAAGTGACGTGGACGAAGTTCTACTCCTCCTTCCACGTCGACCGTACCTTCCAAGCTTATACCCAATCCTAGAAAAAAAAAAACATTGACCCACATAAAATCATAAATAAAACAATTTTACCCTTCAACTTAGTTAAATTGGCTACAACAACATTCGCTTCCTCTCCTAAAATCCCTTCCCACTTCTGTTTTATACTACTCTCAAGGTCATCCTGAGGATTTGCTTCAAAATTTTCTTCTATAAATATTTCTTTTGTTTCGGGAAATTGTTCAAAGATGTCACTATTTACAGATTGTACTGATACACCTTCCGCTTCAATTGGCTCCTAACAAAAATACAAGATCTGTTGAACTGAATAAACAAAACGCCATATCGAGGGGCCTTACGCAACCAAAGTACAAAAGCTATTTCACGCAATAAACGATTATTTGACGTGTTCTGTACAAACGGGAATTAAAATTCTGGGGATGATTATGATATTTTTAGGGCTTTTACAAAAATTTGTATAAGAAAATAAATTTAAAATATCACTCTATATGCCAAAAAAAGTTTTCCAGTAATACACGGAGCTTAGTAGCATATAATAAAATACCATACCATAAGTTAGTCAATATAGTAAAATTTGGAAAATTCTAATACATACCTCAACATTTTCAATTGGTATCCAACTTAAAGTAGTAACAGATGGAGAAGATGGATTGAGATCTTTCGGTTCATGACTCGCCAAAACTTCACGCAGCTGTTCAAATTTTGGACCCCTTAAGTACCTCTCAAAAGTCAAATACACAGATTCCCCTGTTTCTTTTAATTTTTTCACAGCTTCATGGTTTGTCAGTTCCAGTAAAGACTGACCATTGACTTCAATGATCCGATCATTTATATTTATTTCACCAGATTTGTAAGCTTCAGATCCTTCAGTTAAGTTTTTGACAAATAATCCATTCAAATCTTCGCGCTCACAAACGTAACCTGCCACTGTTATGCCTAAGCCAAATTCATTCTTTTTCAAAACTACAGAGAATCTTTTAGTCTCAGGAAGAGCATATTCTATATCTACTGGGGTAACAAGAGTCTGACTCGCACTAATTGGTGATTGGCAATCGCCAGGAGAACAGCAGTTTGGAGTATAGTTATTGTTAATGTTTATTTCATTTGCATCAACTCCATTAACCTTATCATGTTTTTCATCTGGTGTATTTTCATCACTATTACAAATCTGATGGTGCAAATTAAAGAAAGTCGAGTATCCATTTTGAAGTAATTGTCGATCAAGTTCTTCTGTATTTGTGAGGATTTTTGTAGGTACTATTGGTGCTGTGCAAGCATATGATTGGATATCTGCTGATGTGGGCTCTATAGGACGAGCAACAACCATTCTAACCTATAAAAAAAATCTCAATTAAAAAATTTCTTTAATAAATATTCAAACAATTGCAAAATATAATGGAGACAATTTTGCACCAGAATATGATTTCGTAAATGTTAAATTCATAATTTTAACAATTTGTTTATATATAGATAAATAGAGTGAATAGAAGCAATTACCTGAGATCCAGCTTGTCTTAATACTGTAGCCACTTGATCAGCAGATAGTCCCCTCAAATTTATATCACCAATTTGTAAAATGTGATCACCACTTTGTAATCTACTATCTTTATCTGCTATTCCACCTGGAAGAATTGATTTTATCACAACTCCTGTACTTCGGCCACCGACTATACCAAAACCAAGACCAGAACCATCATTAACCAAGTCAATCACCTCGACCTGAGACCACTCTGTACTTAAAACCATTATGTTGAGTGATAAGAATCATTTCTTAACATTGGTTTTAAAATCTGGCCAATATTTGAACACAAAAATTTACCCTGGTTAATCGATTGTTTATTAATTCTGTTTTGATTGTGTTTTCCTTACATTCACTGAACATTTTTGTCGAAAATTTTCATAGATCAATGTTATAGGTGTAAAATTTTGATTGTTCGTACACATATTTAGTCCAACCGCAGTCTGTGAACCCAGTTGAATAAAAAACAATCTTACAGAAAAATTTACTTAACCCTCTCTCAGCATGTATAAGCTGTTCGTTGCGTGTTGGAATGATAACTTTCCTGTCCTTTTCTCTTTCGTTTTACATTACGCATGTCTCTTTAAAAACTTATTAGCTTTAAATATAGCAAAATCACGCAACATGAATACGCTATTACAATTTTGTAAATCAATATCACCCAAACATGTCCTTTATTTCCAATATTTAATGTCTACACACTTTTTTGCGCAGATATGGTTTGGACTATTTTTCAAATGTGAAAAATTTCAATATTGGTTCAACGAATATTTAGGTCTTCTACCCTTAAAAAGAGATTCGGGCTACAACCTATGTGTTCATTTCTTTAAAAAAATATAACTAAGATAAAAGCAAGCATTTTACCGGTGACAAATAATTTATTGTATTGTAAAAAAGTCCATAAAAACATTGATCTTTTGATTTATACTTTTTCTATTTATTAATGCATGATCCTGTAGGTTTTGCTCAAGAATATACATGTCGGTTGTTCTTTGAGAAATAATAATCGCTGTATGGCATGCACATAAAACATATAAATTTTTAGGTTTTTTCTGCTTTTATAGTTTAGGTTAGCCAAAATTTAAAATTCCTATTTGGGGGTGGACCAGTAAATCAGAATAGACTTGAGTAAAATCAGTTGACCGATTTAAAAAGAATCGCGCTCAACATTCAATGAACGAGTGAAACGCATAAGTAATCCTATGAAGTGGTGGGTCGGAACAAAGGGGTATTCGCCAGTTATCCTTTAGTCTGAAATTAGTAGCGCTGTGTACTTGGTCTCATCCTTTTGATCGAACGCCCAAAAAAGGAAGCTATGAATTTTAATTTGAAGAATTCAGAAATCTGCTGTGTGTTATTTGACTTAGACAACACCTTAATTGAAACAAGAAAAGCAGATGCTAAGGCTTGTAGTAAGGTAATTTTTTATATGCAGAATAATTATTAATGCAAAAATGTTGGTTCGTTTTCGGGAATATATTATCACCTTTATTTTTAGAAACATTAAATATTATTTTTGCCAGCATGTTACGTCTCCGTCGCTGGTCGATCAGCTGTTGTTGATGACGTCACGCGAAAGGCCATGTTGAAAATTGATAACCTATCATACAATAATTAATAATTATTAATTTTCATGAAAGTACATTTAGCAATATATTTCGCTTACGCACAGCAATAAATATTTTTCGCTAATATCTCGTGGTCATAATACGCTATTGGTTAATTAAAGTCACACAAATATATTTAATCTAATGCGAAAAAGCTATATGTATAAAAACGGGGGTTATTTTGACATTGAATCCGTGGCTTTTTGATTCTCTCTTCTTAAATTTTAAAGAATGGAGTCAACGACTGATGCTAAAAATACGTAAGACGATACCAGACTCTAGAAATTGCCGAATATAGAAACTCTGTATGGGCCCGTTGCTAAATATAACATTTACGCTAGGTTGCAAGGCTCCGCAGTATCTTTTCGATATTCCACCGGTTTAGAACGTATATTGTTAATTATGGCGGGAGAAGTGTCGGAGGCGGTGAAAAAATGTTGCAATATTTTAAAGAATTCATCAAGTGATACCGAGAAGTTTGCAGCACTGTTTATGGTGACAAAGTTGGTGAAGGGTAAACATGCTACACCTGCTGCAAGAATAGCTATTTTTGAAGCCATTGGATTTGATTTTCTTAAACGACTTTTGCTTACTACAGATGTTCCTGTTGATTGTCCTCCATCCATTTATAAATCAGTTGCCTTAACAATAATCTCTGTATTTTGTACAGAAGAACAATTGGTTACAAAAAAGGAAATGTTAGAGTTAATTCCTGTTTTCCTAGATATTGTTGAGTCAGCAGATGATAGTGACAATGATGATAATTTAATGGCAATAGGTGAAGCTTACAATTGTTTAAAAGGTATTGCATTATTTTCTGCTGGTCAGAAAGCATTAATTGATGTTGGAGCTATAGATAGATTAAGCAAAGTCTATTCTTCAGCTAGTTTTCAATCTGACGAAGCTCTTAGTGTTATGGGTTTATTAGTGGCCAAAAAAGGTGCCTTGTCCTGGGATCCTAAAGATCCAAAAGCATTTCATGCTTTGGTTAATAAAATTGCCCTAGATTTTTCAACAGATCAAGACAAAAGAAAATTTGAATTAGCAGAATGCCTTAATGCTATAATTTTTAATTGTCCCAGAAAAGTTGTTTCAGAATCAGCTACAAGTGAAAGTTGGCCGTTGAGTATTTATAAGGGATTAAGTGACATATTACAAAGTAAAATTGGGCCTGCCCAACGAAACCCAGCCCTGATTTTGGCTTCTAGTATGGTAGATTTGCTTGGTGTGGAATGGATACTTTCTGATGAAGATAAAGGAAAACAAATGTTTCTACTTTTGGTTCAGTTAGCTGCAATTGAAGTCCGTATGCAGCTTGATGGAAAAACATTAAAAGGCACCCAACAAAATCAAAATCTTATTACTGGTTGTTACATAATTCTCGAATTGTCCTTAACATTTATTGCTCAGGATACTATAGATTTGGATCAAAAAGAAAGGCAAAGTCTATATACTGCACTTAAGGGGGCTTTTACAGCGGTGGTAAATTTGTTGGTAAAAGTTGCTCAAGAGAAGAATAAGCCCGCCGGGGAAGATAAATTATTTGTTTGTGCTACAATCAGAGTGTTGGCATCTTGGATAGCTCAAGAAACTACATCTATGAGACCTCAAGTATACCAGTTGTTGCCATTTATGTTAGAGTTGGCATTTGAAACATTTTATGCCTACCGATCTAGGAGGATTGCTGAAAAAGCGGGCACACCTATAGAGTCTGATCCATTAAGCAGTACAGATATTCTAAGGGTTATGCTACCTGCCCTTTGTCATTTAGCCGTGGAAGATGAATCCAGAGCTATTATGCTAAAGTGCCACTGTGATCAAGTTCTTGTTGAAGTTATTGAATTTCATTGGACAATTGTGAATCACAAACGACCACCTGTCCCACGTGCGGAAAGATTGAAAGCTTTAAGTCAACCAAAACCCGAGTTGACTCCCGAAATTTTGGAAGACATGAAAGATTCAAGAAGTGCCATGATAAGTACATGTAATGTTCTAATGAACTTAACGGTTTTAGAAAATAAATATGTGGAAAATTCACCGATATTTAACAATTTAATGAAATTTATATTTGATAGCCTACCTGAATTAAAGGATATTCCTGAAAATTTAGTACTACATGGTAATCTTGCTGTGCTAGGATTACTTTTGCTTAAACAATTGTCAAATAAAGTTAAGAAAAATGACTTTTCGATTTGTCGATATATACAGGCAACTATTCGTTTTCTTTGGAATGCCTATACTATTGATGAGTCAAATGATCCCACAGCTTTGGTTGTTGCAATGGCTTATAAAGAAAATTGGATGGAGATGGTAGAATTATGGTTCCTGGGAATGCAAACTATGTCTAGTGTTATAGCTCAGATTCCCTGGATCTCGGAATTTGCCATCGAAAGTGGTTGGGCAGAGGGAATTGTGCAAACATTGAAAAAGGTAAAAATTGGAACCCTGCCTGCAAATGTTAAAGCAGCCTATGAAGATTTTTTGTGCCGCCTTGTTGATGCGAATGAAGGTGTTGTTGAAGTTCTAAAAAAATCTGAAGCTTTAAGGGTGTGCAGAAATCACAGGTTGATGGAATTAGGCAAAAAATTGTTTGGAGATTAGGGTGCGCATTTTATTATTTTATTTTACATTTTTCTGCTGTAATAAGCTTCAAAGTTTTTTGTAGTTTTTTTATACAGCACATTTTTTATTGAATGAGTGATTTGTAATTTGTAATATATAATTTATTTGACGACTTCTTGTGTTACTTCTTGATATTTATACCCAAGCCTAATATTGTTTTGGCACCAGTCGAGTTTGTTGGTCATTTTCCAAAATTATGTTAATTTCGAATGTGGTTAAATATAGAGTTAGCGTAATGTTTTATTACGGAACTTCTGGGAAAATATTAAGTAAGTTCTAGTATGTTCTGCTACAAATCGATTGGTATCCCTTCATTTTTCTGTTTAATAAAACCCCAAAATGACAAATGTTGGTATATTCTACTAAACGTTCTTTGTTGTTGCTTTGTTAGTGTTTTTTTATTACTGTTTAATCTAACCGCAAAACAATCTAAGCTACTTTCTAGGTAAAAAAAATTATATTAATAAAAAAATGATTAGCGTCCTTTAAATTAACAGTAACATCGATAAATGAAAAAAATGCATTTTTTAAATAATAATTTTCAAATTTTGTACTGACAGGGGCTAATTTAATCCGAAAAAGTACATTAGGTTGAAAAATAGGGGTTAAAAATCTCTATTCGTTCTTAAAAAGTCATTGGCACATTTTGTTCTTCAGAAATCTTTATCTTCGTCTCTACACTCAATAATTTTAATCGAGTTAGTGCGAAATATTACACACTTATAATATATTTAGTAAGTTATTAATTCTAAAATTATCTAAGAAATCATGTTCTCCAAAAATTATTTCATTAATTAGTTACATGCATATTTAGCCATATTTCAACATCGAGAACTTTAGTATAGGTATATGGATAGTATTTTACATTATAGTAACGGCAACAAAATTTTTTGTTTCTATTATCTATCTTTTTAATGTCTTTAACACTCCTAGATTACACAAAAGTTGATTGGTAAATACGGTTTTCAACAAGATTGTGCCTCCACAGCCACCAGCACCTTTCTTAAAAGTTTTAGAAGGTGTCCTGATAATCCTGACGCCGACCTAGACTCTTGGAGAACTCTTCTTTGGGAAAAGGCACTTGGCGCTCAGTATTCTAACATATCAGGTAAATGTTGTATACTTCGTTATTGAAATCGTTTATTAAAGACTTTTTCCCGATTTATTATTAAAGTGAAATCGTCGTTACATTACGTGTTTCGATTCAAACAGCCGCAGGCCGCAGGAAATATTGAATGAATTATTTTGAAAAAATATGCAATATTATTATTTAAAAGAAAACTAATTCACTTTATCTACCGCATGGTAAATAATTGACTATAAGACACATATCCAGAATTATATATATTTTTTAAATTTTAGAGGTGTAAAATTAAAATAATATATTTTTTCTTGGCCAGTGACACGATTTGTTTTTTAATTGACTCTTTCGAAGAGCAGTGTAGTTTTGGTAAGTTTGTAAATTGCAATGACAAGTCTTTCAACGATTATCGGCAATGGGCAAATGGCTCCGCAAAATATTCTAAGATAATTGGAAAAAAGAAGAGCACGAGTGTGGTGATAACATAGTCCTTCAGTGCTGTGGTGGAGCATTGCACGCGGCGGTTTAACCTCCGTTCGCTCCCGACAGAATCCCTTGTATTCGTCCTCAAAACTTTGATATCGGTTTCCACTGTGTGGACTTAGTGTTTTTAGTGTTCAGTGCATGTTTTAAAGTGATAATCGTCGTCGGCCCCGTCGTTTTTCCCTGTTCACGCCGGTATGGAGGCCGGATGGGCCCGGATGGTCCGCGGTGGAAGCGGGGGGAAGCCGATTTTTTTGGTATCGGTCAGAATCGTTTTTTGCTAGCTGAGCAAATTATTGGTTATTTTTCTTCTTTGTACGTGGTGGTCATTTACCAGAAGCGAAAATCCTCGACGGAAGTCGGCAATGGGCGAATGATCCTAGCAATCGAGCCCAACATTTTTTTGTGAAACGCATAATTGAATTGAATTGAATAGTCCCTCAGTGATTCTGTGGTGGATTCTGTGGTGGAACATTGCACGCGGCGGTTTAACCTCCGTTCGTTCCCTACAGAATCCTTTGTAATCGTCCAAAAATTTTGAAATCGGTCTCCACTGAGTGGATTTAGTGTTGTCGGTGTTTTGTGAACGTTGTAAAGTGTTAATCGTCGCCGATCCCTTCGTTTTTCCCCGTTCACGCCGGTATGGAGGCCGGATGGGCCCGGATGGTCCGGGGCGGAAGCGGGGGGTGTCGGTTTTTTTTGGTATCGGTCAAATTTGTTGTTTTGCTAGTTGAGCAAATATTGGTTATATGTCTTCTTTGTACGTGTTGGTCAATGATCAAAAGCGAAGATCCTCGACGGAAGTCGGCAATGGGCGAATGATCCTAGCAGTCGAGCCCAACATTTTTTGTGAAACGCATACTTGAATTGAATTGAATTGATTCTGTGGTGGAGCATTGCACGCGGCGGTTTAACCTCTGTCCGCTCCCGACAGAATCCCATGTATTCGTCCCAAAAAGTTTGATATCGGTTTCCACGGTGTGGATTTAGTGTTTTGAGTGTTCAGTGTACGTCTTAAAGTGATAATCGTCGTCGGCCCCGTCGTTTTTCCCCGTTCACGCCGGTATGGAGGCCGGATGGGCCCGGATGGTCCGCGGGGGAAGCCGATTTTTTTGGTATCGGTCAGAATCATTTTTTGCTAGTTGAGCAAATTATTGGTTATTTTCCTTCTTTGTACTTGGTGGTCATTGACCAGAAGCGAAAATCCTCGACAGAAGTCGGCAATGGGCGAATGATCCTAGCAGTCGAGCCCAACATTTTTTTGTGAAACGCTTAATTGGATGGTTGGATAGTCCTTCAGTATTAGATCTATGGATGGTAGAATAGGATGAATAACCTTTTTCATTGCTGTCAATAAAAACAAAAAGTTTTTTTACACTGAGTTAGCCTGTTCGAAGTTTTTTGTAATTTTGCATTGAATTTTGGTCATATTTATCGGCATTATGGGCAAGATGTCGAAAGATAAGCGGGATATATACTATCGTAAAGCCAAAGAACAGGGCTGGAGAGCACGAAGCGCTTTCAAACTGATTCAGATCGACGAGAAATTTAATATTTTTGAAGGTGTTAGCAAAGCAGTTGATTTATGTGCTGCGCCTGGAAGTTGGTCTCAAGTTTTATCGAGAAAATTATATTTGGGGGATACCATTACTATAAAAGATGAAACTCGCTTATTTTACACAGATACTTTGCTGGATTCACAAACACCAAAGAAAGAAAGTGCATCAACCAGTGGTAAAGAAAATTCAGTTCAGAAAAATAATGTTAAAATTATTGCCGTAGATTTGCAACCCATGTCACCATTGCCAGGTGTAGTTCAAATTCAAGGAGATATAACTAAATATTCTACTGCTTTAGAAATAATTAGCCACTTTGAAGGTGACCATGCAGACTTAGTAGTTTGTGATGGTGCTCCTGATGTCACTGGACTTCATTGTATGGATATATACATTCAAGCCCAGTTACTGTTAGGTGCACTTCATATTGCCTGCAATGTTTTAAAATCTGGAGGAACATTTATTGCAAAGATATTTCGAGGGAAGGATAATGATTTGCTAACTAACCAGTTATTGACATTATTTAAAGAAGTGCATGTAGCAAAGCCTAGAAGTTCAAGAAATTCAAGTATTGAAGCTTTTGTTGTCTGTCAAAATTACTGTCCTCCAGAACAATTTGATGCCAAACTTATAACACCTTATTTAGATGTATCAAACAAAGATTTTAGTTCCCTCACAGGCGTTAATCGAGTACTCATTCCATTTATTGTTTGTGGAGATGTAAGTGCATTTGATTCAGATACTTCATATCCATTACAATTGCAAGGGGAGGCACCATATCAATATAGACCTCCAGTTCAGCCACCAATTGCTCCTCCATATGCTTTTAAACCAACAGAAATAGATGATTTTTTGAAGAAAATTGATGAAGCGGCAAAACGTGTAGGAATTGGTCTAGAAGCAGATTTGGAAGATTTGGATTTAAATATAAAAGCACTCAATCTCATGGATGATAGTTCAAATTCAAAAAATTCCATTGAATTGCCAGAAGAGTTTTGTAAAGATGACAAAGAGACCAAGGAATTATTTGAGAATGGTCCATATTTTAATCTAATTTCAAAGGTGGATGCTCTTAAGGGTGAGGAATGTGGAGATATTCTTGATACAGACCTAAGAAATGCCACAGAACTTCAGTTTTTATATGAAGATGAACATACTGATCCACAAATCATTGCGCAATTGTTACAACACATGCAGTTAAGCAATATGAATCCTACATGTACTTGCTCAGAATAAGTTTCAAATATTATAAATGTTGGTTGTATAAAAATGTATGTTTAAGAATTTTCTTTGTAACTAAACTATTCTCCTAAATATAGAACAAAAGTAAAATCCTTTTTTAATTGCTTTTCCATTTGTTATAAAATATATTGTGTATAGATTCTATTAAAAAATTTACACACATATATAATAGTTCTCAAACAAGGGAAAAAGTTAAGTCAAGGGCTTAAAAAGTGAATAATGCAGTGATTAAAATTTTAATTTTTTTGACTTTATTTTTGCCACTCATTTAAGATCTAATAAATATATAATATATATTATAATATATATATTTAAAATGAGTGTGTGTAAAATTTGCTGACTGAAAGTGTTTCATTTTTTTTATAATTTGATTTTGGCGTGGTTTTGGATTAAAATTTTCAACAAAAATATTCTCTAATGTTGGAAAAATTTGTCACAGCATTTTAACAGCCAAATTGTTAATTTTGTCAGCTTAAACATACATCGCATACAACTTTTTTTTTGGGAATTGAATTTGTGTATTTATGGGTATACATGAATCTTAAAGCGTTTCAACTGTTAATTTCAACGAGATTACAGTTTCCAGAAACTATACAGCATTTAGTGTACACAGCACCCAGTCCCGAAACAGTCGATATCCCTGATGCGCGATATGGTCAATGTTTCACGGGTCGGACAGCGAGTAATGTCGTCTTATCCGTTGACCTAATATTGCTATTACTATTTTTAAAAGCAAAAAATTTCCCCAAGGAATGTTTCTGTATAACTTTGTTTTTGTAATTTTTTTAATCAGTTTTCTGTATTATTTTAGAGGGTTTATTAATTTCTATGATAATAGACCTACTTCGAACGTCGAATTGAAAGATAGTATACACCTACGCTGTGGTGGCTATTCGCAAAGTAAAATTATTTCTTAAAATTTTTGGAAATAGGTAAACTAAGATTAATTATTTTATTAATTGGACATTGGCCATAGTTTGATAGGTAGCAAAAGACGATTTGCGTCGACTGGAGGCAGATATATATTTACATTTCTATTTCAAAAAAAATGTATATAAAATCTTCTCCCTCCCCTTAGTGCTACCACTAAATGAAGTGTTGTACCCGGTTTCAGTTTGTAGTTGCTTATTGTTTTATCGTCCTTAAGTTGCTTTCCTTGAAAAATAAGCCTTTGTTGTTGAGGCGGAATGCCTTCTCTCTCTTCTATCTTCTCTTTAAGTGCAAGGATTTTATCTGATGGTTCGACGTCAATCAGGCGCGCATCCCCAGTCAGCGTGATGATTTTGATTATCATTGATTTTGCGAAATGTGGAATTACGTTGTGCTATCCATCGAAACGTTCGAACTACCAAGTAAATGAAATTGGATCATCAGAAACATGAAATAAACGCCAAAATTAGACAAATGGCTTGTTCACAGTATACTAACTAAATATAGTTAGTTACCGGAGCTTTCCCGCGCGTTCCTAATAAAAATGGGACATGTAAGAGATGGCGCTGCGGACACCATTTTTCAATGCGTGAGCAAAGATTATTGACTTATGAAAAATAAATAAAATTAACCTTACCAATATTATTTGAATCTGCATTGCCGTTTGCTAATTTGCCATTGCGTAGGTAAGTCCTGCGTACCAATCACTGAACTCTTCGGATGTTGTTCTTGCTTTGGTTTTTATCTGCTTCTCAAAGCTTTTACCATTTGCAATAATGTTCCATTTTTAAGCCGGTAGGTCTCTATGGTTTTTTCGTCTTTTAATAATTTTCCCTTGTATATTAGTCTTTGCTGATCCGTTTCGGTTCCTTCTAGTTCCTTCAGTTTTTGTTTGATAACAATTATCGTATCAGTCGGTTGTACCTCTATAACTTGTTCTTGTCCTAATAACGGCTTTATTCTCAGAATCATTTAACAACATGTGAATTTGCGTAGATTGAGTGATTATTTCTACTACAAATTTTATGGAAACTTTTGAACTTGAAATTTTGCCGCAAAAAGTCAAACTTTTGACACTATGCAGTTGGTTTTTTTTGTCACCGAATTCAGTTTGCATCCTGACTTTAAAGTTCGTTTTTATTTTTATTAATTTATATTTTTCTTGTGGAAACTATTTCCTGGTTTATATATAAATTTTATATTATGATTGTATAATTGGTGCATATATTACATTGCATAGGGGCATATACATCACGACCGAGTTGCCTCTGTATCTTCCGGTATATATATACGTATCACAAAAAAATTTTCATAAAAAATGTTTGTTTCACGAACAGTTGAAAATAATATTGAACAATGGGAGAGATAGCGCTGGCGAGAGCACTTTGTAATCGACGCAGCATCATGAACCAAAAGCCTCCAATTATTGACTTATTCAACTTAAATTGTTTTTGAGTTGTGCCCATGAAACTTTTACTTATGGTTATGCTGTAGGTCGTGCACAAAAATTGGCCGAACAAGTTATGGCGAGAAAGAGTTCTCAGTAATTTTTGACAATGGAAGAAGATATCTACAGAAAATGCGTCGTTTGTGATTCTTATTTCATTGCAAGTGATATCCTATGAGGAGAAAGAGATTCATTAAATCAACACCAGTTTCCTGTTTGCTTCTAATAAATTTAACTCCGGAACAAGAATTTGCAAAGTATACTTTTCTTGGGTCGTAAATTTAGGCTTAGGCTTTAAAGAACATCTTAAGCTATACAAAATGAAGAATTTGTTAATTTAAATTTGTTGCAAAATAGTAATCCAAAATCAGATCGCATAAAAACGAAAACGTTTGTCTAAAGATACAACTGTTACACATTTGTAAAAAAAATATTAATATTTATGTAAATGGTAAAATATAACATTTTTTCTTTTTCGTGTGCCTCGTTGGTTTTTTTTGACACTGACTGACTGTTGTCAATTCAAACCACTGGCGTAAGTCGTCGACCAACTAATGTGTTCTCTTTCCCTCGACCATTAGCCGCAATAAATAAAATAAATAATTTTATAATAAATAAAAGTTTTTTAGTTAGTAATGTATTGTGTAAAGTGTAATGAGTTTGTTTTTGATCTAGATTAAATATTAAGAAAAACGGTTACTGTGTTATAGTATATACGGCTGGATATATATGGATATTATGGAACTTACCTACATACCGGTCTTATTTTAACAAAATAATTCGGTGGAATAGAGGCAAATAATTAGTTAGTAAATAGGTATACTAGATGACGCGCGAAAGAGTAATAGAATGAAAGTTTGCCTCGCGCTTTTTAAATATCTATCCTGCCATGTTGACCAACAGAATATCGTTCATTAACCTAAGTTTCGGATAATAGATATTCCTTGCTTTTTTTAATTGCTCTCAAATATATTTGTTTTGGAACGAAATCATCCTTTTTCATTCAGACATTATTTTTTCCAAGGTAGATACGGTATTTCTTTTTTTAAGTAAAACGGGTGTATTATTCTTCTGATGACACCCTCTTCATTCACATCTATTACAGTTACTTTTCGTTCTGTACTTCTTTTTGGAGACCTGATGGGCCTGGTTTATCCTCGTGCACAAGTTCGTTTTTTGCCGACTGTCCAACTTCATTCCTATTCGAACACATTTCCAAGTCCGAATGTTGAGTTTTGGTGGCGAAAAGCTTCAAACTCATTGGAGAATAATAATTTTCCCATTTTTAGAAAGCGCAGTTTTATTAATTCAGGGACACCAGCCATTTTCAAGAGCGAACTTTGCCGGAAAGTAACTACAAACTGAAACACTGAGACACAGGTAGTTCAACGACCTGTCCGTCTACCTGCCACTGCCACAATACTACCCTATGGAATACAGTTAAGACAATATTCGTATACAACATTCTATTCGAAGTAACTATACGTTCTCGGTGATCCTTCGTATACAAAAGGCGAAGTGGAGTAACGATCCTACTTATATAAAAACTTCCGTAAGGGCAAGTAAAACATTTACCCAACACCCACGTATTGAACTGTTTGATTTAGCAGTAACAAGAGAATAACCTGTAATACTGTGATACTATTTACAAAACTTCTGGATTCCTCCTGCGTCGGTTTTTGTTGACTCGAACTAGCTAATGTTTCGTCAATCATCCTGTTGCCTTCTTCAGAGCCTGACTGAAACTGGCACGAACTTTACTCTGTACATGCTTATATATTGTTGAGGGGCATAAACATCGTCTCGGATGACTGATTCCCATATTGGTGACAGGTAGAGACCTGAGTCGCGGTTAAGATTGTTGGGTTGTTTAAAAATTTCTATAACTTCTCGGATTTTTCGTTGGTAGAAGAATTGATTACATGCAATATTGAATAAAATTGTATGTCCTGTTTCGTAACTGTGTTCGGCAACTGTTGATGAGTTTTTTTGTCTTAGTCTGAAGGCTGTTTCATGTTCTTTGGGGCTAGTTGATATTTTTCGTCCGGTTTCTCCAATGTATTTTTGCCACATATGCATGGAATGCTTTAAACTCCTAGCATCTGGAATTTTCGAAATTGGCGGATCGAAGATATTGAGAGATTTTTGGACAAGTGGTAAATTAGGTTTTGACGTTATATTTCTTAAGAACTTTTGATGTGTGTGGTTATAATGAAGGACAACAGTGGCAAGTAGAGGATTGTTTTCAGATTCATTGCTATTGAAAGGTAGTTGGGAAATGTATTTTGTGATGGGACGCTTAATATGTTTAATGTGGAAATTATTAGAGAGAAGAGCAGAGCAAAGATGTTTTAAGTCTGGGTACAGTGACTCAGGTTGTAAATAAGAGGGTTAATAACCGGTGATTTTTGTTACAATGATCCAATGTCAGGTCTGCTTATCTAAGAATGGGAGGTTATTGCTAGTTTCTAATTCAATGGTAAAACGTATATTAGGGTGTATAGAGTTTAAATGCATAAGTCTATTAGAGATTCTTGACCATGAGACCAAAAATAAAAGTATCATCGACGTAAAGTTCCCATAATTTTGATTTAAGATGGAAGGTGTCGAGAGCTTTTTTTTCAAAGGCTTCCATAAATATATTCGCGATGACTGATGATAATGGAAAGCCCATAACTGTTCCCGACTCTCGTTCAAAAATTTGACCGTTATAAGAAAAATATGTTCCAAACAAGCATTTTTCAATTAAGGTGAGGAAGTTGGGTTCCAGATTCTCGGAGGTTTTAATGTTTTAAGAATATTTGCGGTTTCAAATCAAATTTCATTAACTGTTTGAGATTGCAGTTTATTTAGGATAGATTCGACATTTGCAATGATTTCCTCTTTTGGGATAATACGTGGAGCAAGGACAAAGTTTCAACCTTTTGTAAGAACTGATTTTTCCGTGTCCGAAAGTTGGTGCGATGATATTACAGTGTTTGGTAGTTGAGAAAAGTTTGATTGTTTCACTAGTGTTGACATAAGTTTTTCAAATTTCTGAATGTGATTTTGTGTAGAAGATTTGTCATGAATCATGTTTGGAAGGGTATAGAAGCAATATGATGAATTCTTTCTCGAAGTAAAGCAAAACTAGATTTTTTTGATAAGCGGATCAGTTTCAGTTCAGCTCTGAAGAAGCCAATAAGATGATTGGCGGAACATTAGCAAGTTCGACGATTTCTTTTTGAAAAAAAAAGAATGCCATGTAATTTGTTTTCTTTTCAGAAAAGGTCTATAAAGAATGGCTGCAGTACCGTTACAAATATCTCGCATTAACTTCGGATATAAAATCGCTTCTTCAAGACCTTCGTGAGCATTTTTTGCTCGGCCTGATCACGAACGGACCATCTGCATCGCAATGGGAGAAAGTTGACAAGTTAAACATCAGAAGCTACTTCGACGTCATTCTGGTGTCTGGCGATTTCCCGTGGGAGAAACCGCATTACAAAATTTTCCACAAGGCTTGTGATTATCTCGGCGTGCAGCCCCGCCAATGCATCATGGTGGGTGACAAGTTGGAAACCGATATTTTGGGCGGTTTGCAAGCGAACTTGGGCGGGACCGTGTGGATCCCGTTGTCTCGTTCCGAATTGGATCAGGGCCACCCTGTCCCTCATCATATTATCAAAAATATTGGCGAACTCGTAGATTTGTTACCTGAAGCTAAAACCAGGCGGCGCAGTTTTAGGGGCAAAACGGGCAATTCGCTGGCGTTTAACAAACTGTCGTTATGCGATATTGACGACGGCAATAGCAATAGCAGCGACGGTAGCTGATATTGGTTTTATTCGCGTGGCGTCTTCTGGTCTATGGGGTAGTATGTGAGGTGAATTTTCATTTCGTCTAGAAAACAGTGTTCTGAAGATTTTATTATTTCAGCGTAATGTGTTTGTATTCGTTAAACTTTACAAACGACTGGGTTGATTCTTGTTTTTTTCTTATCTATCTATTACTAAGAAACTAAATTCGTGACTATTATGCACTTGACTGGTACAATTACTTTTTGTACGAGTTTGGGGAACAATTGTCGGTTCATAGGTCAAATCTCCAGTGCAACAAAGATATGCCGAATTATTGAAATCAACGAGAAGGGTGAGAAATGATACATTGAAACACTGTAATCTGTTTAATTCATGATGATACATCCTTAATTATTTTATTTAATCAGCAATTATATTAAGAAATACGAAATATTTAATTTTTTTATTTAGGTTTCGTATTTAGAAATATCTGAAAATAGTTGGCAGGGTCATATTTAAGGGGGAAAGAACACGAAAAATGATAGGATTGTTGGGGTGTGGATCGAAACAGAAAGACTGTTTTCTTTAATATGCTATACATATGTCAGTACACATACAAAAGAAAATACAGAACTCGTGCCGCTCACTCTTCTTCAGAACACACACGATCCTCGCCGCTCCATGGACAGTGTGGCCACACATATTATGTACAATATACACAACATACATAATATGTTTCGGAATTTTTTAAACTTTTCCACAGCTAGCTTTTTGTAAAAATATCCGCAATATTTTAACCAGGATCCGCTTTAATTATATCTATAACATTTTTCTTCACTCATTCATGTACATAATGATAACGAACTTTTTTTTGGTTAATTTTTGGATTACAACTTCACATTTTTTCATTTTCAAAAAAATAGACATTCATTTTTTCCACATACTGTAGCTTTTCCGTCAAGCACCGGTATTGCAACTTCGTTTTTCGCCATTTTGTCACGCGTTTTCCTACGTACACGGGACTTTGAAGCTTGCTCGTAACAAATTACCAAAACCACGAACATCGCTACCATATTGGGGTGTGGAACAGAACGGAAAGACTGTTTTCTTTAATATACAATATATGTTAGTACATATACACAAAACGAAAATACAGAACTAATCACGCATCTTTACATTTCCACGGTGCTTCTCACTCTTCTTCTCTTGTCTCAGAATACACACCGTCGTTGCTGCTCCATGCACACTGTTGTCACACATATTATATAGAATATAAATGTATCGAATACTTAATAAGGATATTGGTTTGACGTAAATTATTACTTAAAATATTGGTTTATTTTAATGGGTCTAGTTAAGATCTTTAGCAAAAACAAATATAAGCAAAAGATTGTAATAGCCGTTTCACAAGTACAAGTGTCAAATGGGAAAGTTATTGATGTTGCAATAACGACTATAAAAGTTTATTTTGTAAAGTAAAAACAATAAGTATATAAAAAAGGCATTTTATTAGTTTCTTGATAAAATTAATTTGTTTTTGTTAATTAATTTTAAATGTGTTGTCTTTTTTCCATCCCCTAAATAAAATTTCAAAAGCAAATATTGCAGTGCATTAAGGCAACTTCTAGCAGCAGAACATGTCCCGATATTTGTCCACTCATTGTTAATCTATTAAAAGAACTTTTAAAATAACTTTAAACTTAAGCCAAATTATAAACATTCACAAAAAAATGCACTACCTCCCTGCCAGCGCCTTGCAAGCACTGTAAGATTTTCCATCTCTTTAACATTGCTTTAAAATCTTTGTCGCACTTGAGATTTCGTGTTTATATTTAGTTATTATGTTAGGATGGATACTTTTGAAATTCTCACCATAGGAAAACGAAAACAGTTACAGAATCGGTTAAATTAGAGAGAAAAGTTTCTTTCCGTTAAAAACTCTCATATGCATACAAATAAAAAATAAAAGTTCTTGTCGACATAAGAAGCTGGTGAAATCTTTTTTTCTTCGTAAAACAAAAAACAAATACTGTTGATTTCTTAACATAGTTAATGGTCGGATATCACAGTGGTGAGTACTTTAAAAGTGACTATCTTGTACAAAGGATGGTAAGAAAATAAGCATTTCTTTCCTGCCTGAGGTACCTACATGATGTATTTTTTCTGATAGATGTATAATCTGATATTAATATTAATTAATTATATTTATACAAAATTATTTTTAAATTTAAATTGGATTGGGAGATATTTTAACAAATTTCGAATAGTGGCACTTGGAACACTGTCAGTTAGTTTTAAGAAAAGACTGAAAGAAGTGACTAATAGATCTCATATTTTACTTACATTTTTCAGCTGTTGATATACTACACTATAAGCGAAAACAAGGAAAAAATACATTTAAATTATCTTAACTGAATGCCAAGGTGGAGTTAATTTCATTTTTGTTCACAATTAACTTGAACTGGGTTATAGGTTTAACTAAATGGTAATTTGGGTCGGAATATTAAAAATAATGTTTTTTTTTTGTTTTTGTATCAATTTGTTATTATTTTAGTGGAATAAGATAAATATTTTTTCTTTTTGTTTATAATTTATAATTAATATGTACAAACGTTGCCAGGGATCTTGTATGAAAAACTTTTGATGAGCTGCATCATAAATTTAAAAACGTACAAACAAAAAATATCGATGTAATAGGTGCTCGAAATAGTTCTTGTACCTGCTACTTATTTTATATTACTTTTCGCATAAATAATCTCTAAGACTAATATCTTGTGCCATTAAAGAATTTAAAAAAACATAAGTTCAATTTCTAACTAACGCGAATAGAAGTTGTGATACCGATCAAATAGCAGGACCAAAATCTAGTCCTTAGTATTTATTGGGAATGGATTAACTATGTTGTAGTACAACATTTTGTGAGTTTAATTGTTACGAGAAATTTTGAAAATGTAAATTTTAATTTTTGTTGCAATAAATTGTGTGGGGTATTTTGCTTTTGTTTTTGACATTTCCTTAAAGGTATTGTTTCGTAGTTATATCTCATATGATATGGCCCGGTTGTTCCGATATAAAAGGCATACATGTCAGTAAGTCAGTACCAGTGTTGCGCTTTCTTTTTGTTTTCCAAATTAATATATCTATCTACGGAACAATGATGATCAATTTGCAATAAAACCAAAACTAAAACTACAATAGATTTATCTAACTTTTTGCGCCTCGTCAAACCGCCTAAGTTTGAGTAAAGTTCTTCCAAAATTCCTTCCTCCCCATAACACCGTTTTAGATACGTTAATGAATGAAAATGTCAATTTTACAGGAGTTATTATTTATCAACCCGCAATTTTTTTTAAATTTAAAAAGTTCGGATATTTATTTATGTTGTATTGGTAGTTTTGTTTAAATGATTAAAAAAAAAAACAATATTGTTCAAGGAATTATTTTATTTGCTCGCTGGTTTGTCCACTATTTATTTCAGTTGGCTTCAGAGTTCAGTGAAATAATTTTGTTTATTTACAAATATATAAAACCTTCTGTAATTAGTACATTACAAAATAATAGGTATCATTTATTGATGCCTTTATGTAGTAATACTATTAGCACTTCACCGTTTGGCCTAATATTTTCCAGAAATTTACATATTTTACATCGCGTTTTTCCACAGATTAGTAACACAGTCTTTACATAACGCATTCCAACTGAAAAGAAAACCTATCTAATGGCAATAACAATACATACAAATACAATAGTTTTTACTAAGATTACAATATTCTACACGCATTTTTTAACACTTTTTTTTTCTTTTTATTCTTATGTGGTCTCAATACTATGGTTCCATTTTGGTGTTTCGAAGAATGACTAGGGTTGAAGGCACCTACGATGGAGAAAGGATTTAATTAGATGTACATTTTTAAGCACTTGTGGGTTACCTGGATTAATTATTAAAGTCAGAAAGATGCAATCTTTTTGATGTTTTGGTTAGATTTTAGATTATTATTACTGTTCTTGTTCTTTAGACATGACATATTCCATTTCTTTTGTTTTTGTCTTTAAGTGTATTTGAATAAATTTAAATTGAAATTGAAAAAAATTAAAATGAAATAAGTTGAAATGAAAAGCAAAATAGTAAAGAAGAACACTAATAAAGAATAATACGAATAAATAAAAATAAAGAAAAATGAGCTATACTATACTATATATATATATATATATATATATATATATATATATATATATATATATATATATATATATATATATATATATATATATATATATATATATATATATACTGTAAAAAAAATGTTCAAGCTTTATCCAATATTTTCAATAGTGTCCTTATTTTATGTTTATTACCGTTGTTTCCTACACACTTACTAATAGTGAGCGAATTTGGATGGTTCATCGTGGGATGATGAATTGCAAAGTAATCTCCAGATCCGTTTTCTTCTCTAGGGTCGCGTAGCTCAGCTAAACACTGCTGTGCCAGATGACGGAAAACGGTAGAAACGTTCACGTCTTCTTTAACTGAAGTGCGAATTAATCGGCAACCAAGGGCGCGGGCTAAGAGATCTGCTTCTTCGCTATAAATTAATGTAGGTGTTGGGTTCATATACTTAGAAGAGATATAAAGGCACTGGTAATACAGGAACTTGTGAATTTTTTTTTGAGAAGATGCTTCCGAAAACACTCCGATAACTTCCCAGTGTTCGAAGTGTTTTCGGAGCGCGAGCATTGAAGATGCCAAGTGAGATTTTGGCGACACGTCTGCAGGATTCCAGTTGGAGTTCAACAAGCGAACGGATGATCCCGGAATGTTTTTTAACATATTTTTCCATCAGTGAATCAATGCGTATATATATATATATATATATATATATATATATATATATATATATATATATATATATATATATATATATATATATATATATATATATATATATATATATATATATATATATATATATATATATATATATATATATATATATATATATATAATCTCATTAAATCAATAAATCTTCGGACAAAATTGAGTTAAGTGAATGAGAAATCATTGCCGTCTCAGGCGCATCAATTTTTTACCGTAGTATGGCCGCTATCTTATATAATCGCTATATTGTTAGGTTCAATAGTTCAAAAATTGACTATACTTACGGATTTACGACACTTTGGTCGGAAAGATCAATTTTGTTTTGAACTATAACTGTGGGGATTTCACCGCATTCGTTTTCAACCTGTTAAAAAAAACAAAGCATTAAAAGAGGCATTTGGAAAATATATCTTTTTGTTGCTTTCTTAATCACCACATACATACATACTTTTTTCTCTCTCTCTCTCTCTCTCTCTCTCTCTCTCTCTCTCTCTCTCTCTCTCTCTCTCTCTCTCTTTGTAGCGTCAGCTTCAGTATAAAAATCTTAGAGAAATATCTAATCCATTAGAGATTTGTTGTGTTTCGAAATTAACGGTCTGGGAAAATTCGTTTTATTACATTTCAAAAACTGAATATTTGTCCACAGAATAACAGCCTTTCTGATAGTGAGCTGTTAAGCGTTTTTGAATGCCTAGAACTATCTCGTGTCAGGACCACCGTGGAATACATACCGCGTTTTATCCCTAATTTATTATACGAATAAAGATTTAAATGCGTTCGTTGTTCTATCGAACATGTGTTCGCGCTCTGGAACAATGATTTCGACATATTAATGTTCTTGCTTTAGGAATAAGATACGATTACAATACAACATTGCTAACCGGAGCATTATCTAAATGACGACTAATGGAGTGCCATTATCTTTACTAGAGACAGCAACTTGGTTTTTCCATTATTGTTCGAGGAATAAATGCGGATTCATTGAACGCTTTTTAAACGACCATGTGACGTAAAAATTGGCAACACCTAGTTAGTAAATCTGAGAAAAGGACTTGATAATCACCTTCGATATCATATCCTACAAATCAGACAACTTAGAGGAGATATATGGAAAATCGGCTTGTTGAATATTTACGACACTCTACTGATGTGGTTAAGCATTGTTTTCTAGTTCTAGACAATGAAATTACCCTATGTTATAACACTATCCACCGCAAAAATAACTACCAAAACTAAATACTAAATCCGGACCGATTCTTCAATTCTGATAGTTTTTGGTACATGCAGTTTCTTAGTCAAGGCCCGAAATAATCTCTTCTTAGTCGACTTTCAACATTGTATGAAACTTAAACAGCCTCGCTGTCACTAGACAATGTATTCCATTATATCATTAGGGAAATTCCTTTCCGACCAACGTCGTCATTAATTTGTTTGTTATAACTCTAAGAATAATATATAAAACAGAACATTGTCTAAATGACATTCTTCTAACAACCCACGTTAACGTCAATGTTTCGTATGTTTGCGAACTTTGCGAACGATCCACTTTAGAAGAATACTCACTTTAAGTTTCCACGAATGAGCTGCCTCAAACGAATCCCTGTCCGTTGTCGAAAACGCTAGTACGCACGCTTGCGCGCCCCGATAATACGCTTTCGTAATGGCATCGAACTCCTCTTGGCCCGCGGTGTCCCATAACATCAAGCGTACTTCTTCGCCGTCGACTCTGAGGAGCAATAATTCTAAATTCATCCGATTTTTTTTTATTGCTACTTTTATCTATATATCAAGTATTCATTTCCAATTTCTTGAATCCTGGATAACCGTCAAGAGCGTATGACGATAAAATTTAATAGCATACTGCGTGACATACATGATATAAATGAAATAAGTGAGAGCCAGCTTTAGGGAACTTCTAAGTTTATCAATTCGTAATGCTTAGGAACTACTACTTCATATAAAACTTGTGTTCATTTAAACTCTGAAGTAATTTAAATCTACAGCGATACCAATATCCACACGAAGAATGCATTAAGTGTGTAAATAATTTAAAAAACATATTTCCAATAAATACAATATATTATTAATGAAAGTTGGTGGATGTTCGGTAACTACTTTAAGTGCACTTAGTTGAACACTACACCATAATTGCAGATTTTGTGCATAATATTATAACTGATATGGACGAAATTATTAATATTTCATATTTTTAGCCTATAAAATTAGGTTTCATGATGAGAGTGAGAAACTTAAAAAGCATTTAAAATCTAGCAAACTTATTTTTAATCAAAACCTAACATGGGATGTTTTCGGTAGGTACATATTGAAAAACACTGATAGTATTTTGACTTTTGTCAGTTCTAAAGGTTATGCATTCATCACGTAACTCAATGAAAGAAATGAAATGAGTGTAAAAAATGCAACACGTTTATAAACTTCACACAATTGTTTAATAAACGCTACCTACACAAACTCATTCAGAGCTACGGTACACAAATGGGATTCCAAAATAAGAGTAAGTTTTAGAAATCAAGGACAAAATTGTCTGAACGATCCCAATTGAATTAAATGGCGAATTAAAATGGTTAAGTAAAAGCGACTGATTGCTCATTCGTTTTTGATTCGCTTGTACTGATGTTAGGTTAACTGTATATCTTTACAATAATTGTTCCTTTAAAAACAATCAACAATTGTGAGATAAGCGAGATAAAGGTAAATGCTTTATTTTAAGTAAATAATCTATTTGTATCTACCGAAAATAACGTATTTTTAATATAAAATACAGATTTTTTCTTAAATATTAATATTAATATACATTTAACAAATCGGTTTCTTAAAATCAATTCTGGAGTTCGCAGTCTATTACTTATACCAAGTATTTCGTCTCTTCTTACAAAAACTGAAAATCTAAGACTAAAATATCATATATTATTTTAGAGTCAAGCCAATTCTAAAAACCAGATACAGACTTTTACTTTCTAGAATTGACAGTTGACTCAAGTTTTCATATGAAACCATTAAAATTTTGAATCAATAATGTCATTTTCTCTTTAATATTAATACATCCACTTTATTGAAAGCACGTGTGGCTTATTTCAAGAGACGTTATTCTAATATGCAGAAGTTGTTCTTTATTAATAAAGAATCTCTTTAATTAAGGGGTCGGATTTCTCAATGCGAAAGTACCGTGAGTTCTGTTAAAGGAATTTAGAGGGGTTAAAAAAGTAGACATTCACAACAAACATATTTTATTTCATACGTATTTATAAACATAAAACGAAAGATAAACATAAAATAAATAAATAAACTAAAAAATAAACATAAATATTCGTTGAGGAAGTTTTATAAAAAGTATAGTAAAGTTTCTTTGAATAATCAAAATATTTATTGGTTATATAGCGTACTTTTGTCACCCGGTGATTTTTAAAATAGGGAAACTTAAATGACTGTCTAGTCTTCAGCCGGTATCCTTTAAAATGTTCATCATATCCACTAATTTTCCAGACATCAGTAGTAGTAGTATCAGTAGAAACACGTTGCTTCATTCTGAAATCAATAGTGAGGTATGAAAAGTAATCTGTAAACCACCCTTATTTTATCTCACCCTGCATGATACATTTGGTTAAACATATTTTGTTCCGAAGGTAATATTATTAAAATTCTATTTTTATTTTAAATTTTAAGAGCTTTGTCTCTCACATGTCTTGAGAAAAACAATCGAAATTTGATAATGTTTGTTATTGCTGTCAAATATGATCAGCAACGAAAGACTTGGTACCAGATGCATTCCATTTTTTGGAATATGTGATATTAAATATTAAAAACTTGCTTGACCCGCCAACGATCGTTAAATATCTACTGAGGAGATAGCAACTGAAATCAGTTCAAGATTATATTGATCTTTCAGCCACTGAAAAAGTTGTTTTCAAAGTATATCCTTTACCCAATTGCTGGTATGAGTGCTTTCATTAACATTTTGTCGGCATATAACTTCGATATATGCTCAATTTCCATTTTGTTAGCTAGAAAGAGATAGTATTTTAGTCATTGTATGCCATATCTACAGTTTGAGCGGAAAATTTACGAGCCCAGATACGCATGCTATATTTGAAGGCATAATCAAAATGAGTAAACTAGACAGCATTCCTAATATAGCGTGTCGACACTTTTTTTCTAACTTCTTCATTACCGAAGTGTATTTATTTACCAATATAAATACCAAAGTGAAAGAGTTATGACCCTATTCTACTTTTCTCTAGTTCGCCATGAAATTTAACAAAAAAAAAAACAAGTAAAACAAATTAGTAAAAGGCTTTCTTTTAATAAATCGGAAAAGCGATGTTCAATTATTGTTTTTTCGATACAATCATGCTACAACTTGATACAAGAATGCTACAACTTGACCAATTAACCGAACTTCAATAATACCTGAAGAAGTTAGCAATAGTGTCGACTTGAATAGATAGGTATCAAGTGATTTTCGAGCTGTTGTAATAATAATATAAATTTACTTACGTGTTATGAAATACAAAAAAAAACTGTAAACGGTTTACTGTATACTATAGATATATTACTTACCGATAAAAATTTCGATTGTAGATCCCGAAATTCCTTAGCCACTCAGCAGTTTCTCCAGCTTTTTCAAAAATATTTGCATATTTCACCGTAACAACTTGCTTCACCGAAAAGTTTGAAAGACGCAAACGTCTTCTGCGAAATTAACCTAACGCGTATCCAGATGGTTTGCTGAACTACATAGCACTCATCATTTTTTTAAATTAGGGATGTGATATTCTTAATTTAAGTACTAATGTTGAATATAATTTAACAATTTTTTTTTGTATTTTTCGAGGCTCACTCTCAATTTCTGACAATGCGTAGGTGTAGGCGTTATGATTTTTTGGTTGCTATGAATAGGGAATTTTCCTATGAGAATTTGTGTTGCTGAGTATAGCTTTGTTTTTATAATATAACGAAATTTATCTCCACTTTAAAGAATTCGCTCTCCAAGGTGTAGATAACAGTAATTATGTTCTATGTTAAAAAGGATTTAAAATTTAGAAATTCAAGAACTTATAATATGAAACTAGAATTTTCTTTATTTGATATAAAGAAAGTAGCCAGCTAAAAAAATGTTAACTTATTGTAATATATTGATAAGTTGGTCCATTTGAGTTTGTGATAGACTCGAATTAAATATCCAATATCTTTTTTTGAGTTTCGCTGATCAGAATTGGATATGCCCAATTTAAAATTTAGTAAAAATATGAATGAGAAATTTTGTTTTGGATTGAATCTAAAACTTTTGATCTAAGTAAAAATTAAACAAATATGATTTGTGAATTGATGCGCCGCAGATGGCATTGATATTTTCTTAGAGTAGGTAATTATTTTCCGCGCATGCCTCTACATTTCATCCACTAATCTACACTTTGCGCCATTTTCTTTGAAAACAACTATTTTCACACACTTAACTCGTTTTTCTAGAATATTTAACGCACGAAAATAGTGCCGTAAAATTGCCGCATCCAAACTTATTGACAATCAGTCAGCAGCCTTTCAATTTTTTTTCCATTGTTGCTTCATAAGTTCCTGTATTAGCAGCATAGACAGGGCCACTATATCTTCGAATTGCTATATGGTATGACCAGCCGGGTTAATCAATCAGCGGGGAAAATAAAAAACTGTCACAAAAACCTGTCCTACCGTAACGAATATAAAATTAATTACGTCGAATTGAAATTTAATTGACCTAACCGTCAAATAAAAATTTCCTTTTTTGTCACTTTAATGAATAGCAAAGGTCCTCTGCATTACGTCATTTTAATTTAATATGTAATGATTACTTGACCATAATGAAATTTCTGAAAATAATCTATTGCTTATTTGGAAAACAAATAGGTACTACAAAATAAAGAAAATTTGCTGGTTAAACCTATTTTAAGTTTAATGAGAACGGTTGGACCATTTATTAAGCGTGCAGGATTACGAACTCGTTCTCATTCAAAAAGAAAAATTGCCAAAACTTGGCACGATCGTACCAGGAAATAATTCGCCATTTGACATCAGTATTTAAAGATCTTAATTTAGAATGCGCAAATTGTGACGTCGTGGGTTATTGCCTCTGTGCTTATTAGTTTTAGTTCGCAATCTCTCTTAGAAGACATACCTGGCCGCTTATAACCGGTGATGATTGTGACCACTTAAATGAATTACGCATTTATAATATTATTAATACTTTTGCTGTAAAAATAATTCACCTATAATATTTTAAGCGCATTAATTTATGTTTGTTAGGTAACTGGAAAATTAAGAATAAAGAAGAAATAACTGCCGTTTCCAAGAAACAACAGAATTTTCTGAATTTAACAACCGACAATGACGCACAAGATTTAGTTACGGTAATAGAAACCCAATGAAGACAGTAACTTTAACGTTATCAATATCGCCACCACAACTTTTTAACCGAATAAGAGATCAGATTAATTTACACTCTGGTGAGTTTTACGCTACTTATTATGAGGTATTATGTACGGAGAGATATTTCTTCGGCCAAGAAACAAGTAATTCTCTATAACATGCACTACTTTTTTCCCAACAATTGTAGAGCTTTTAAACCAAACCGCTTACTTGCAAATCACTAAGAATTATTAAGTATTTAATAATTGCATAAGTGAAAGGAACAAATTAATTTAATAAACTCAAAAAAAAACTCGGCCAAATTCTATTGAAACAATCGAAAAAGCAACATAATTTAGCATAAAACAGTAAATCTCAGTCCCAATAAAAAACTCCCCTATAGTTCTTGGAGTTTACCAAATTTTAGCGTTTTTTTTACACGCATAAACAGGCTTACTCTATTTGGCGTTCAAGGAAGTCGACGCCAATGGTTTTCTTGTAATCCTTGGTAAAGGTTCCTTTGCAATATCTTTGGATCATACTAGATTTGCCAACTCCACCATTGCCCACGATGACCACCTATGAAAATCACGAAAAAAAGCTAATTAAGTAAGTGAGTATACGTATTGTAATTCCTGTATATAGCTTTCCTACTTAAGTTTCCTGTTTGAAAATTTTATACAAATTTCTAAAAACAGGAAAGCAAAATAGCGATTTCAATTTTAAAACAATAATTTATAAAAAACGAAAAAAATTTTGTCGTTGGTTAGGTTCTTCATTATCATCCGAGGGGTGATTGAAAATTAATGTAAAATAATTAATTAAAACTTTGTATATTAAGAATTTTTTTTTGCTTAATTAGGATATAAATCTATAATACTTTTTATTAAATTTTGTTTCATTTTTGTTAGCCAGGAATAACGACTTTTCTAAAAATGCCAAACTCTCTTCACCTTAAGAGCCACTTCTAGTTCCTCTTCCCGCATGATTTTAAAAACGAGGGCCCGCGTAGCCCCCAAAAAGGGCACCCGAACTCATCGCCCGGCCACGGGCAGTGCCCATGTATTGACCATCAGGCGCCTGAAACAGATATATCATTAAATGAATAATTAATTAATTCAAAGTTTACAGTGTATTTAAATGCATGTATAATTGAAATGCAGGATTTCAACAAAACAGTGAAATATGTTCAATATGTCAATTGATATACGCAATATATGTAAATTTGCTGCATTAATTATGTGTTACTGGAAGTACCTCAAGCATTTCCATTTTCCGTTCTTTTCATAATGCAGAGTAACTCTGCAATCCTGTTATTCTTACCGCAATGCAGTGGAGAAGGAACATTTTATTTTTAACCGTCCTGAAAGCGACATTTTCTGACATAATATGAGTGCCTCGGCTCGTTTTGTGATTTAGAACGAAATTTTTAGTCTAAGTCGCCTTTCAATTGGTTAAATGAAAGTTTCAGCCACTTATTACTTAAACTTTATGAAGACTTTTTTATTGACAAATTTGTCAGACAATCATATGCAGTGCCGAATGCTACTTACCACGAAAAATATTGACTAAAGCAAATATTTTAAATTAACAATGTTCATGAAGACAAGATAAAGAAGAAGATAAAGCGAAGAAATCGAGAGTAATGAATTAAATGGATATCGATAAATTCTTAACAGAAGCAGCAGATGGGCACATTCTTATTACCAAAGTTTTGATTAGTTGTCAACGGGAAGAAAGTGCTAGTTGATGACAAAACAGACAAATAAACTATGCTTTTGTTCAACACTCATAAATAATGGAGAAAAATAATATACAAAGTATATATCCGACACTTTTTTATTCGTTACAACATTGGAAAATGTAATCAACGAACCCTGGCCGTCCATACAGTAAGTAAATCTAAAACTATTTTTATAATTGCGTAACCCCGAAGAATAGTCATAGGGAAACTGTTTTCGTCGCAATTCATTCATTCAAGGCTGCATTGAGGACTCTTTTCAGAATAAGTTAGATAGAACTGACAAAATTCAAAAGGCAGGCAGTTCAAACAGGTATTGTATCATCAAAAAAAAAACAAAATACATTCCTTACAAATAAATATTAATATTAATATTCAAGAATCATCTGTTATAGTTTTTCCTAAGTGCTAACTTCGAATCGGTATAAAACGCTAAAAAATATTGTCAATGAAGATTTCACAAAAAAAATTAATATCACACTTTATGTCTAAAAAAGTTTAATAGTGCTTCAAATACGTCTCTTTGATTATTCATTCCATAATATAGTCCCATAAATGAGCAAGTAAAATCTACAAAAACACCGAAACAAATTAACCAAAGTGCGTGTTACTTTTGTATTCTTTGTGCTATTAATATTGCCGCACGAGTAAAAGTGTCTGGCGTCTGGGTAATTCTTAACTGGTAATTATTTAATATTCTAAGCAATAAAATCACTGAATCGAATCTTTCTGGCGTGTATTCATTCCCGATGGTTTGCATCATAGCGGGTCAGCGGCCGCTAACTCACAAGGTCGAACGTCTTTTTGTGTTAAGAAGAGGAGTTATTAAAACTCCTTTCACTGATCTCTAGATACGAATTTTCCGTGTTTTATATTGGTTTTAGAATGCGAAAACAAAGCAACAAATCTTCGTGGCGCGGGCGATAACTTGCTGCCCAAAATAAAGCATTGACGCAACTTGAATTTAATCTGCACAGAATCGCAATGATAAAGGAAAAGCAACATACTTTAATTAGACCAATTACAGTAAACTCCGTTCATAACGTACATGGGATATAACGTACTTCCGGGTATTACGTGCGTATTTTACTGGTCCGGCCAAAATACTCTTGATTTTTTTTATCGGATATTACGTTACTTATATAATTTCTACTACGGTTATAAAGTACAATATTTTCACTATGGTTCTGGTTATGAAGTATGCTAAAACCGGATTATTGAGCGATGGTTCCCCGAAATAATCGGGGATTTTTCAGTAATCCTTTGCGAGGTTTTCTGTGAAACGTGGTGTCCGACCGACAGTTTCCACTTTATTTTTTGAGTTCTCTTGTCTCGGATGACTGATTCCCTAATTGGTGACAGGTAGTGGAAGCCGCTACGTCGATGATACTTTTGTTATTTGGCCTCATGGTCAAGAAACCCTAGTAGATTTTCTTAGACATTTAAACTCGATACACCCTAACATACGTTTTACCATTGAGTTGGAAGCTAATAATAACCTTCTATTCTTAGATATTCCTATCAATAGAACATCAGACCTAACATTGGGTCATTGTGTTTACAGAAAACTTACGCATACAGACCGATACGACCTTAATGCATGGTCACATCACCATCCGGCCCAAAAATTATCGGTTATCAACTCTCTTATTTACAGAGCCGTAAAACTATCTCAGCCCAAGTCGCTGAAAACAGAATTAAAACACCTTGCCTCTGCTCTTCTCTCTAATAAATTCCACATTAAAGATATTAAGCGTTCCATCAAAAAATACACTTCACCACAACTTTCCGATAGCAATGAGGCCGAAAGCAATCCTAAACTTGCCACTGTCGTCCTTCCTTACATTCAAAACATCACTGACCACATATCAAAAGTTCTAAAGAAGTATAACGTCAAAACCAGATTTACCACTGGTCCAAAAATCTCTCATCTTCGGTCTGTCAAAGACAAAATCCCATTTTAGATGCCAGAAGTTTACAGCATTCCATGCATATGCGACAATACATTGGAGAGACCGGACGAAAAATATCAATTAGGCTCAAAGAACACGAAAGAGATTTACAACTAGGACAAATAAACTCATCAGCTGTTATTCAATAAAACTAAAATTCCTGCATGTAATCCGTTCTACTACCAGCGAAAAATCCAACAGTCTATAGAAATCTATAAACCACCTAACAATCTTAACCGCGACTCAGGTCTCTACTTGTCACCAATATGGGAATCAGCCATCCGGGACGGTGTGTATGCCCTTCATTAGCACCCCCTCAAACAATAAATAAGCAGGTATGGTATGTTCATAGATATAAGAAAGTGACCAATTGCTTTTGAATGGGATTATCCAAGGGTGGTCATTAACATACAATGCAACAAGATTATTACCTAAAGCTTCGGAATTTAAATTCAGGTAAAATTGTGACGCTGATCTTATAGAAATAGAAATAATGTTATACCAACCTGTGTTTTATATTCTTTGGTTTGGTATACTATTTAGTTTAAGTTAATTAGTGATCATTTCGTCTGTAATACAGCGTGTGTTGAATCGTGTGCGAATTATGCAAAATATATGCGAGTCTAGTGTATCTCAGGGATGCTCCCGTACAAATGTATAAAACACTATTCTATTGAGACTAAGGACGTTATAAACAATGTTTATTTGAACGTGGTGCCAGCAAGCAAGCATCTTTAGAAGAAACGGCCACATTGACGAAAATTCCAACATCAACTGTATGGAAAATTGTGAATAATCCCATTTCAGCGTACAATTTACCAGTTATACGAGGAACAAAGCGTGCCTACATTAGATATCTTAATTAGGAGACTCGAAAAAGATGAAACCGGTGTTAAATGTGGCAGAACTACCTTATGGGAGTGTATTTTAAAAAAATTGACAAATGGCAAGTTTTAATGGAATCTTTTATAATTTAGAAATGGCGACTGGAAAAGGGTTGGGTTGACTCAAGTGATAAGTGTAAAACAAACGCGCCATCAAAAAGAGGTAAAAGAATAACTATTTTGCATGCTGGCTCTAAAGATGGTTGGATTCCAAATGCACTTTCTCTGTTTGCGAAAAATATTAAAGATTCTTCTCTGGATTACACCACCGCTGATTTATTTGAAAGTTGGTTTAAAAACAAACTAGTTCCAAACTTTCCTCCTAATCGCGTCATTGTAATGGACAATGCAAGTTATGACAGTAGACAGTTGACTAAAACCCCTTCCTCATGTGACACAAAAGCAACAATCCAAAACTACATGTATAATAACGACATTTATTTTCACGAAGATTATACCAAAAAGCAACTAATTGAGGTTCTACAAAGATTGAACCTACAAAAGGAATACGTCTGTGATAATTATGCAAAAAATCTAGGGCATACAGTTTTAAGGCTTCCACCTTACCACTGTATATTAAATCCCATTGAACATGTTTGGCATCAACTGAAATCTCGTAACAACGTTTTTCCCCGTGTTAACTCCTATGTCCTCAAACTTATAGAAACCGAACTTTTTAATATCCCTCCACAAAGTTGGGCAAATTCTGTTAAACATATAGAAAAAGCAGAACCATCGTGTATCCACATTGCGAATAATATAGAACACATAATAATGTATAAATAAATGTATAAATGTGAATAATTTTAAGTAATTTAAGTAGGTAATAAAAATAATCTGTAATTTTATTTGAGATTTAAACATAAATACATAAATAAATAAATAAATATTGTTTAGTATCTTTCCTAACAAAACCCCAAAGAATTAAATTCTAAGCAAAGTACGGACCCTTTCGGCCATATTTCATTCTTACAGCTTGCCCGGGTCTTTCCTTATTTCGTATCAATTAGTCACTTTCTTATATCTATGAACAGACTTTACAGAGTAAAATACGAGCCAGTTTCAGTCACGCTCTGAAGAAGCCGACAGGATGATTGGCTGGCGACTCAGCAAAAATCGACCTATATTAGTGTTTATTAGTTTTCTATTTTTATATAAAATGGAAATATGTATGTACTTACATTTTTTTTTGTGTTTTTTTTATAGCGTACTTCCGCTTATAGTACTCATATTCTGGTCCCTAGAGGGTACTTTATAACCGGAGTTCACTGTATATCAATTTTCAATCAATTTTATATTTTTTTTACCGCTTCCTAAAAATTACAAACGTTCTAATAATTATTTGTGTTTCATAGATTTCGCCGATACCTAAATGATCAGAAGTCGCCTTCAAAAGCGGGGAGTACTCCAGGTATTTCCATGGATTTTTGAAATAACGGTCTATCAAATAGAAATAATACGAACTGAGTACCTTAGTAGATAAGAAAAAGTGTTTCAACCTAA